CAGCCGGCGTGCGCAGGCGTCTGCACTAGTGGCCAAGCCACTGCTGGGCGAAGGCCTCCCCGCAAGTCGACGCCGTGCGTCTCTGACGATTGCTGCGATGCAGTGACGGGAGAGAAGGGCGTCCCAGGCGAGGCGAGCATTGCCACAGCTTTCTCTTGGATCAACAATCTGCGTGGAAGCCTCTCGCAGGAAATGAATGAACACTCAAACCGTGGTGCCGTGTCAGATGAGCTCATTGTGCTGCAGAGAAACGCACGTGGTTTAAATTAAAACATGTTTTTTTTTTATCAGTGTTCATCTTGGGGCTTGCTTGACCACACTTCTCGCTCGTTAGTGCGGGATGGTGGAGGGGGCGGCGTGGAACCAATGCTCTTCTCTATTGCACCTCCTCTTCTCTCCCCTCGCCCCTCCACTCCTTCCTGTTCGTCCCCTACCCTTCCGTTACCCCTAAGTACCCTCCATCATGGTCACTCATTCCTCAGCCCTTGAACGCCCCTTCCATCGAAATCATTCTATTCTGTCCTCGTTTTTTTAATTATCTTAAGTTCATTGAGTGAGGGGCGCACCTATAGAGACAAAGATAAGATTGTGAGGCCTTCATGCAGCAGTGGCCATGCAAAGGGATGAACCCGACTTATTACCATCCTTAGTCGTGAAAGCAGCCTCCCTTTGGCTTTCCACTCCTATGACATCACCGCGTACGGCGCGGGCAGCACTTAGCCCCCACCTGGGGGGGGGGGGCGAGTGGAGCTGCACGCAAGGAGGGCCACACTCATCGCTAACGAGGCACTGGGTTTGCCGTTCTGTTACAAATGCGTACCACGGATACTGTTATACATCGCAAGGTTCACGGTAATCGTATCGTCCGTTGAGCGAAAATATTATTGTCTCCGTGATAATTATCTCTGCGCTATTTGGTTTTGGAAATATGTTTATTTTTACGAAATAACAAATATGATCATGAACTCGTAGAACGAATCTTGCTTATTGGCTGCGTCGGGTGGAGGTGGGTGTACGACACATTTACGCGATCTAAGCCAAGTCTAAATAATCTAAATAATTAGCTCTTTACCCATTAAATTAGTGCTTTGCAAAACGTTTTCTGGTGGAATTGACGGCATGGCGGTTATATGAAGTCATCGTTTTTGGAGGTCATTTCATAGTTGAATAATTTTCTTTTGCAACTGACGTAATGCGCTCTGTAAGCAAAACAGATTGTTGAGTTGCAATGAATGGAAGTCCTATCTTTGGCAGGCTTATGCTGAGCGACCTGTGAGTTGAATGACATTTAAGTGATCTTTATTTATACTGAACGTGCTATAATCACGTATAAAATGGGAAGGAGGCACATTGTCTCGTGTATTTCATTCAAACTGGCAGTAGAGCAATGCTGAAAAACGTTACAATTATAATGTGCACTATAATTAGGTTTTGGGAAATTAATATCGCGATGATCGTCATCGGACATCGCGGCAACCCTTTGAAGCCGCAAAATACCACGACAGACGGTTCGCCACCTACCCATATATATTTGCCCATCCACTTTAAAAAATTGAACGGTATTTTTTTCATTTTACACATCCCTTCAGCCCCCTGGCCTTCTGAGAGCACATCGCTTCAGCAGCATTTGTTGAACACGAGCAAACCTCCGGGACCGGCTTTGACATTCGGTGTCTGTCGCAGTGAAGCGACCTGCGTCTTCACTGCGCTACGGCGTGCGTCGTGGGGGGGGGGGGGGGGTGGCTCGGTCCGCGTGTCGTCTTCCCGCCGGGCCTGGGCCTCGCCGTGCCGTGCGGGAGGGCCTTGCGTGGGCCGTGGGAGCGGCGCGAGTAGTTTTTTCTACGTTTTTTGCCGATTTTGTGACCGCGCCTTCCACCGAAAAGGAAAATCCTTTGCAGATGTCCCGCGTGCAGCTCCAGCACATTTTGTGATTCTAAGCAGGCGGCTGGGGAAGGGGCATTCATTGTGCCCGCCCCCCCTCTCTCCCTCCCTCCCTCTCTCTCTGTCCCCACATCTCGCCCGCTCAAACCTCGTCATGGATTTTTTTTCTATTCCCATCTTTCGCACGTGAACAAAAAAACGTTGGGCACAAATGGTTGCGCCAACTTGAGGAAGAATTTAGTCTGGTACCCACTGTGCGACCGCGCTCTTAGTACTCGGGTATGATTAATTATTTAACCCGGGGCTGGTGCACTGCGATTCCCGTGTGTGTCTTTGCCTTTGTCCTTAAAGTCCCATCAACGCAAATAAACAAACGTCCGTGATTTCCGGCTCAAATGAACATTGCGGCAGGGCTCATCTCTTGTTTACAGCCCTGATCTAGTAGCGTAAATTCCACATTCTTGTGATGGGGACGAGCCTATGCAGGGCTGTAAAAACCACTGTTAACTTCCCCACAAAGTGGTACTCACTGAATCGACTCTGGAAGGATGATTGGTCAACCCCCAACCAGGATTTGAACTTACAACCCCACCTACTTGCAGCCTCATTCGCTCGACCGCTGAATACAAACCATCGACACAATCCTGACCAACAAGCTCCCTGGAACGAATGCACAGCGATGAATCGTACAGTCAGGTCATTCAATTGGGAGTGACGCCTCGCGTTAGGTGACACCACGTGATGTTGTGCTGAGTAACCGCTGCTGCATTCACACTGAACGTTGGGTCCCAGGGGGTGGCCCGGGTGAGGCAATGGAGCGAGCGTTGCTTGGGCTCAGCTTGTGAAGGGGCTTGCCGAGCCATATTCCCCCTCCTCGCCCACATTGTTTTCCCAACTCACTTCCTCTCCCCTGAGCGATCGGTTTTGGTGAAAAATATCGCCTTTCATTTATAAACCGTCCGGGAATTTTCATTGTTCGCCGGCGGCCATGGGCCGCAGCTCGGGTTGGTGCAGACGCCTGCGCACGCCGGCTGAATGTTGATGTCGCGTTTGGGATTGGTGGCCCTCGAGAACAGAGGAGCGGGCTTCGTGCAGAGAGGAGATGAGGTCAGGGGTCAGGCAGCGGTGGTCGGAGGGCGGCGGGAGCTGCAGGCCTTGTCAGGAAATGTGTCACAAAGACAAAGATCCCCCGGATAGCCTTAATAGACTGTTGAGGCAAGTGCTGTTAACGAGCACCTCCTGAAGGCTGGAATGGTACACGAGTGTGTGGACAACATCACGCCCGACCGACTTTATCACCCTAGTGGCGATGTTTACACACCACACCAGGTACTCATTTGAGGCTGAGTCGACCTAGGGTAGGCCCAGGACCGGTTCAAATAATCGTCACTGATGTTGGCCGTGAGCGGAAATTGAACTCGTGTCACCGGGTTTTTAGCACGACGCGCCAACCGCTACGTGACCGCTCACCCGATATGTCGCACACTCGCACGCGGCACACAGCCCTGATTTTCCGCTTCGCTAGAAATATTCGAGGCTCTCGACAATGCTTCATCACCGGGGGCACGCCCCTCGCCGCGGTGTGAGGGCGAGGGAGGTGGTGCCGTGAGTCGGTGAGGAAGGGTGATAGGATGTTGCGAATGCGGAGGCACTCGCAACATTCTATCTCATCCGCAACTCCCCAGGGTGACCTTCCCGTGTCAAATATTAATGGTCATGTGGTATTAACACACATTATGCACTGTTCTGCAATATTATGGATCATAAAGTAAATCAATGAATGGACAGACATGTTGATGTAACCATCGTCTTTTTTTTACAGTATTGGCCTTCTGGACTAATGTTACGTAGTAGTAGCAATTGTTTAAGTAAATGAACCTCGTTGCAGAGCCTGGCCCGTTTTTGGCGATAACTGCCCATGAGTAATCTGGGACTCGTTCAGCACAAAAGGGATATGGAGGATTAAGTGCAGAGGTGGGACAAAGTCATTGTTATGCAAGTCCAAGTCGAGTCTGAAGTCATCAAATTCATGACTCGAGTCTGACTCGAGTCCAAGTCACATGACTCGAGTCCACACCTCTGATTAAGTGTAATCAAACAAATTATAAACAATTGTGTTTTGCCATAAAAATAATATTTATGTTATTCCGTTAGCCTATAGGCCTTCCTGTCCAGAGTCTGCCTGCTGGACAGTTAGTCAAGAAGTCTCATTAGTTGATGAACTAAATCCCAGATCAGTTTACTCTCCCCTCTCATCTCACTCTACGCCCCTCTACGCACTCTCCTACCTCTCCCCTCTCATCTCACTCTACTCCCCTCCACGCACTCTCCTGTCTCTCCCCTCTCATCTCACTCTACTCCCCTCCACGCACTCTCCTACCTCTCCCCTCTCATCTCACTTTATTCCCCTCCACACGCTCTCTTACCTATCATCTCACTCTACGCCCCTCCTCACTCTACGCTCCAGCAAGTAAGACTCGGTGGGAGGGTCGCTCATTCTCCTCTGCTGCCCCTGTGGTCTGGAACTCCTCTCCCCCAGCTATCCGTGTTGTCTGCTCCCCTGCTCCTCTGCAAGTCCATTGACTGCCCTTGCCTGTGTTTTCTGTACAGCATATTGGGATGATACGGGTCACATTCATATGCAATAGAAATCCACGGTGTTGCAATACGGTTTTAAATAATGGATTGTCTAAACGCAGTGCTCTTCTCGCGGTGCTGAACAGGATGCCGAGACGTGCACATCGCAGGGATGACTGCGAAAGTCAAGACACTTCGTAGACTGGAGGCAGACATTCAACCGCAGTCTACGTTTAAGTGGAGAAATTGGCCGCTGTTTGTTTTTCTCTCACGACTTCATTCATAGAAATGTTAAACAAAGGGCTAATTTGACCTCATCGTGTCTGATTACGTGAACCGATGTAAGGTATACTGTGTCAGTGTGTATGTTTGCGTACATGTGGGGCCGGGTGTGGTGTTGGCCACTCCGCCCCCTGGTGCGCCGTGCCGGCTTTCATAGTCGCTCGCGAACAGCGCTTGCCTCGACGGCCTGTAAAAACCTTCATCTTAATTTATACGGCCGATCTTTTGTCTCTGCGTGCGCGTCGACGGCGCGCCGTCAGGCTGGGATGGTGTCGCCGTGACGACGGACTATGGCGACGAGCAGCAGTAGCAGCAGCGCGGACGGGGTCGCCGTGGGAACCAGCAGCGCCAGCAGCAGCTCGAGCCCCGTTGTGCGACAGATCGACAAGCAGTTCTTGATCTGCAGCATCTGCCTGGAGCGCTACATCAACCCCAAGGTCCTGCCGTGCCTGCACACTTTCTGCGAGAAGTAAGTTCACACCCCGTACCCCCCCCCCCCGTCCGGTTTGGAAGCAATCCTTGCGCTCGTTATATGCGCCTGATTGGACGACGAGCAATACTACAAGCACACGTTCAGATGATTTGAGCGGGTTGTTGAGACGAGGCTGAGGGCATTTTACATGCATTTTAGGCACGATTGGAGATTTGCCTTCTTTCCATTCGAACACATGTACCTGTTGTGATGGCCTCTCTCATAATTTGCAGAAGGTATCAGATTTGAATTCCTCACGATATACACACGCGCGTTGGGATCGATCATTTAAGGCTTGCGCGAATTGTACGGCGACGATAACGTTTCGGCTGATGGACCGAGTAAAACTGTGCGAACGAGGCAGAATAAACACGACACAAATATAAACGAGACCTAAACAAAACAAAAAAACAGAAGAAAACGAATCGATTCTTGAATTTAATTGCTACCGTGAATTGTGTTGAATCGCAGGGTGGCATGAATTGTTACAGATGGTTATGTGTCTTGGCATCTCCTTCCCAGGGGGCACAGCCATTCTGCGACCCCAGCTGTGGACGAGGGAATAGCCCCGGGAGCGCGCGACGCGTTACGTAACAAATCACAATGTTGTTTATTATCCCGGAAAGCTTCGGCGAGTATTTGGCCGCTTTACATTTCCACACGATGATAAGCCACTTTGTTGAGCCATCATTTGTGGCCAGCTCGCTTCTGAAAAAGAGCTACATAGCTCGGCGGAGCTTACCTGGTAAGATAAAAAATAAATTTTGTATTTTTTTGACCGAGCGAGGCGAGCGGACAAACGTGGTGAGTGGCTGACTGAGTGGACAGGGGTGGATCGTTTGAGCGTTCGAGTGAGGAGTGGGTGAGCGGGGGAGCGGGCGAGCGGGGGAGCGGGCGAGCGGTGCCGCTCGCCGCAGTGAGGGGAATACAGATCAGCTCCGTGGCTTCTCCAAACGCTCGTCTCCATGGCAGCGCGGCGAGTTTCCGTGAGCCTGGGCGGCGCGCGCGTGGCGGGATTAACGTTTCCATCGCCCGGTGTCGCGCGCGGCGAGGCGAGGCATACGGACGCGTGAGATCGAAGGCTGCTCGACCTGGCCACAAATGATGCCTCTACAAAGTGGCTTATCACGTGGAAGTATAGCAGCCATATACTCGCATGTTGATTCTAAATGTGGAGGGAAAAACTGGAGGACCAGGAGAAAAATCCACACGACCACGAGAACATGCAAACTCCAAATGTACAGCAGCAGGCGTCAGGGTCGTAATCAAACCCACGACCCCCTGTATACCAGGCGAGGGAATTAACATCTCGCCACCGTGGCGCCCCCTGTATCGATCTGATGCACGGACCGATGCAGGCGGTAGCCGATTGTGTGCGGGCGGCCATTGCGTACGTTGTTAACGTTTCTCGTGTAATCGCTCGGAATCATGTATTGCTGTTCATAGAAGTATAGTTCTTGATTTCAATCACATTATTCAAGCTGCTCCCTCCACGCGTGACAGCCGCAACACCAGGGTACGTTTCTTCAGCAGTGTCAATGAGTTCGCCACGATCACCTGGCAGGGCGCACGTGGTGGGGTAAAGTGTGGGTACTCCCACCTATCCCGAGGGATGTGTGGCTAGCGTGGAAGAGTAGGCCAAATACACACTATGGAGAGGGGTTCCATAGAGCTCCCTCTAGCAGAGGCGCTCCTTCCACCAGCGGTGGCACGAGCCAGTGGTTACGGGGCTGGGCCTTTACCTTGTCATTATTCATGTACAGTACAGTTCTGATTAAACACTCGTCGTTCAGGGAATTGGCAAAACATTGGTCAAAGATTCCAATCCAGAAATAGTTTTGAGAAAACTACGAGGGCGTTCCGAGCTAAATAAAAACTGCCCTGAAAAAAATTCATATTCCATGAAAAATGTTGCTGTTCTTCAATGTATGTTATGGCTGCTTTGGGCGTGTTTTGCATTTGAAGATGACATTTTGGAATCCCTGCTATCGAATGTTTTCTACGTATGAGCCTACCATTGTGTGTACTTGTCTCTCTCTGTCAGGCCGTCTTTTTGATGTGAAGGAATAATTTAAAAAAATATTGCTTTTGAGGATTAGCAACTGAGACGCAATATCGTTGCCCTTTGATCACTGATCAGAGCCTCGTGCCAGTGCTTGGCTCGTAATCAAGCGGGAGCGTCTGGCGTTGGCATCGTGATGAAAATAGAGAATGAGAAAACCGATTTTAATAAACCAACCGTTCATGTAGCAGTAGCATCATAAAGGGCACATATATTTTTTTGGCAATCCGTTTCAATAAAAGAAAAACATTTCACGGTGACATTTTGGGGAAATGTTAAAATAGACGTGGAAATTTAATTTCAAAAGGATTCACAGTGACCTGATGATCTAGGTTCACGTCGCCTCGCCGAGGCTTTATCCAGGAAGCCCCGTACCACCTGCGCCACCTCTTCACCCCTTCACTAGTACGGCCCGTTTAACAATTTACTCAACAAAAACATCTCGGTAAGAACTAATCCCGGAAAGATAAAGCGCCCATTGCTCACAGAGTGAGCGACGAATAAAGAGGCCACAGCTGCCCACGATTTGAACCTCCGATAGGGTCAGGGCACCGCCCTACGAAGCCAGCAACCAGAGCTAGATTCACGTCGGCAGCAAACATCGGCGGCGAGCGAGACCCGCGCCGACCGGCGTGGTGAAGTATGGTCAAACAACAGCCACGACCCAACAGCCCATGGAGAGGCATTAATCCGGCAGTGAATGGAGAAAGGGCTGTACATTAGTTATGTTTGTGCTGTTATAACATTTAGTAGTCGGTCAGGAAAGCTTGGATTTGAAACTCGTGAATGTTAATTCCGCGTGTATGATCACAGAATAATGGTGTCATTCTTTTACAACCCTGCGTGGGTTTCCTGCTGGATGAAGGCCTGCTCCACGCTGTGTGTATGTCGCGTTGTCTCGTTACCCAGTAAAAGCTTCGCTGTTTGTCTTTCTGAGGAGACTCCTGCAATGAGATGTTTGGCCAATTCCTTTTATTAAGGAGCGTGTTTCAACCATCGGGCTGCGTGCAGCGCGTAACAGCTTAATTTGCATTTGAGCTGAGATTTACCTCATGCAAACGTGGACCGTGATGGGTTACCAGTATAGCGCGGAAGGTTGACGAACCCTGTGATAGACCAACTCATTGATATTCAGGAGGAGGAGGAAGAGCAGGAAAACGCATCGCATTGAGGATGATTGTATCGCATGGCGACAGGGTTGTATGTATGTATGTTGAACTTATTTCGCACCGTACGCAGCGAACCGTGTAATCGGAGGTGTGGGGGAATGACAACAAACTAAACACAAAGCAGTTCTAAAGAAATGAGTTTTCAATCTTGACGATTTGAAAGTGCATAGCTCCAGTGGCTTCCGAATATCGGAAGGAAGAGCGTTCCAGACGGCCGCAGGAGCGCGTCTCAAAGCGCCGCGCGATGCGGTGACCGCCGTATTCGTTCGACGGCGAGATGTTTAATGCGACCAGCGGAGCCGAAATTTCCCGTTGAGATTTCCATGCGATGTTTGCCTTGCGAGGGGGGCGGGGGCGAAAGGGAAATAAGAAGGGGACGGGGGGGGCACTTTTGAGAAGCAGGGAATGCGGCAGCCCTTTGGGAGTCGCACTCTGTCAGGGCGGGAGACGACGACGCTTGTGAGGTCAGCCACTTGTAGAGTACAATATAAACACTGCACATTTTGTCCCGATCTAATCTCTCTTGTGGGAGCCTGGGATTTCCCAGGATCTCGTTTGGTGCTGGCTCGCTGCTCTATCATGTGTGCGGAGTCGGCTGCATGAGAGACAGAGAGAGAGAGAGAGGGGGGAGAGACCCAGCCATCTCATGAAGATTATATTTTGATATCCCCAGTTCGACGACGTGACCGGGTGGCTTAGGTGGCTGACTCGGTGTCGCAGCAGTGAGTCAATAACACTGTGACCTTGGGTTTGAGTCGGGGCAATCATCTACGATTAAACCTGGCTCTGAAATCTCAGCCCGGTCACTAATGTCTATTAACAAATTAAATGTTGAATTGTTTTCACTTGGTTCAGCGTATTCCAATTCCGAGAAATTAATTAAATGTTCCTGGAAGGGTCTGTGTTTTGTTGAATTGAATTCTCAGATATATCTCATTGCCTACCTGAATGTGCCCGATCTCATCCGATCCCAAATGCTAAGTAGCATTCAGCCTGTGTTGTAGTTTCTAATAATAACAACAAGGTTCCTTTAACATTTAACCCTAACATAGGCAACACACAATATGCAGCAATGAATTGCATCAGTGCGGAGAGGAGTAGACATGTGACCATCGGTGCTTGCCAGGTGTTGCAGGCATGGGGCTGCAGGAGATGTCGGTGCTGTCGTTCATGGAGCTCATTGGCCAAACATTCCAACGCAGGACGCTCCTTGAAAGCAAATTCTTGAGACTCGTTGAGGCTTTGCCGGCTCAATGGATGGCATTGTGCTCAGCTGCGCCCACTCCGCCTGCACTGCCCATCGCCCCGGACAATCTGAGAGCTGCCCGACTCTTAACTTCGACAAAATACTGTCATCACACAGGCTAATGTTCTTGCCCATTAATTACATAACATCGTATGTGTAGCAATACACATGTGTAGCAATACGCATGTATACGAATGTATACGTATTAATATTATAATACCTTGGGTGGAAAGGTGGCGCAGTGGTTTTCACATTGCACTATGAACCTGGCCACCTCGGTTGTATTCCAGACTGTGGCTAACAGCAGTGGTGAGCGATATCCAAACCGGTTCTGGGCGTGCTCACTTCACCAGCCTTGCATTGACCAGCGAGGTGAAGTATGGTCAAGCAGCCCCCGTGACCCACACGGCGTGGGGAGACCTTCATCCAGCAATGGGATTGACAAAGGGCCTGTACATTATTATTACTATTAATGGAGTATTCCCCAATGTGTGCACGCAGCAGGCATATACGTATATTGCAGCGTTCATGCATTGCGTCGTTGTGTGTGCGTTAACCACGCCACCCGCGACAATGCGTTACGCCGCACACTATACCAATACATCACACGCTCTACATTAAATTTCCCATCGCATACATGATCACCAGACGCACAGCCAATGCTGCACCCGTGCCCTCTCCATCACCATGCGCGTAATGTGGCCCGGATTACAACGGACCTCCGCGATCCGCCGTTGACGCGGATGTGCCAGCGTCGACGTGGTTAATGTGCACGCCGTTTGATGTGCAGCCTTCCGATGCGTTACACTGTTTTACTGCATTACGCCGTGTAGCTGACTGCACGGCACGAATCCATTCATCATCACAATATGGCGGCATTGAATATCTGCGGAAGTTGCTCTGGCCATGTCTACCTCTCTGCCTCGTGCTACTCCCCTCCCCCCCCCCCCCCCCCCACATTTTCATCTCGCTCAACTTCCCTCCAAGCATTCTCTGCTCGAGCGACCAAGGCTTCCTGTCAAAGGCCCCAGTCAACCTTTGCTCAGTGGGAGGTCACTCATTCTCCTCTGCCGCCCTCATCGTCTGGAACACCCTTAACTCTGCCATCCGTGCTGTCGATTCCCTGCACCTGGCTTAAGGCCTTGCTGTTCTCCTCTGCCTATGACCGACTGCCTCTTTCTTACTGTGTAATCAACGTGCCCACCGTTTATGCACAGCTTGTTGAGATACGGTCGCTTATTATCCGACTCTGTAATTTTTGTAATACAGTTTTTGGTGAGTGTCTGAATGAAACTTCTTCTTCTCGACGAGCTGACAAATGACGATGTATGTTTATAAAGGACGGTGCGATTTGATGACACCTCCTCGAAGACACGAAAGGCAGACATTCCTTTGGTAGATAAGAGGAGGAACGTCTCGGGCTTGGACTTGACCGGGAACCATGGATGACTGGGGGGGTGGCAGTGGAGGGCGGGAGAGGAGGTGGAAGAGAAATTTTGTGTTCAGTTTGTTGTCCTTACCCGGCACCTCCGATTTAGCACGGTTGGCGTATACGTATGAACGTACGATTACAGACCAGTCCACGGGGGCTGGGGGTGGGTGAGCGGCAGCCAAGGCGGAGCGACGTCTCTGCCGCTCCCGGCCACGACACAAAAGGAGCGGCACGGCGCGCGCTGCGCAGGAACGAGGGCCGGTCGCGGTCTCGATCCTCTCGCCTGCGCGTTTAACATTGCCGATTCTTGTTTTAAGGCGCGCGTCGCAGTAGTTCTGAAACCCAAGCGGCCGTCCTCGCGCCCACGGCGGATTGCCACCGCCGTCGCTTTGCGAGGAGCCGCAGCTGGACGGGGGTTTAACAGGGCCCAGGATTGGCAACTCGGAGCCTCTCCTCTTCGTCAAAGGGACACACGACGACTGAACGGTCCCGCTGGCTTTGTTTAAATTGACCCCCCCCCCCTCCCCCTGCTGAACCACGCCTCTAGCCACCGCCACGGCAATGCCCTAAGGCGGTCCCGGCCTTCTGCCTCATTCCCACATCTCACGCCACCCAGAGGTCTGCCCTGCTTGTCAAATCTAAAGGTCTCCTGCATCTTTCATTTTTTTCTCGCTCCCTCCTCGCTCGCTCTCGCAAGGCTTAATTTCAGACGGGTCTTCCTGGGGTCGGTGACCCTTAATATATTTCTGCACCTGGTGCACAACGTCCAGTACATCTCTTGCTGTGGCTACTAGTCTCTTCTGATCACGATCCCCTCTCCAATGCCCCTCACTCCCTCTCCTTTATTCGCTGGGTTAACACATTTATTATTTTGCTCAAATAAGTGATGTTTACGTCAGTAGAAAGGGTTAGGGCATTTTATCGTATGCGGCCTTTGAACATGTGTATTTCACTCAAGACCAATAAATATATATTATTTAAAATTTTCATTTACATTTATTTATTATTTTTCACCTACGTGACTTTACCGAAAGAACCAAATAGTATGGATCCTTGCAGTCACGAAAACTTCAAATCTGGAATAAAATATATTTCCACCGTTTTTTTCCCGCCTCAAGTAATAATTGTAAATGTCTTCACTATGGGAACCTCATTTGCCAGTAAAAATATGATAATTGGTTCTTTACCCTTCTATCTGGCAACAAAACTGACACCTCTTTACAAGGAGTCATGTTTGCATAGACCGCAATACCTGCAGTCATAATACAAACAAAAGAACATAACTCTGATAATGTGCACTGTCCTTGAAGTTGATTGGTCCACACCCGAGACAGCTTTTGTGGACCAATCAACTTCAAGGACAGTGCACATTATCAGAGTTATGTTCTTTTGTTTGTATTATGACTGCAGGTATTGCGGTCTATGCAAACATGACTCCTTGTAAAGAGGTGTCAGTTTTGTTGCCAGATAGAAGGGTAAAGAACCAATTATTGTAAATGTCTTACTCACGGAAGCATCGCTGAGGCTGAAGACCGTTTTGTCAAGCAGCTCCTGCATTTGGCCATTTGGCCAAACTCTGCGGTAGTAATAATATTTGATGTTTGGCGGGAGTTGCGATCACATTGAGATTTGGGAATTCAATCGTCGACCGCGAGACCTCCATTCACTCCTGAAACCCAAGTTCCTTCGTAGACATCGCTGCCATAAATAATCGGCAGAGAAGCATGAGCCCGAGTCTGTGTGGACCGCAATTCCAGTTCCCGGTCACTGGTTGTGTTCGCTTTGTTAAATGATGTTTTATTACCCCCCCTTCATTTATTTTAGTTTGTAACGGAATGTGGTCGTGGTTTTTTTTCACGTTTTTGACCAGTTCTCTATATCCCTGTGCGATGAGCAGCACGTAACGATACTCGCTGATTGTATCGCAACCGATGTAACCATGATTGTAACGAAGATCTCTTGCTGGATGACATCTGTACCGTCGCATGATTCCCATGAAACAACAAGAGCTCAACAGCTCATTGGGCCCTTCCTGCTGAAATGAATAACATTTTTATCTAATTTTAGTTTCGATCGTGCGAGCACAAACGGCGCGCGAGTTCCGTCGCCTTTGGCGGACGTTTCTAATGGTACCGCAGGGCGTCGCATTTCGGCGCTTCGCTTTACGCGCTCATCAAATTCGACTTGTCGGGAGCGCCGACCCAAACCGCGACGTGCGAGGCACGCGCTGTGAGGCCCGCGCGGGCCGGCGGGAGCGCGTCTCGTTGAGTGCTCCTCATCGAAGCCCCAGAGCTGCGTCATAGCCCCCCCCCCCGTGTCATAGCCCACCCCCCAACCCAGCGACGCGTCCCACCGTCTCCCTCGTCCGGTCGTTTTGCTCTCTTTCAGGCGCATCCACGGTAAACTCCTCGTTGTTGTTGAACCGTAACAACAAACACACACAGACGCGTCAGGCAATAGTTCCGCTCGTTTTGCGATGTCACGTACCGTGAATGATTTACACTTTGGTTGTGCGGTTTGATATTTGTAATTGTGATGCCATGAAAGGGGAGAATTACCATCACATTGATCATTACCGCCACCACCTTGCGACTCAAAGATACCGGATATCGGAAGCTCATGTTCAGGGAAATGGCCCCTTCAGAGAGGGTAGAGATTGAGTCGTTCGTGACACCTCTCGATTCGCAACACAAGCAACCGTGGCATGACGAGCGATGGGCACTGCCGCACTGAGCGACACCGCCGTGCCGCTAAACCATGGCGCGCGTCTCCTGTGCCCCCTCCCCACCCCACACACACACCCCCCCACCCCACACCCCCACCCCACACACACACACCCCCACCCCACACACACACACCCCTCCTCTCCCCCCCCACCCCCCGCGTCTCCCCTCCCCTCCGCCACCCAGGTGCCTCCAGAACTACATCCCAGCCCAGAGCCTGACGCTGTCGTGCCCGGTGTGCCGCCAGACGTCCATCCTCCCCGAGCGCGGCGTCTCCGCGCTGCAGAACAACTTCTTCATCACGAACCTCATGGAGGTGCTGAGCACGCAGGGCGACGGCGCCGCGGGCACGTGCCCCGGCGTGGCCGGCTCCGGCGAGCCCGGCGTCGCGGGCTGCGCCGGGACGGGAGACGGCGCGGCCCCCGGGGCCGGCGGCGGCGTCGGCGGCGGCGTCCCCGGCGGGGTGGTGTGCGTCGTCATCGGACAGCCGCTCTCCTGCCCCAACCACCAGGGCAAGGTGAGGGGGCGGTGGCGGCGGCGGCGCTGGTGGTGCTGGAGCGGTGGTTGATTCGCCAGGGTTTGTGGTTGCGTACTCGCGGCAGTGAGCGTTGTGATCCGTCGGGGTTTGTGCCGTCGTTGTTGACGTCACAGTCATCGGTTGTCGTCATCCTCCACGTGCATGTGTATCATTCGTCGGTGTCATCATCATCGTCTGCTCAATAGCCATAATAATAATAATAACTGCGGTTTCTATCGCACCGTGAAGTGGCAAGCCGTTGCACCTTACCACTATAATCACTATCATGATCATCATGATTGTCATCAAACCTACCATCATCACCATCATCTTCCTGACCATCGTCGTCATGATCCCCACCTCATCATCGTTGCTGTGATCATCCTTTTCACCCTCGTTGTCACCATCATAATGATCAGAATCATCATGGTCAACATCACCCTTCATCATAAACATGTGTAGCAACGTCGTCGTCATCATCATCACGACCATAATAATTTACGACGTAATTTTTTGGCGAATAGCAGGCTGAGAAGGTACGGTAGTTGTCTTGTACAAGGGAGAGCTGGCAGAGAATTCGAGGAGCAACTCGTAAACAAAGAAACATTCCTTCAAAATCTGTCCATCACAACAACAACTTAATCAGTGCAATATTAAAAAAACAGGCCAAAGCAATGCACGATGGCATAGTGCAAATTCAAGTAGAATAATAGAGGACTTATTACGAGTTAACGGAAAACGCAGCGTGCATATCAGCGTCAACTTAAGTGAGCTTTAACTGCACAAAGCCTGGCCTTTGGTTATTCATTAAAAGAACACGCACAGCAAGGCGACTGGCACCTTATCCCAATCAAATCAAGTGCATTCTCTTCCAAGGCATGTGGCCGGTGTGGAAGAGTAGGCCCAAACATCTCCTCCTAGAGATGTTCCCTCCAGCTAATGGGAAGGCCGCCCGTTCGCCAGCGGTGGCTGGAGCAAAGCAATTGCCGCCGCTGCATCCTGCACCCTTGACCTGTTCACTCTTTTCCCGCTCCGAGCCGTCTGCAAGCTGCAGGGCGGGTCGTCCCGTTCACCGCCGAATCTCGGAACGCTCGAGCGGCTCGGCGTTCATTTTTCTTGGAGAGGCGTCGTAGCTGCGCCGCTGTTTTTCAAGACGCTGTACCCGCCACAGAGAACCGAAGCAACGCGACCCCCGCGCTCCGTGATAGCCGGCGCCAAACCGTGCTGCACGCCCTGCTGCGTGGCCTAGCCGGAGCCGAGCTTCGGTTTGGGTTTTTCTATTCGAGGTTTTTCTTTCAGCTTCGTTTTGACGATGTACACGTACGTCATTGGAACGGGAAAGAGTTAAGCACAAGGGGTGGCTTAAGCAAAGCCGCCTTTCCAGCGAAAAAGAGAGGCGGGGTTTATTTTTGTTCTTTGTCCAATGAAAAGCTCCGCTCTGCCCGCGATTAAGGACACGGAGGGCGTGTGCGTGATTGGGCCTCGCGCACGCAGTGGGCCCGTCGGCGCAGTGAGGCCGGGGCTGCGTATCGAACCGATTTGATTTTTCTCGGAAAAATGTTACGCTTCAAGCGACCTTGCGCAACAGTGGCGTTATTGATGCGGGCTCAGTGTTCCGTTTTTATTTCACTTTGGGAATATGACAATGACGCAAGCCGTAATTAAGTGACGGTGAGAGTGTTACTGGTGGTCACGATGTGTGCGTGCGTGCGTGTGATTTATGTGTAGTAGCTGTGGAGAACAGGTGTGTGAATGGTTTTCGCATTGCGCTTAGACCCCACACCACGCCATTGTGCAGCTAGCTGACCTTAACTGGTGCTTGCTAACAGCACTTGCCTTGACAGCCTTTGTGGGATGAATGGGAGACCTTTGCCTTTACATTTGGCGGTCACGACGATGGTGATTATGATGACGATGGGCATTGAAGAAACCTCTAGCCTCAGCTCAGCGTTTGGGCCTTCCCACCACCACCAATGCGGAGATGCGAGTCTTGAGCACCGCGCCCACGATACGCAGCCCAGCGGCTCTGCACGCCAGCACTTGTGGTGACGACGCACTAACACTGCCACTTGCCTGCCCGCCCGCCCGGCCAGCCCGCCAGCCCCGACGCTAACGAGAGATGCCGAGACGTCAGATTAGCATGGATAGCGGTGCCGTGAAGTTCCGCACACGGGTGCCTGATGTCATTCACCGCGGATGTTAATGTGGCCGTACTTCACCGCGGCGATCGGTGCGGGTTTGGTGAAGGGGGGAGCGGCCCAGAACTTGTTAGGATATCGCTCGCCACTGATGGTAGCCGTGGCTAGGAATCGAACCTAGGTCACCGGGCTTACAGCACTGTGCCACCACGACCACTATGCTGGCATTCCATGGAGCGTGAAAATTAGCCGCTTTTTCCAGCGTGATGAGCAACGCGTGTGTTCTTCGTTGTGCATGTGTGGCGCCTTTTCTCAAGCCACTGCTGAATGAGCGCTTGCCCGCGGCGTGCGGGTCGTTGGGGTTAATTGACCATCGTTCACTCCCGCCGGTCGGTGCGGAATGCTCAGGGCGGCAAGCGTATCTGTGGTAGGACTGTGGCGTCACAAGACCTTGAGAGACGGCGGTGGCATGGGGAGGCCTTAATCCAGCAGTGGATAATATTAATAATTTCAACTTGCAATGCGCACAGTATTTGCTCACTCTTGAAGAGGGAGAGATCGATTCAGAGGTGCGAGGAGCCACAGACAAAGTGGAAGGTAGCAGCCGGCACCAACAATTTCCCAAGCTCTGCGGTCCTCTATATAGGAAAATGTTTTCAGGTAATGAGTGTGAATACACGTGGAAGGAAACTGGAGTGTCCGTAGAAAACACATGCGTGCGAGGGGCGATACTACTGCGTACAGATGGAACAGATGGAGATTCGTCTAAACTTTACTCTATATGACTGCCTTCACCTGGCGAGCCAGGGTATGGCACCTCAACGCCCACGGGAAGGGAGTCTCGCAACATCTGTGCTATCCACCAACCTTCGCTGCCTCCAAAGTGATGGATTACTGGCCACGTGCATAGCCACCACCCCGATCATGGTGACGATGATGATAATGACGACGATGATGAACAATTTAAATGCTTCATAAACAACGCAAATCCATGCAGCCCAGGAGGAACGGGACATTGTGGACTCCCCATACATCGGTGCTCCTGCAGTGCTTTTAGTCCGAAGGGGAGTAAGGTGGCCGCACCCCTGTGGCACGGCGATTGTTGTGAGCTCCCCAGAGACCCCTCGCGTGCAACTCGGCTGCATTTTCCACGGCGGTTTTATAACCAACACCGCTCGTACCACGTCTCAGAGGCCGTGCAGCGTCACCCATCGTCCAAGAAGTGTGCGGGCGGGCGACCGACCGACCATGCTGGTGCTGTTGCCGGAGCTGCTTTGTCAGCAACGCAGCTTAACTCCATTGTTGTACTCTGCCGCGGCTTCAACATCCGTGCCCTGACCTTGACCGACCCGCACCGTCAGGCGCAGCACAAAAGATGGACGAATGAAAATGCGCCGCAACCCGCACAGCGTGGGGTGGGGGCCCTCATCCAGCATCAGATTGACGACAGAAATGGCTTTACCCCTGTGTGTGTTTGCGTGTCCCACGAAGAGCTTACGGCGGCAAAGGGATCATTTTCCGCATCGGACGGTGTGGTTTTTTTCCCCATGAAAAGCGACCGCTGCGTGCGGAGCTGGTGGGGGAGACCCGGGGAGGGGAGAGGTCACCCTTGGTTCCAGGAACTGGCAGGTCGTCGCCGCCGAAGGCAATCGATGGCCGCGTGCTCGCGGTCCGCTGGCGCGCCTGAGCGAGCGGCCTCGTGGGACCGCTACAGTCGGGATACGTGCTCGCGTCCCCGTGAGCCGCCGCCGCTGCGGTGCACGGCAGAGGGGCGGGAGGGGGGTGGTGCGGTGGGGGTGTGGCATCGCTCGCGCCACGGTCGGTTCGCCGGCTGCTGCCAAGCCGCAGCGCTTCGTGTGCCATGACATCACCGTCGCCGCTTTCATCCCGTAGGCCAGACGCTGCTGCAACGCTCGGCTCGCGGGGGTGCAGTCCCGCCCCCCCCTCGCCGCGGTGATGCGGACAAATGTGTCGACGGTGCCCGCTCACGTGAATTGCATTCTCGTAATTAGTTTCTTTGTTGGTTGTCGATCGTGTCGGAGAGAACGTCAATCTTCCACCGCCCGGCAGTTGAGTTGTCACGTCGCCAAATTTGGCCATTGATTTGTTTATTTTTGGCAAATTCGGCTGAATGTTGAAAAGCAAGCAAAATTGTTAACAAACATTTTTTATGACATTTTGCTCGAGATTGCATCGGGCATCGTCAGGTGTTTAACAAACGCTCGGCTCTCGCACGGATTACAGCGCGTCAGGATATGCACACATTGTGCACGTGCAGCTCTCTGCTGGGTGGGAGGCTCCCCAATGCCGTTCAGGTCGTGGGGTTTATTTTGGCTGCGCTGCTCAGTGCGGATCTGTGAAGCGAGGGAGCCATAGAAAGTATAGTCCAACGATGGATTCTGCTGCAACACTGTCTGCTGCTCACCACGTGTCCCCACGTGTTTTATATTTTAACGTGTGTGCGTGTAAACTCATGGATGAGTGGAACGGAGCGGTGGTGCAACTGGTTAGCACACTGCGCTTTGAGCTTGAACCCTGGCGACCTGAGTTTGATTCCTGGCCACTGCTGTTATTATTTGCGAGTGTCATCTGGACCACTTCACCATCCCACGGGCTGAGCAGAGTGGTGAAGCATGGTCAAACAACGGCTACGATCGATCGACACGGCTTTGGGAGGTCTTCGTCCAGAAGTGTATTGACAGAGGGCTGTAAATTATCATTAGTATTTGAATGAGTAGTGATTCAATGTTTTGAGCGAACTTAATGTTGGACATTACAATCTAAACAGAAAGACATACTGCTGATAGGGTAAACACATCAGCGTGTACGTCTAACCGACGGCTCTCACGTACGCGCACTGTAAGATACTGAGCGTGTTTATTCATGAGCTGGAGAGTCTGCTGTGGGAGGGATCACGAGGCAGTGAGGGGGAAGGGTATAATATACTAGGAGGGAGAAAGCGAGAGAGGCTGACAAGAGAGAGAAAGACGCCACGTCTGCAATTCGCAAACCGCATGCTGCCCGAAGCCTTCGACCAAATCACCCCGACCTGCACCCGATCTCGTCGCATCTCAGAAGCTCCGCACATTTGAGCCTGGACGGTGCTTTGATGGGGGATCGCCACGCATAAAGCGCGTGCTATAAGCTGCCGCGGGGCTGCGTTGTCATCGGAGGGCAGTGCATGCGAGATCCACTGTCCTACTCTCCAGCATCCTCTGCCGCTTGCCATCACCTACCGGCTCTGACTAGCGTGACCTCGTGACCCCCACGACCTGCACAGAGTGGGAAGGTCCTCATCCAGCAGTGCCTTTACAGAAGGGCTGTACGCGTGCACACGTACGCACGCACAAATGCGTGTGTGAAAAGGTCAAAGATAGTTTTTGTTGTTTGCCGTGGCCATTGATGACGCAGTGAGGGGCTCTTCTACGAGCCATCTCGTGGCCACGCTGCCACTGCTGCTGCTGCTGCTGCATATTGCATGAGATGGCTCGGGTGTCGAAGCTGGGAATCGCGCTCAGACACACAGCATTCCGTTAGGGACCCCCCCCCCCGAACATGAGCCGAGATGAAAGGTCTATTTTGGTTCCCCATTCATTAAACATCTCGGGGTCGTCGATCGTTTATTCATGAGGAAGTTTACTTTGGTGACAGACGCACAGGTTTAATGAGGAGTCGCACAATCGCACCGCTGCGGCTCGTGTCTTTAATTTTTCGTTCGCGAAGGAGATGTGCGCGTGGGCCTGGTGATGCCTGTCGGTGGTTGATGATGATGATGGTGGTGACCATGCCAGAAGTGACCGTTCGTTGAACTTTTTTCTCACCGTACGTAGCCAACCGTGCTAATCGGCGGTGCGGGGGGGAAGGACAACAAGCTAAACGCGTAAGACGGCAGTTCTAAAGGCACGAGTTTTGAACGACGGCGGTGGCGTGTCTGGGCGCAGGTGATGGAGTTCTACTGCGAGTCGTGCGAGACGGCCGTGTGCCACGACTGCACCAACGCGGAGCACCTGGAGCACCCCTCGGTGCTGCTCAAGGACGTGGTGGAGCAGCACAAGGCGTCCCTGCAGGGCCAGGTGGAGCTCGTGCAGGCCAGGCGAGTCTCCCCGCTCCGCGCGCTACGCTCCCAGCTCCGCACCGAACCCGTTCCCTCTCCGCCCTCTGCGACGTCACCCCATTCCACCAAAGCGCAATCCCCCCCCTGGTCGCCTTTCATCGCTGCTCTACAAAGGATGGGGGGGGATCTGTTCAGGAATCAGAATTGATCACACGTACATTAAGTTTTCTTCACGTGGCGTTAAACCGTGTGATAAAATGTAATATACATCCAGAATTCTTTGTTCGTTATACACTATTTTATTTTAATTGTTTTTAACTATTTTTATTTCACTTGGCGATACAGCTCTTTTTTAGAAGCCACCTGGCCACAAATGGTAGCTCAACGAAGTGGCTAATCATATGGGCATTTATAGCAGCCAAATACGCTAATCGCGTGATTCTAAATGTGGAGGGAAAAACCGGAGGACCCGGAGAAAAGCCACACAACCATGGGGCGAACATGCACACTCCAAATATACAGCAGGCGTTAGGGTCGGAATGGAATCCGCGACCTCCTGTAAACCAGGCAAAGTAGTCACATCTCGCCACAGTGGTGCCCCATGTACAATTCTGCATTCGTGAGAAAACGATCCGTGTCGTGACCAACCGCACGCGTGGTTGGGCCGCGCTCGTGCTTGGTTGTCGGCGCTCGCAGGGGGTGAATGCCGTGAGCCGGAGATGTTTTTATTTTAAACGCGGAAGACTCCGGAGTCTGCCGGGCCCTGTGCTCGCGCGGCACTGCGGCTCCACGGCGCCACATTCTGTATCGGCTTCACAGAGAAGCACAGACGCCGCTTTGCGTTATCCGCTCTCGGAACATTCCGACAAACTTAATCGCAACAAAAACTCTTTGCCTTGTCCACGTGTACGTGCCTTGCTACCTTGTACACCGTGTTTCCTACCTGACCCATAACCCGTGACCCAGGCTCCCCTATACCCGATAGCATATGCCCCTCTATGATTACGTACCCCGCATGTACCGCATTTACCCTCGCGTGGCGCTGTTTGCCCATTTAGCGCATTCCCCACGTGTCCCATATATCACTTGTACCCCATTGACTACATTTTTTCCCAGGTACCCCATGTAACCCATTCACGTCCACCGTGGAGATGGAGCGATGAAATCGGCTCGCGTTCAGATGCTTGGCGGTCCGATGCATTTCAGAACTGTGTGGGGAGGCTTTCATCCAGCAGTGGATTGACCATGGCTGATGATGATGATCATCATCCCATACCTCGCGTGTGACCACAGGCTGCCGGAGCTCGACTCTGCTGTCAGCATGGTGTCGGAGATCGCTAAGCAACTGCTGGCCCAGCGGGACGAGGCGCTCGGGGAGATCCGCGCCGCCTTCGACGACCTCACCAAGGCCCTGGAGCAGCGCAAGAGCGCGCTCGTCACGGACACGGAGGGCCTCTACACCTCCAAGCAGAAGGTGCGGGGCACCCCACTTCCTGCGTAGCTGCGTGGGTTTGGGGCGAGCGGACGCAATCACTGTATGGGGCCGTGGTAACGCGTCGGGATGAAGATGGGGGTGGTTTGCGTGTCCCCCTCTATGCCCTCCCCCCTCCCAAAGAAACCCTGAAGTCGACGGAGTTCCTTCAGTCACGTACCCTGCACCCACCCAGTGGCCTGATGTCCATTAAAGGCCAGTCGACCGGGCCTCACTGGCAAAACAAAACGATACTTGCCTGCTCATTATAATAATTAGTAATAGCATGCACTCTACGCCGGTGTTCTTCATTGCAAGGCCTGTGGGCCACTGGCGACCTCTGGTGACCTTTAGTGCGGCCCCTGACGCACCCCATCGTGCTGTCAAAGCCAATGGTTTCGAATGTGTGGCGGCCGTCACACTGATGTCTTGATGCCCTAGGCCTTCCTTCCCCCCGTTGCCCCCCCTCTTCCCCTCTCCCTCCATTGCCCCACCCCTACCGCCGGCCGCCACCGCACCTGCTGCCCGTCGACCCAAACCGCCGCCCCTCCGCTCCGTCTGCCAGGTGCTGCAGGCGCAGCTGGACACGCTGGTGCAAGGCCGCGCCAACATCCGCAGCAGCTGCGACTTCACGGCGCAGGCGCTGAGCCAAGGCGGCGAGACGGAGGTGCTGCTCGTGCGCAAGCAGATGAGCGAGCGGCTGGCGCAGCTGGCGGAGCAGAGCTTCCCGTTGCACCCGCTGCAGAACGACCACCTGGAGTTCCGCGCCGAGGCCGCCGACCCGCTGCGCCGCTCGCTGCTCAACTTGGGCGCGCTCGTCACCACGCACGCCGTCGCCTGCCAGACCGTCGCCACCGGGGACGCCCTGCGGCAGGTGCGGCTCTAGCAGAAGCTGGTGCGGTGGCCGTGGTGGTAGTGGAGGTGGTGATGGCGGTGGTGCCTCTTGTGGGGGCGGTGGGGTCAACGGTGGCGATGGAGGTGGTGATGGTGGTTGGTGGAGATAGTGGTGGCAGTGGTGCCTGTTTGTTAGTGGTGGTGATGGGTGGCGGTGTCAACAGCGATGGTGGTGGCGGCGATAATTGTGATGGGGATGGAGATTGTGGTGGTGGCAGTGGAAATCGTGGTACTGATGGAGGTGTTGATATGGTGGCAGCAAATGGCCTTCATAAGCTATGGCGGTGCTGTAAACATGTTAGAGGCCATTGTGGATCCACTGCTGGATGAAGGCCCCCCAAGCACGTCGGGCACAGGAGTAGTTTTACCAAACTTGACAGTTGCTCTGTGTCGGTTGACCAATGGGGGAGACCCAGGGGCCAGTACCACTGGGTACTGAGCTGAGGTCACTGGGCTCATAGCACAGTGCCACCGCTTCACCCTGACACATTGAAAACAAAGAGTACAGTAAAACATAAACAAGTGAAAGGGCTCCGTGATTTAAATGGAGCCGCAAGCCAAAATAAATCACAGCTCTCATCTTGCAGGTAATGGACCCAGGCCGTGTGTTCCAGGCTGTCACGTGTGAGTTAAAGCTTTATTAATGAGGAAAAAAAAGCCTTTCAAGTTTATTGTAAGGTTACCGTCATCCCATTTACCACGACATCGTCCAGTCCTGTTCTTAGGATGACTCCAAAAATGTTCTACGTACGATATTCATTACAGATATGTCTTTATAATTTGCCATTTCTTGTACTCTGCAGTCTGAACAGGACACCCCACGCCCAGTCTCCCAGCATGAGATCTATAGCCACTTGAATAAAACACCTTCAGTGAGCATTCATTTTTATGTTACATGGATTTCTATATGAGCCGAAGGCAAATTGTCACTTTGGTTATTTTCATAGAAACGACCACAGAGCGCCCGCTTACAACTCTGCCTGGGGCCCGATGCGATTCACACGCTCCTGAAACAATGCATTGAATAGTGCGCATGAGGATCGATCATCTTTTATTGAAATTCCAAATCGTCCGTCCTGTCGGTGTACAATTACGACGGGCGGCATCGCCTTGTTCACCTCGCGACAACCGCTAGTTTCGGCGAGAGGCGCTAACGTTGTCAGGTAATTGGTTCACGTACACCTGCAGGTACTGCCGGATGTGCTTCCTCTCGCCACAATGCACCAAAGCATTGAATCGACGAAGGAATCGAGTAACAACCTTTAAATGGCGTCGCTTCATCGAAACGAGGAGCGCAGGAAATCGTTCACGAATCTTTGCCACCTCGCAGCAAACCCCTTTTGACCCTCTTCCCCTCCGCTCGACACGCGCGGCGTCGCAGGCGGTGGTCGGGCAGCCGGCGTGCGTCACCGTCACCACGAAGGACAAGGACGGCGAGCTGGTGCGCTCAGGCTCGGCGGCACTCACCGTGGAGATCTGCACGCCCGAGGGCAGCGTGGTGGACGGCGAGGTCACCGACAACCGCAACGGCACCTACGAGCTCACGTACACGCTGCCGCGCGACGGCGAGTTCACGCTCGCGCTGCGCCTCTACGACCAGCACATCCGCGGCAGCCCCTTCCGCCTGCGCGGCCTCAAGCCCAGCGACCTGTCGCCCGGCGCGGGGGACGCGGCGCGCCGCCGGGGCAAGTCGCCGGGCGCCGGCGGGGGAGGCTGGCGGCGGCGGAGGAGGCGCGGCGCCGTCGAGCGCTCACGTGCGCCAGCGCGCCCTCAAGCGGCCGTCCAGCATGTACAGCACCGGGCGGCGGAAGGAGAACCCCATAGAGGACGACCTCATCGCGCGCATCGGTGAGCCGCTCGCCGCTTGGGAACTTCGCCCACGTGGTTTGGGGTTGGTGGGGGGGGTGGAGGGGGGGGTGGTGGGGGAGGTGGAGGGGGGGTGGAGGGGGGTAACCGGGGTATCCCCCTCCTCCGTGTGTATTCCCCTCCTTCGTGTGTATTCCCTGCTGCTTGCACTCTCCCTGTTGTCACTCTGCACCCCCACGCCGCATTCAGTGACCGCCCCTCGCGCTCGGTGCTTCACTCTCTCGCCCTTCCGCTCCACGTCGTATTCACCAGCCGCTCTTCGCCCTGCGTGCTCTCGCTCTGTGTTCTTCAAATTGCAAACATTTCACATTGTCTGGCTCGCTTTCTGCTCCATTTGTGAAGCCACTGGGCATGCTTATCTGGTAGGAACCTCCTGGTCACACCAGCCCACAGGGGATTATTGTGTCCGTTGTGCAGGGAGGGGCTGGGTGGGGAGGGAGGGGCTGGGTGGGGAGGGGAGGGTGAGGAGGGGCTGGGTGGGGAGGGGCTTGGTGGGGATGGGCTGGGTGGGGAGGGTGGGGCTGGGAGGGGGGTGGGATGGGTGGGGCTGGGTGGGGAGGGGCTGGTCACCCCGTGGTGTCCTTATAAAAATCAACGTTTAACCTACTCACGCCGGCTTGTGCCCACCCTCACAGTCGATCATATTTGCGTAATACACCACGCCGCCGTTGACCCTGGCCATTGACCCAGCAACCCAACGTTCCTACCAGCTCCCTCCGCAGGAATGTGTTAGCTCGGTGATATCCGTGCCACTCGGTATTCTGTCTTTTTTATACTTTTGGTCTAGTTTTGCTCTGGGAGTTTTGTTTGATAAGAGGGAGAATGAATGAGGAACTCTGCCAAGGCAGTGCCAACACCCCACGTAAGAGAATGGTCCACAGGAAAGAGACGTCGTAGAGTACTTCGGAGATCCCTTCAAGCGATATTTTTTCTATCACACACTGCCTGCCACAGAGAAACGTTGTGCAAATCCAAACTCAATGTGATGATTATTTCGTATGGAGTCCATGGTGACTGGGACTGAGACCATCGGATCGTTACGTTTGAGAATGCGGTTTAACTACGGGGCGGCTAAAACCTGGATTAGAATCCAGAATCACAGCGGTGCCAGCTGCGGTGACTCTGACCCCCCCCCCACCCCCCCAAGCTTTCTGATCACCTTGCTACTTGACCTGATTTGTAGTAACGGATGATTCTTTGCCCTGGAGCAGCGGTCCCCAGGACCTTGTCCGAGGAAGAATTTGAAATGTCTACTTCCCGCAGGGACCAAAGGAAGGAACAAGGGAGAGTTCACGAACCTGCAGGGGGTCGCGACCTCCGGGAACAGCCGCATCGTCATTGCCGACAGCAACAACCAGTGTGTGCAGGTGAGGGCCTGCTCGCATCCTGACCCCCCCCCTCGACCCCTCACCCCCTCCCCTCCCCCTCTCTCGACCCCTAATCCCCACACTCACCTCCACCAGCGGCCCATGCTGACACACTTAGGGATGTGGTCCAGAATGACGAGCAGGTGCAGAAGTCGTTTCTTTGCTCACATTGGATTGTTTTGAGAGTTCAACCAAAGGCGACTGCAACTAAAGATGAGGCTTGCTTAGCAGGATGATACCTTTAGAGTCAACATGTGTTTCGAGTATTTGGCTGCTATAAATGTACACATAAGCCGCTTCGTTGAGCTATCATTTGTGGCGAGGTCGCTTTTGAAACAGAGCTGTATAGCTCATGCGGGCCTTACCTGGTAAAAAAAAAAATACACGCGGGAATGCCGACTACGGCACTTTGGGCCTGTACCGGTGGCTCCTCGCCTTCCTCTGCACTGACCCTGCTCGCCAGGCTCTCTGATCCAGAGACCCTCGGGGAGCAGGGAGGGGGCAGCAGTGGGCCACATGCCTCGTGGCGGCATCGGATCGACCGCTTCTGCGGAGACGTGGGGATGGAAAGGGGACTCGCTTGGGTGCTTTGCTAAGAGGGACCCTAGGGAGTCGATGCCAGAGGGTGGATTCTGCAACGCGCTGTCTAATGTGGCCAATGTGAGCATTTCTATTGGCTGCTAGGTTGACGCGAGCCTGTTGCATACAACATTCACGAATGTAACAACATCGATTCTCACAGCGCAGCAATATGATGCACCGTGTTACGAATATTTATAACGACTGACTCATCGACGTATTCCTTACACCCCTCGATCAGTAGCAAGCGGGTAGCTCCATTTAAGGCTATTTAAGTCAAGACGCGAGCGAGAGACCACTGTGACCACTGAACACGTTAGGTCACATGGACCAATGTGTGACCACTGTGACTACTGTGAACACGGTAACCACGGTGACCACTCATCCACTTGACGCCCCCCTCTCAACCGTCGGAAGGTGTTCACCAACGACGGGACGTTCAAGTCGCGCTTCGGCGTGCGAGGTCGCTCCCCGGGGCAGCTGCAGCGGCCGACGGGCGTTGCCGTCCACCCCAACGGGGACGTCATCGTGGCCGACTACGACAACAAGTGGGTCAGCATCTTCGGCGCCGACGGGAAGTTCAAGGTGAGACGCCCCCCCCCCCCCCCCCCCACCGGATCTCACCGTGCGGGGCGGCCTTTAACTTCTCACCGAAGATTGAACGTCCTCTCCGTTTTACGCCCGTGGCCCACGTTCCGAAGGAGCCCACGTCAACTCGAGCGGTGAAACTCTCCGAACCGACTCTGAATATTTGCGGATCGCTGCTCGACTGCAGCAGGCGGATGACAGGAGGGGGGGGGGGAGGCCTAAATTAGCACTCGACATAATCACGCAACCTCGGAACACCTGGACACGTTGACAGCAGCTGGTAGTGAGCGGCATACCGCATGGGGTGTTTCCGAGTTCAGAAATATTTTCCGCGTTGCCGGTCGCGCGCAAAGCCGGCTGCTATTGAAACCTGCCGATCACGTCTCTCGCCGTGTCATCGCGAGCCGTCACAATCGGAGCCGACGGGGCTCCAGAAAAAACGCGGGAAACGCTCGTTCATGTGCACGCGCACGCTTCCCACCCTCCCCCCCCGCAGAGCAAGCTGGGCGCCGGCAAGCTGCTGGGGCCCAAGGGCGTGGCGGTGGACCGCAACGGGCATATCATCGTGGTGGACAACAAGGCGTGCTGCGTCACGGCCTTCCAGCCGAGCGGCAAACTCGTGACGCGCTTCGGCAGCCGGGGGAACGGGGACAAGCAGTTTGCAGGTTGCCACCGGCAAACGGGCGCGGCGCTCAGAGCCGGACACACACGGGGTTCCATTACCATGACAAAGACACCAACGTGTAGCGTTCTTTGAAAAAGGTCGATTGCGACTTGTCCCCATGCTAATGATTGTAATTGACCCCCCCCCCCCCACCACTCCCGGGTTTGTCCGGAGCAGAAGGCACGACCAAGGCTTTTCAGGGCATCGCCTCCCTCTGTCTTTCTCTCTCTGCCCTGCAATGCCACCAGAAAGAACGGGCAATAGACCTTGTGTTGTTGGTAGACATTGATTTGGGTAAAGCCGTCGCTTTCGCTGCACGAAAGTAAAGAACTTTACAGCACATTCGGCAACGTCAGAACAACGCCTACGACGGCATTTCAGAAACGTGTCGCTCGTTGCTTTAGTTGACCCTGCATACCAGGTTCTTTCTGCTCGGGCACACGGTGAGTGGAGGAAGCCATGGGGCGTGGCCAAAGTCCTCCTGGCCAACTGGTGGCTCGGCTGCTGTTGGGAGCGTGGACTGGGAAGGAAGCTCGGTTGAGGGATTGTACCAGGAGGCGGGGGGGGGGGTGTCCTTCGGGGTGGCGTCTCTTTCCTGTCGCATGGCCCCCTGCTGTTCATGTTGAGCCTCACGACGTCCGTTTACCCCACAGGACCTCACTTTGTCGCAGTAAACAGCAACAACGACATCATAGTCACGGATTTCCACAACCACTCCGTCAAGGTATGGCCTCTGAGTAGCGACACACTGCCCCATCCATATTAGTTTTAGATTTAACAAGAATACTTAACACGTTAATTGTTCAGAGACGGGATGTGACAATGACATTATCTGATACATACAGGTAGTAGTGTCGGAGTGACTGTAAATTATTATCATGACGTGTGTATGTTGAACTTCTTTCGCACCATACGTAGCCAACCGTACTCATCGAAGGTGCGTGGGACGGACATCAAAATAAACACAAAACTAATTTTAACAATGAGTTTTCAATGTAGATTTAAAAGTGCACACCTCCAGTGGCTTCCTCATATCGGAAGTAAGAGCGTTCCAGACGGCCCCAGAAGCGCATCTGAGAGCACGCAATGCAGCGATGTTCTAGAAGGCCTAGAAAGCTGAGAAGCGTTTCACAGATATCATTGAGTCTTATGCTTCAAATTAGAAACGTCTGCAAACCAATAGTTTCAACTCTGGGCCCTTAAACTAATTACTGATCAGGTGATGTTTGCATTCACTGTTGTTCTTGTGCGTAACACTTACAAATATATCATCCCCATCATCAGTAACCCAAGTAATTTTCCTTCCACGGAGTGTGATACTCTCGCCAAAATATATAGGCAGAGTCTGCTTAGATATTGGTAAAAAAAAACGAAAAACATCCTCTGTGTTTTGCTATCTTGTCCCTTTCCGACACTTCATCTACTCTCACCATCGTGCACCCCACTATTTACACGCCCCGCACAATCACACCACCACTCAAACAATCGTCCACCAACTCCGTCAACCTCCAAACACTCCCCGGCTCGCTCAATCCACCCACTCCACCTCACTCCCGCACGCTCGCTCCCTCCCGCCCGCCTGGCGTAGGTCTTCAACTCAGACGGGGAGTTCCTGCTCAAGTTCGGCTCCAACGGAGAAGGCAACGGGCAGTTCAACGCCCCTACCGGCGTGGCTGTGGACGCCCTGGGCAACATCATCGTGGCCGACTGGGGCAACAGTCGGATACAGGTGATGCCGCCGCCGCCATGCCGCGTCACTGCGTGGGGCGGACCGGTCGCATCGAGGGCCCAGTGAGGAGACGGGCCCGTGCCATCTCAAAAGTAGATGAGCCTCTTCGGCCAGAGCGGTGACATCACGGGACACGTGACCACGCGACGGTCATGACGTGGCGAGCCTTATGACGTCACGTCATTACCAGGGGTTCAACGAGCTGTTTCTAAATCGGTAACCTCCGCAATCGCAAAACAAACGTGGTTTATTTATTCGTGTAGACCGACACAGACAGAGAAAACAGAAGATGTCTTTGAAGAAGCCTTCATTCAACAGTGGATTGACATAAAAGCATTCGTATTCTTGTGATTGTTACATGAGCGGAGCCGGCAATGTTCGTGACAAAGGCTGCAGGGCAACTCGCTCCCGCCTGCCCTCTCTCCGTCGCCCCTCCGTGCTGCCCTTAAAAGTTCCCTACTTGTCGCGCGTGTTCCCTTCGCGTGCGGGACAGGTGTTCGACAGCTCCGGCTCGTTCCTCTCTTACATCAACACCTCGGCCGACCCACTCTACGGGCCCCAGGGCCTGGCTCTCACCTGCGACGGCCACGTCATTGTCGCCGACTCGGGCAACCACTGCTTCAAGATTTACCGATACCTGCAGTGAACGACGGCCACGGCTCCTCGCTTCCTCCCAGCGCGGCGTCGCGAGCGGTTCTGCCGATGGCCGGCGGGCGGGCCTCTTCGGTCTCCGGCGTAGAGGGGGGGGCGCGCGTGTGCCGATCTCTTCTCCGTGTTGCCTGCGGGATCGGCCGCCGCCCTCGCCGACGAACCCTCGCGTCCGTCGCGGGATGTCCCATCTTGGGTTGAAGCGTAAACTCCCCCGCACGCGCCGTGTCATAATCAAACTAATCTCGTTTACGGTCGTCTCGCGTTCTTACGTTGGGTTCCAAGCTCTGGCATGAATTATGTTGATTTAATTTATTGTTATTGTGAACGCTCCCCGGTGTTCCTCTGGACGGTGCTTTGGGAGGCTGATCTGTTGTCACCCTTTCAAAGTCTGACACCCTGTGGGCGCTCGTCCACACGCACGCTCCCCTTCGCTCGTACCCCCCACCCCACCCCGGAGTCTCCGTGAAGCTCCGGACTTGGAGCGACACCCGTTCCGGCGTCCCGAGAAGAACAAGAAAGAGCCTCGTTTGTATGGAGACGGCGCGAAACTGGGGCTGAAGGGAGAAGCTGTCGGCATGCGGAGCGAAACGTCGGACGTCGCGCCGAACTACACGTGGGAGGCGAGACGCGCCGTTCGCCCGCCACAGGACTCCGCAGCGGGAGTGGCGGAGGGATGCCTGCACGCAGGGTCCTGATCCGGGGGGGGGAGTGGGGGGGGTGGCGCTGTGGCGCGGTTCGCCTGCCAGGACTTCACGCGACGGACACGAAGCTCGCGATTGTTGGCGACGAGGCGTTCGTGGCGCCACGACCGGGAAGCGAACTCGGGAGACGTTCGGGGGGCTTCGACGTCCCTGCCGGAGATGATTTCATTGACTGCGTCGACGCCACGCTCTGCGTACAGCACATTCACAGTGTGACTAAACACGCGCCCTCACGCTCACACACGCGCCGGCCACGAGAGACGTGTTACTCGTGCCCTGCTCCCCATTGCGGATAGACCGGCAGGCACTTGCACAGCGCTTGCTGTAACCTTGCACGCCGCACATCAGCACGAGTGCTCGCGTTACATTTTCCATTCGTCCGTTCTCCCTCCCCCCACCCACCCCCGACAACTTGCAGGCGTGATGCAATGTGCTGTTTGTTTTTTCTCATTTGCGTCGATTGTTTTAAGTGCTTTTACTCGAAGCCGTTTTTAAGCGCCGCGTGTTTGTCCTCCCGCGTGATATGGTACACCCGTGTGCAATTGCTGTACAAGCAGTGCGTGTTTACAGGTTTTGTCACAAGGAAACGCTGTTGTCATGCTTAGCACTTATATCCCGAGCCGGGGAAGCTAACCCCCCCACAGCCATGGTGTGATGTCAAGGAGAGAAGAGCGGTCGTCAAACTGCCCGACGCTGTCGGCCCCCGTAACATTCACGTTCGCTCCCCTGCACTGCGGTGGAGATCCGCGGGGCCAAGTTCGACGTTTTGCTTCCTTCCAGGAGACATGTGCTAGTTGTCAATCTTCTGGAATTTTCTTTCAATAATTCTCTGCTCTACGTATCGTTTGAGCACAAACCGGTGCTTTCATTGCACAAATGTGCGCTTCTGTGAACGCGAGGGCAGCGTGTGCCGGGAGGGCCCGTTGTTGCTCGGGGGAGAGGTCTCGAAATATAGCGCACGAACACACACACGTGCGCGTACATGATGCAGAGTTCCGACTTGCAGGCCGATCCGTTTATAGAGACCCCACCCATGTTCTAACGACCGAGTATGCTTCTCAAAAAGAGTGATGTAAGCAAATCATGTTGGCTATGTTGAAATAGGTGTAACAGGAGAATTGTTTAAACATTGGCTAAGTGTATTGAGATCTGGTCGACGTTTAGAGGCTATGAAATAAAATGTTGTCTTTAGAAGCATAGATTTTCCCCTTTTTTATGGCAACAAAACAGCTGTGTTAAGATGTTAAAACACCAAACTGAAACCTTTTACAAGGAACCATGTCTGCATTAACCAGAATACTTGTGGTCAGAATGCAAACAAAAAACATACTCTGATAATATATGCATTGTATTTGAAACTGATTGGTCCACACCAAAGACAATGCAAATATTATCAGAGTACGTTTTTTGTTTGCATTCTGACCACAAGTATTGTGGTTAATGCAGACATGATTCCTTGTAAAAGGTTTTAGTTTGGTGTGACATATTAACACCTATTTTGTTGCCAGATAAAAAGGGGGAAAACCTATTTTCATATTTTGTTACCGGCAAAGGAGGTCCCATGATGTTGTCTTCATATTTTCTCTTAGTAGTGGGGTCTCTATAAACGGATCACTTTGGGTTTTGTTGGCACTTTGCTCACCACAAATGAATGAACGCTCACACATTCCGCTTCCGAGAATGACGGGGGAGCGACGGTGAGAATGTGGTGAGAGAGGAGGCGATGAGCGACGGTCTTGCGGAGTGTTTTCTGGCTCCATGGCTGAAGTGGTGGCCACGGCTTCGTCGTACAACCACCTCCGCGCCTCCCTCGTGCCACGGGCCACTCTTGAGGTGGGTGCCGTTTCTTTTGATTGTACAATTTACGTAGTAAAGGGGAGGGAGAGGGGAAACAAATAATCGCCGTCGCTCGTTGCTGACAATGTTTGGCAAAGTAGAAAAATGAGCAGAGGCGGGTGAAGTTTGGACGCAGGGTGCAAACCACCCGCCCAACTGCATTTGTCGGTGGGAGGTGCAAATTTTCGTCGTGAAGTTTTCTATTTTCGTTGGCACTCGGTGAGATGTTCACCCCACGCATCTTTTTTTTGCACGACAAAAAAACACGAAGGAAAGAAGGCGGCACGCTTCGAATGCCGTCGTCCTGTGTTTGATATCGGGGCGAGGCTGCTTGTTGTATTTATTTTCGGTGGTGGTCGCAGTCATCGCGTGTGTGCATGCCCCTCTCTCCGCACCTCATGCTGCCCACCGAGGCCTCGAGCCGCGCCGACTTCGGCCTTTGTGTGTGTGTGTGTGTGTCGAGGGGGGTGGTGGACTTTTCGATCTCGCTGTAAAGGGGACGAGAGGGGGCCGACTGCGTCGGGAGGTATTTATTTGGTGCAGTGCAGTATTTTCGGTGTTGAGTAATTTGTGCGGTTTTTTTTTATTTGAAGGGCTTGGTAACAGCAACGTCTCCCCTACCTATGCGCGCACTCTGCCAGCAGTATCGCGCCCGAAACGACAACACTCACTACGAAGCTATTCACTGACGTGGCGTACTAATAATGATGTTGATAATAATAATAAAACCGATACTCAATGATATAAATGTCCTTGAAATATTTAATGAAACGTAACAGCGAAGTGGGAGTTCGTGAAGGGGGGTAAACCTCTCCGGTTGTTTCTAGATTTGAAGCTTTCGTGACTGCAAGGATTCATACTCTTAGGTTTTTTCGGTAAAGTCACGTAGGTAAAATAACTAATACAAATAAAAATAATAAAAATAGAAAACGGTGATTTATTATTTTATTTCTGTTATTATTAATATTTAATTTTTTATTTTCATTATTTACTTTTTCCTACGTGACTTTACCGAAAACACCTAAGAGTATATACTCTCCTTTTGTGTGTGTGTGCTGCGTGGTAGGCGAATCGGTTATCTTGGGAAGGGATTTGCGGGCAGCAAACGGGGTCGAGATGGGGGGGGGGGATGGTCGACGATCGGCGTTCTAAGTGGGTCATTTGCTTCGATGTTTGGCAGCACAAAAGGTAAAACGACAAAAGGTTGCGTTATTTTAGACCGGCGATACTAAAAGTGCATCGCCAATATTAAACAGAAGAAGAAGAAACAGCAACTGTATAATATGTAACGCAATGTTGGTATGGGGTTTTCTTTTTGGTGTGTATTAAAGAATGTTTCTTATTTTAATTGAGTAAACTCTCGTCTTTTTGTTTTTTTCCTGTGTAAATTATTAAGCAGGGATGGGAAAACAGTGTCCACTACGATTTAGCAAATTCCTTTTCATCACTTTGTATTTGAACTGGATATTTGTTTTGCTGATTCCCAGTCAAAATCCACATTTTCAATTTCCAATGTTATCAATGTGTAGTTCATTCGGCAAATGTTAATTAGTTATTCATTATTTATTCATGTGCAGGGACGTTCGGTTCGTGTACATTTATTTCCTAAAGTCAACCTTTACCACAGATGACGCAGGCCACTGTCTTTTTTTTATAATTTCGAGTTTTTTCGGGTCACGCTTTCATATTTAATCAACGTGAAGTGTTTGTTTTGCATGTGTACCTTGATTATTTGCGGAGTTTATTTAAAAAAAACTATGAAAATTTCGTTGTAAATATTCACCAAATCGACGTTTTCGTATCGACATGCTAACCCAATACGAACATATCTACATACCAACATATGTCAGTACGAACATGTGTTAGTATGTCGATTTCTTTTTTTCTCGGCAAACAAAATTGGTACAACTTCTAAATGGAATCGGTACGCTGGACTTTTTAGTCGGTGTCCATTAGTTATTTACAAGTTTTTATTGGGGGAAAAAGTTATATTTAATCAACAATCACCAAAACTTACAATATCCTTTTTATTCGTGTAATTTCATGGAGGGGGGGACTTTTTAATCAATGTAGAGTACTTTTTATGCAGTGGATTCAGTTTGTATTTGAAAAACAAACAAAATGTATGGGTTATGTCACTTTATTTTTGTTAAATGTTACCACAAATTTGATCGTCATCTTTATTGTCATTTACATCAATACATAGCTCTCTTTTTGTTGAACGTGTACATTCATTTATTTGTAGTTTTATATATATAAAAAACAAAATGAATTATTTGGCCAATATTCACAAAAAAATGGAGGGACGCAATTGGAACACAAACTGCAGAATTACGTGAACCTGTTGAAGAAAAAGCGGGCTCATGGATAGCGAGCTGAAGAGGTGGTTCAGAGCAGGTTTGTGGGGGGGGGGGGGGGTGCTTTCACTAAACTGAACTTGACCATGAACGCTAATGTACCAATGTGCTTGAAGCAACTAATTGCATCGGTGCGTCGTGATCTGTCATGGCATGGTGCAGAAGCACCGTGCGCGATTAACACCAAACAGGGAACGCACGCTGGCAAGCCACAACAGAGTGATCGACAGGAACACGTGGACAAGATAAGATGCCTCTCACGAGGATGGCGTGATTCAAGGTGTTAAAAAATATAAGCGGGCTTGGCCAGGGCACGTCCTCACTTGAAGGGAATGAGGAGTAATCTTGGAGTGACAGCCACGGAAGGAAACGCGTCCCTGAGAAGGCGTCTAACAAGATGATTAAGTGAATTTGTCAGCTTGTGTGCAGGTGCTATGTAGATAATGGCTTGGGGTAGACCTTCCTCCAGCTGGGAATTGACCATGGCTGACGATTTACCAGTATATATTTTTTTAAGATTTACCGATCTTGGCATCGGTTCGAATGCACAGTGTTTTTTTTATTTTCTGAGGAAAAATGTGTTTGCGTAATTTCAGTATTTTTACGATTTATAATACTTTAAACGCGTGCATTTATCATTTACAGCTCTCAATTACTACAAGGAGAAAGTGTTCACGTTCACCAATAATGACGTAGAATAGCTCGTTTTTGTCACTTTCAGAGATAAAATACTTTAATATTTTGATTTCCTATCATTGTAAAGTACATTTTAGCGATTGCGCAGTTAATATTAATTTATTTAGAAAAAATGAAAGTTTTTTTTATCAGCATTCAGGAAGTCATTTTTGCAATTTTCTGAGGAAAAGTTTCGTCAAATTTCTATTTCATCGACGTAGTGTGCTTTTGACAGGGGATGTTCATTATTTATTCACGGTTCATATTTAAAAATAGATTTTACATCAATATCGATCCATATATTTTTCCTTCATTTTTTCTCGACGGAGACCTTTTCGCAATGTGTTTGTATTTATATTACAACTTTTTTTGGGGTCAAACTAAACATCCGCAAATGTATTAAAAATAAGATTAGTACTCTGGGTCTTTTGGTAAAGTCACAGATAGGGAAAAAATAATAAAATAATAAAATAATAAATCATTAAAATAGGTTTTACCCTCTGGCAAGAAAACAGGAGGTCTTAAGTATTTCAAGCACCAAATATATGTATTTTGCAAGGAATCAACTCTGCATTAATCACACGTACTAGTGGTGAACATTCAAACAAACATACTCTGATAATATTTGCATTGTCTTTGAAACTGATCCTCATATATAACTTTTGACATTCACCAACACTTTCTGAAGACACCACGGCTGAATTTACTGCATATTCATAAAACAGTTAAATTAATTAACGAAAAATTGTTCATAAAATTAAACCAATACATGTGCCATTTTTGGCAAACATTGCCGTAAGAATTTACCCCCTAATTTTTCCAACTAAAACTATAATTTCCTTACATTGCCTGCTTACACATTCAGGATATAATATGCATTTGTTACTGGTTTCTAGAAAAGCAATACTTTTTTGTGCAAATTTGTTTCCAACTTTAATATTTTCCCTTCATCGTAAAACTACATTTGTCGCAATTTTTTTCCATCTGATTGTTAATTATTTCCAATAATTAGATTCAGCACGTACACATTTTGAAAAGTTTGTAACAAAAAGAAAATAACATTTTGGGTCAGTTTTAACCCAAAACGAAACATTGTTATTTTTCTGCATGTTTAACATTTGCTCTCAAATTTTGAAGTTTATATTATTTACTAGATTTAGGCAAGTATACATTAATGATATTTTAGAAATATTTTTTATGTCTTGGTCAAGTATGGTAATTTTATTCCTATTTTTGGTTTTGTACAATTTTTGTTGTACCAGTATTGCATATTGCTGTCTGCACAACATCAATTGATTACAATTTTATCATAGAATAAAATCTAGTCTACATTTCTTGGGTTTAATCCCCCCCCTATAATGTTTAATATAATTAATTAACGTAATTTGTCTCTTTCTCCTACATTGAATAATTTTGCGCATGTATGCAATCCAGTGTCAAACTTTTCACAACGTAGTTTTTTTATTGAATAAAGCGCGGTCCCGTTACAGTGCGCCACCAAAACTCTTCCACAAACTTTGAGTACTTCCAAAAGAGACTTGGGGTTCATGGAGACAGAGTGGGAGGGGGGGCACACACGTGACCCCGTGCTGTTGTCTGTAGCTATTACTCGTTCGTCTGTGGCCAGGTGACCACAACCCTCGTGGTCCCGCGGTCAGGTCTACGCATCGGGCAACCCTCAGTCACAATTTCACCATCACCCGAGCAACACACACGCGGGGTTACCACGTCAAAGGTAGTTCTATGTCATTTCGAAAATATGGCTGATATATGCAATCAATTCAGAATATGAATGCACCGTCACCCACCATCTCGGCGGGGATGAAAACATCAGTTCGTCAGAGTGTACACCTTGCACCGTGGTATTTCATGAGCATTTTTCATAAAGGAGCGTGAGACAATAATGTACATCGATTGACAAACAATGCCCAAGGAAAAAAGCACTTCATGACTTGTACTCACGATTGCCGACATCTTTAAAGTGTCTGAAACATGCCTCTGAAATCATAGAAACTGCCCAACCAAAAAGTCACAAGCATCCACTTCAGGCTTTGCAGAAAAACAATGTATTCTACTGTGAAATGACTCACAGGAGTCGGTTGATGAGGTGCCACCCATCAAAAAAAAGTTTAATTTAGAGTAAGGTTTGTACAATTCTGTGCATGTATTTGTCAAAACGTTGGCCCAGCTTTTGGCTTCATCATGAATCAATGGCGCATTCCTCGTTACACAAAACTGGAAAATCCATTTTCTTCCTTAGCATGTAAATATAAAATCTAAATACTTACGGTATGTGGGAAAAAACATCCAAAATCTTGTTCATAGACAAGTTCTGGCCTTGACCGTCTTCTTCCGTCATGACAAATCTCACATTGCCACCTGTTTATAAAACGCATTTCAAATATATATACATATGTATACCATAAAACATACCACCACTGCAAGTAGCTATTGTAAGGAAAATTGTCAGCTCACAACTCCTGGAATTGTAACAATTGTTGAGCCGACGAGCATTGATCGCTGATTCGGCACTCGCACCGAGTTCCCGGCGAGGGCTTCCCAGCGGTGTGACAGGCATCCCCGCACTCTCTATCGCTCCTGACATTTCCAGGGGTCAGACTCGCTCCTCCCTCTCATCTCCCCAGAGATCAGACTCGCTCCTGCCTCTCATCTCCCCAGGGGTCAGACTCGCTCCTCACGCTCATCTCCCCAGGGGTCAGACTCGCTCCTCCCTCTCATCTCCCCAGGGGTCAGACTCGCTCCTCCCTCTCATCTCCCCAGAGATCAGACTCGCTCCTCCCTCTCATCTCCCCAGGGGTCAGACTCGCTCCTCCCTCTCATCTCCCCAGAGATCAGACTCGCTCCTCCCTCTCATCTCTCCAGGGGTCAGACTCGCTCCTCCCTCTCATCTCCCCAGGGGTCAGGCTCCTCCCTCTCATCTCCCCAGGGGTCAGGCTCCTCCCTATCATCTCCCCAGGGGTCAGACTCACTCCTCCCTCTCATCTCCCCAGGGGTCAGACTCACTCCTCCCTCTCATCTCCCCAGGGGTCAGACTCGCTCCTCCCTCTCATCTCCCCAGGGGTCAGACTCGCTCCTCCCTCTCATCTCCCCAGGGGTCAAACTCGCTCCTCCCTCTCATCTCCCCGGGGGTCAGACTCGCTCCTCCTTCTCATCTCCTCGGGGGTCAGACTCGCTCCTCCCTCTCATCCGCGGGTCTGAGCAGCCGCTGGATAACGGACGTCGTGTTCCCAGTGAGAGGCGTCCTTGTAGCAGCGGCCGCCGGGGCGGCGGGCGGTCGACCGATCTGCTCGCTCGCGGAGGCCCTCTGGCGCAGCGAGTCCGGGCCGCGGATCACGCTGGGCACGAGCAGGCGGCGCAGCGCCGGGTAGGCGTCGGGGCCCACGGAGGCCGGGTGCCGGTCCGCGGCCGACTCGACGGCCTCCGAGGAACGGTCCGGGCGAGCGAGGACGCCGGCGAGGATGCTGGCGAGGACGGGCGAGGGCGGCGGTGGAGGCATCGGTGGCGACGGCGGCAGGGCAGGCAGGACCGATCGTCCGTCGGCGCTCGCGATGGTCCTGGGCCGCGGTCGGCTCGGAGGGAGGGCGCGCATCACCACGGGCACGTGCACCGACCCCACGGCCCTGCGGTCAGCGAGCAGGAAGCGCCGGTGTGTCACTCAACCAGCTGCGACGTAGCGCCGATGAAAACATGAATTGTAAATTTGCCCACAATTGTATGTTCGTTGCGCTAATGGCGATGCATCACAAGACGAAGTGCCACAGCGCAATCCCCCCCCCCCCCCCGGTGTTAGAGTATAGCTCGTGGAAGTGGTTATCATAGAACTACTTCTGGTGTATCTTCAACCAAACTCACCACCCAGCCAAACTCCACACTCAGCCAACCAAACTCCACACCCAGCCAACCAAACTCACCACCCAGCCAACCAAACTCCACACCCAGCCAACCAAACTCACCACCCAGCCAACCAAACTCCACACCCAGCCAACCAAACTCCACACCCAGCCAACCAAACTCACCACCCAGCCAAACTCCACACTCAGCCAACCAAACTCCACACCCAGCCAACCAAACTCACCACCCAGCCAACCAAACTCCACACCCAGCCAACCAAACTCACCACCCAGCCAACCAAACTCCACACCCAGCCAACCAAACTCCACACCCAGCCAACCAAACTCCACACCCAGCCAACCAAACTCACCACCCAGCCAACCAAACTCCACACCCAGCCAACCAAACTCACCACCCAGCCAACCAAACTCCACACCCAACCAACCAAACTCCACACCCAACCAACCAAACTCACCACCCAGCCAACCAAACTCACCACCCAGCCAACCAAACTCCACACCCAGCCAACCAAACTCACCACCCAGCCAACCAAACTCCCACCCAGCCAACCAAACTCCACACCCAGCCAACCAAACTCACCACCCAGCCAACCAAACTCCACACCCAACCAACCAAACTCCACACCCAGCCAACCAAACTCCCACCCAAGCCAACCAAACTCCACACCCAGCCAACCAAACTCCACACCCAGCCAACCAAACTCCACACCCAGCCAACCAAACTCCACACCCAGCCAACCAAACTCACCACCCACCAACCAAACTCCACACCCAGCCAACCAAACTCCACACCCACCAACCAAACTCCACACCCAGCCAACCAAACTCCACACCCAGCCAACCAAACTCACCACCCAGCCAACCAAACTCCACACCCAGCCAACCAAACTCCACACCCAGCCAACCAACTCCACACCCAACCAACCAACTCCACACCCAGCCAACCAAACTCCACACCCAGCCAACCAAACTCCACACCCAGCCAACCAAACTCCACACCCAGCCAACCAAACTCCACACCCAGCCAACCAAACTCACCACCCAGCCAACCAAACTCCACACCCAGCCAACCAAACTCCACACCCAGCCAACCAAACTCACCACCCAGCCAACCAAACTCCACACCCAACCAACCAAACTCACCACCCAGCCAACCAAACTCCACACCCAGCCAACCAAACTCCACACCCAGCCAACCAAACTCCACACCCAGCCAACCAAACTCCACACCCAGCCAACCAAACTCCACACCCAGCCAACCAAACTCCACACCCAGCCAACCAAACTCCACACCCAGCCAACCAAACTCCACACCCAACCAACCAAACTCACCACCCAGCCAACCAAACTCCACACCCAGCCAACCAAACTCCCCACCCAGCCAACCAAACTCCACACCCAGCCAACCAAACTCCACACCCAGCCAACCAAACTCCACACCCAACCAACCAAACTCCACACCCAGCCAACCAAACTCCACACCCAGCCAACCAAACTCCACACCCAACCAACCAAACTCCACACCCAGCCAACCAAACTCCACACCCAGCCAACCAAACTCCACACCCAGCCAACCAAACTCCACACCCAACCAACCAAACTCCACACCCAGCCAACCAAACTCCACACCCAGCCAACCAAACTCCACACCCAACCAACCAAACTCCACACCCAGCCAACCAAACTCCACACCCAGCCAACCAAACTCCACACCCAACCAACCAAACTCCACACCCAGCCAACCAAACTCCACACCCAGCCAACCAAACTCCACACCCAGCCAACCAAACTCACCACCCAGCCAACCAAACTCCACACCCAGCCAACCAAACTCCACACCCAACCAACCAAACTCCACACCCAGCCAACCAAACTCCACACCCAGCCAACCAAACTCCACACCCAGCCAACCAAACTCACCACCCAGCCAACCAAACTCCACACCCAGCCAACCAAACTCCACACCCAGCCAACCAAACTCACCACCCAGCCAACCAAACTCCACACCCAGCCAACCAAACTCCACACCCAGCCAACCAAACTCCACACCCAACCAACCAAACTCCACACCCAGCCAACCAAACTCCACACCCAGCCAACCAAACTCCACACCCAGCCAACCAAACTCCACCACCCAGCCAACCAAACTCCACACCCAGCCAACCAAACTCCACACCCAGCCAACCAAACTCCACACCCAGCCAACCAAACTCACCACCCAGCCAACCAAACTCCACACCCAGCCAACCAAACTCCACACCCAACCAACCAAACTCCACACCCAGCCAACCAAACTCCACACCCAGCCAACCAAACTCCACACCCAGCCAACCAAACTCACCACCCAGCCAACCAAACTCCACACCCCAGCCAACCAACTCCACACCAGCCACCAAACTCCACACCAGCCAACCAAACTCCACACCCAGCCAACCAAACTCCACACCAAGCCAACCAAACTCCACACCCAGCCAACCAAACTCCACACCCAGCCAACCAAACTCACCACCCGCCAACCAAACTCCACACCCAGCCAACCAAACTCCACACCCAGCCAACCAAACTCACCACACCCAGCCAACCAAACTCCACACCCAGCCAACCAAACTCCACAACCCAGCCAACCAAACTCCACACCCAGAGCCAACCAAACTCCACACCCAGCAACCAAAACTCCACACCCAGCCAACCAAACTCCACACCCAGCCAACCAAACTCCACACCCAGCCAACCAAACTCCACACCAGCCAACCCAACTCACCACCCAGCCAACCAAACTCCACACCCAGCCAACCAAACTCCACACCCAGCCAACCAAACTCACCACCCAGCCAACCAAACTCCACACCCAGCCAACCAAACTCCACACCCAGCCAACCAAACTCACCACCCAGCCAACCAAACTCCACACCCAGCCAACCAAACTCCACACCCAACCCAACAAACTGACAACCAAAACCCACGGCACCTCACAGCGCCTGGGATAACACAAGAAGGAAATTATGTTATTACAAAAAAAACGGAGTTATTTACTACTTCACATATTTCCAGTCGCAGCCAACACTAATAATTTTTAGTTCCTATGTTGTGATGTAAATTGGAGACATTGGCGGCAAATACTGTTGACAAAGATGCAGACTACTTTGGCTGGGTCTAATTTAAACGAATGGGAGGCCAACAAATAGCAATCACTGCTTAGTGGCATTGCACTGCCACGTGCGAGGAGAAGTGTGGTATGAAAAGGTGACTAGGAGCAGAGGCCATCCACGCAAGATTGATGACATCATTTCATGTTTATAGATCTAAATAAAATGGGGAGTGATGGCATAAAGGAGGATTTAAACGAGAAAAACGTGCATCTGAACATTCAGAAAATTAAGAGCACTGGTCTACAGCGAGCAATAGCCATGACCAGATACGTTTCGAGTTTCAAGTTTGTTTTATTTTGTTTAACCAGGCATGAACTCAAGAGACAAGGATGAGTCTCATTTGCAAGGAGTGACCTGGGGTCAGAGAAAAGAAGGCGTCAGAGACGTTCCTCCAGCCACATCGCCAGCCGCCCTGCCATGAATGACTGCCGAGCCGGGAGACGCGGAGAGGGGGGAGACTCATCTCTGTAGGATGCAGCGCAGGGCTCCTCTAAGCCCGCATCGGACACTGTACCCGGGCGCATTCCGCAATTCCGGTTGCAGCGGGGAGCGACCTGAGTGGCTCAACGCAACCCAGCCGTTCCGGCAGGTGCGGCCTTCGGATGCAGAGGCGAGGGCGGGGTGAGAAATAACACCAGGGGCATCCACCCCACCCACCGATCCAAAGACAAAGATCCCCCTTATAGCCAAAACAGACCGTTGGGGCTGTTAGCAAGTAGCACCAATGAAGGCCGGCACGGCACAGCATGCCCAGCCGCCTTTGCCTCCCCAATTCCAATGTTTAGACATCGCACCAGGTACTCATTTGAGGCTGAGTCGACCTATCGGAAGGCCCAGGACCGATGATTTAGATAATTGTCACCGGTGCTGGCCGCGAGCGGGTCGCAGTCTTCGTGGCTCAGCGCGCTAATTGTTGCACTACCGCTCCCCGCCCACCCACCAACCCACCAACCCTCCCCACCCACCCACTCACCAAACCACCAACCAACCAACCCACTCACCCACCAACCCTCCCCGCCCACCAACACACCAATCCACCAACTCACCAACCCACCAACCCACCAACCCTCCCCGCCCACCCACCCACCCGTTGCCACCGCCCGTGGCACATGTCACGAGTCACGCAGTGCTAGACAGCCACGCTTGTTTAAAGCCTTGCATTTAGGGTAACAAAGGTCAAAATAGTTTGGTTCTGATGTGATTGTGTAAATGTGAAGCAGCTCTCATCTCTTGTTTACAGTCCTAAGCAAAATAGTGGACATTCCACATTCCGATGGCGGGGGCTACGTTATAGGTAGTGCAGACAAATTAATTGCTGTATTGTGCTTTTATGTTCTCGATTTCACCAATCCAAACTGACCGGTGTGGTGAAGTACGGTCAAATAACTCCAAAGACTTCGGCCGGCATGGAGAGGCCCTCATCCAGCAGTGGATTGACTAAAGGGCTGCACGCGCACGCAGCAGGGGGAGAGTCCAACAGGACAACCGGCTTCACACGAAGCGGTTCTCTAGGGGAGCGTGAAGGGCCCAGTTAACCCCGGACGCTCTCGCCACGGCCGCCACCTCACCCGGCTTTTTGCAGCCAAAGCGCAGAAAGCAAAATGAAGCGCTCGGCGGTGAACAAATCTCCCCTCGCTTCGCTTGGACAGCCCGGCGAGCGCCCACGGCGGCGACCCCCGTCCCCCTCCCCGCCACTGGGCCGCGGTCAAGGAGTCGCGCGAACAACTCAAAATTCCGTCGAGCAGATGAGCACGAGCGTCCGTATCCCTCACCTGCTCTCGGCAGCTACGGTGGGTTCCGGGCCGCCGATGCGGTCTGTGCCGACGCTCGCACGTCGCCTGTCAAAAGGCGACCCGTCTCCCGGACGAAGCGGTCCGCGACCGCCCAAATCGGCCGCCACTTCTCTGTCCCCCGCGGCGGGGGAGTGCGGCGGGGTTGTGTCGGGGCTGCTGGGCGCCTCGGTCGAGCCGTTGGTGTCGTTGTCCCCATTTCTCCGGTGGTCTCTGGGCATCTCCTTGAACTGGTAGACAAGCCGCTGCCCCTCCACCTTAGCCAGGATACCGCGCTGGTAGTAGTACCTGTCGGATGACAGGGGAGGCCGGTGCAGAGAGCGGACCTTGAAGGATGCCTCGCAACGACTGCGGGATCTAGCAGAAGGAAGGAAGTGATGGCAAGGTGCAGTGGCATCGAGGGGATTTGGCCACGATGACCCCGTGGCCCCGAGCCGGCCGCACGCGCTAATAAATGAAATCCAACATCTTCCGCGTGTGATGATAAACTCGTACAGGTAGTCGGCAAACACATACAAGTAATCACAAAAAGGCTATTCCCAGACAATGAAAAACAAAACTGTGACCATCATGAGGCCTCCTTTGCCAGTACCAAAATATACTAATAGGAGTTTTTCCCCTTTTTTCTGGCAACAGTAAAACTGTGACCGTCGAATCGGTCCTTCCAGGCCGTTACCGCAGCGCTCTTCCCATCGTCTCGTAGTTCATGTCGGGCTTGTTCTTGTGGCACCCCCACAACTTGGACACCGCTTTCGAGTCCACTAGCTTGAAGATCCCCTTGTCGCGCTCGGTCCACTTGATGTAGCGGGGACACGTGTTGCTGTCGTGCAGCAGGCCCAGCAGGAACTCCCACAGGTACGGGCCTGCAAAGAGACGCGCGGGGCCACCGGGGACGGGGGTTGGGGGCAATGCCACAACTTCAGACGCAACATTTCAGGCCCTTTTGAAGACGTGAGTAATCGTTCACGCAATCTTGACATGGCATTTGCTTGGGCATAGTTCATAAATCGATTACCACCGTTATACAGATAGAAATGATGATTCCACCTTTCTTGGTAAGGGAGAAGTTATCATAAAATACCGCGGTGTCAGATGTACCCGAATAAAAAAAAAATAATATCCACGCTGGGTAGGCTGATGGCTAATTCAGTTTCATGCGTGCCAACCGCTGACCTGCCATACACCGATAAAACTACCTTGCAAGAAAAGTTTGACTGTGAGGTTGCCTAACTGCCGATGGAGATATGCGATGTGTAGACTGGTCACCGCCACTTCGCTGCTCGACGCCGCACGATCGGAGAGCTTCGTCGCGCAATGTGGAAGGTCACTCATCTACCCCTGCTGCCCGTGGTCTGGCACAAAGGACAGCCATCCATGCTGCCGACTCCCTGCCCCTGTTAAAGTTCAGGTTGGAGAACTTCCTTCCCCCCCCCCCCCCCCTCTGTCTATACGCGACTGCCTCGATCGATAACGATAATATGGCTACCGTTTCTGTACAGCGTCGTGAGGAACAGTCGCAATCAGACGCCGCTATCTAAATCAAAATTACACCGTGTTTTACTACCCTGGTGAGCCACCCGGCCCCCTCTCCTGAATGAAATATTTGTTTTACCTTTCCCTTCCCGTGCCTTCTTCTTTATCTTCCCGTCCGGACACTCGGGCAGTAAACCTTCCGCATTCTTGGGCCGCCGACCTGAACGATGCGCACAAACCGTTCGCATGATGATCGCCCAACCGCCCGTGTCGAGTCAAAGAGATCGTGGTCATAGGTCCTTATCAAGTACAGCAGGTGTCTCATTCCCGTCGCACATTCAGAAGCCCACATTGGCGCTCGCAGCGATTGAATCTTTCGCAGCGGCACAGTCTCTACGAGCCCGCACAATCCAGTGTTCCACAGGCACCGATGATCTCCTTTCATTTGTAAATAAAGCCCCCCGCACATCGCACGCCCCTGATGGTAAGTAATCTGCATCTTGTGGGGGAGCGGGGGGGCGATTGAGAAGCAATGGGTTATTGTGGCCACAGCGACGCTGGCAAGCAGCATGCGGCTCCTGGAGAGTTCAAGTGCGGCTCTTGATGGAGACGCAGCCGAATGTTTAACTTTTCGACCTTAGCTCTCCTCGCAACAGGGACACCGTGGAGCAGCCCGGGGCACTTGCCCGTGACGGCAGAGCGAGATACGAGGACTCCCGCGGCGCTCACGCAGATATATCCGTTCAAGGCTCCACAGACGACGAGCGCGTGAGCGAACCGGCTGGGAGTCCACCCCGTGTGTTCCCCGAGACCCTCGGACATACGAAGGCTTTGGTATGCAGCTCATAGGGGTCAGGAAGTTCGGCCAGCCCCTTGGCAATAGCAAGGATTACCTCGCCTCTTCGTGGCCGGGCTGGGCTTGGACGAGGCAGAGGCGTGAGAGCCGAGGGGGGCGTCTACCCAGAGTGCAGTGCCGTCGTGCTCGGGGCCGGTGGCGCAGGGCGACACGAACGCACAGCGCACTGTGGGAAACACACACACACAGAGGGGACACAAACACACACACAGAGGGGACACACGCACACACACAGAGGGCGCACACACACACACACAGCGGGGACACACGCACACACACAGAGGGGACACACGCACACACACAGCGGGGACACACACACAGAGGGGACACACACACACAGAGGGGACACACACACAGAGGGGACACACACATGCACCAGTGACCACGGCAGCACTGACGAGGCTCTTTGAGATCATTATCCCAGCACCTCCGATTAGCACGGTTGGCTACGTACGGTGCGAAAGAAGTTCAACGTACGTACATTTCCAGAGGACAGTCTAGAAAGCCAGAGAGGCGAGCTGAGGACTGAGCTGGAGTCCAGAATACACCGATGTTAAATCTTATCTTGTGACAAGAGCTGCCAGCGTAGACAAGTTTTATCCAGCTTAAATCATTCGTTTCCATCTTATATATAAATACTTTTCATAGAACCACACCTGCACGGCTGGTATCGAGACACCAGAAGGGCAGCATGACATTAACAATGAAACCAAACGCACGGGCTGCATTATAATCTACAAAACATCGCAATGGGTATCAACAACGTACAGTACACGACCTAAAGATAGATCACTGAAGGCATCGGGGTAGCACGGAGTACCTGAGGTACCAGGGATCTTACTTCACCTGAAGAGAGTCACGTGACTCCAATAGTCCTTTGTTTTTCTATAAAATGGTGAATGTTCAACTACAAAACAATCCTAAACAAATCTATTACCTGGCCATATCAATATATATGTTTGATATCTCAGATTGTCCTCTTTTTATTTACTGTATATATGTGTAATTTATATATATTACTTTATATCGGCGTGTTTTTACTGCTGCAATTCATCATTCGAGGTCACATCACAAAAGCCACTGAACTAGATTTTAATCAATGCCTACGACAAAATCAAAGGTTCAATTGACACGCCTTCCAAAGCCCTTTTCCCTTCGATTCAGCAAAAAAATGTTCACCAAACCATTTTTATTCATGTGCGCACGCAATATAAACCTACGCAGGCCCGTAAGCAGCTGACTCGGCAAACGACTTAGATTGTCTGTTTATTGCCAGGCCAGTAACTCCCTAGCTCGGAGGCAGAGACACACCTAGCAATGCATTGCAACACCAGTGTACATCCTGCGGGTATGGAAAGGGCACAGTCTTAGAGTGTTCAGTCAGTGCAACTGCACTTGTGGTTCATGGGCTAGAGGAGGCCCAGGGCCCATGTAGTACAGACATGCGTGTCACTCTCCTCTATGTAGGCCTATGGGTCTCTACGTAAGGTGTGGTAACCTACGGGCCTCTATCGTTGATGTGGATTTGTGTGCCTATTTGTTTAACCAGGTGAGAACTGAAATACCAATGTGTTTAATTTGTGACCTGGGACATCAGTTCGCCAGTAGGGGGGCGATGATGGCTGTGCGCGATACCAATTTAGTAATTTGCGAGTGTTTTTATAATTTTTGCAAATTTGAACGATGACATTGGCACACGATGGCCCACGCTTGCGAACGACGTCACAGGTTTCTTTAACGTCCACTTTGAAGCAGACGGCGTGTAGCAGTGTGGTGATTACACCCGCAGTATGAATCAGGGTGGCCACTGAACCTCTGCAACAAGCGACAAACGAGCTACCACTGTGCCGTTTCACCGCCCGATGACGTTTATCAAGTGTTCAGGAGGCAACTGCACCAGGGCAACACTGGATGGAGGGCCCTAGGTGCCCAGCTGTGTATGCAAAGAGGTGGAAAGAGGAGAAGGGGACTCCATTTCAATTCTTGCTCTAGTGCGCCCATGCCAGCCGCTCCATGCCACCGAGAGGGCGCCCTCGTGTTGCCACGCAACGTCTCGGGGGGGCCGCTCCATCTTCTCTGAAGTCCCGTGTTCGTGCCAGGTGACCCTTGCTGACCTGGCCTGATAGCAGCAGTTCGTCAAAGCCTCGACGACTTCCCGGAGGCGGTGTCAATCGTAACCCGCATCACCGCCGCGAGGAGGATTAACATCTGCGGAGGCTTCACTTCCGCGGTGCCAATGCGGGATGTCAGTGCGGGGCTTTGGTAAGCAAGTGTCACTTTGCAAGGGAGTCAACGAGTGGAGGGACTCGCCTCTACCATGAGAGTGTGGAGTGTCTACCACAAGCTTATGGCCACAAACGCAAATCGGCAGTGCTTCAAACCTCATTTGACTCTTGTCGATTCGTGGTTCGCACATTTTACCCAACGCTTTGGAAGCACGGCTATTGCGAAATCCCTAACAGATTCTGGGCTAAGAGATGCTGCCTAGGAGATCGCAGTTCAGCAAATGGAGTTGTGCACCCATATGTGTTGTTGTTGGAGTGTAGTTCTTGCTGTATGCTGGGTGCGTTTATTCCCAGTACTGTAATTCAGTTCCCCTACCCGAGCAAAAAACACTCAATAAAATAGAATTTGGCCAAACACCTCAATATTCGACAGCTCAATAAGCCTCTCCTAGATATATAATAATATTAATTAGTATTATTGATGTCAAATAACTACACAAATGGGAAAACATTCTTCGGGGCACTCAAGCAAATCAGAATCTTTATTTAGACTGCAGGAAAGATCAACATCGGCCGGAGTTGAATCGGTGCTTTCCGTAACAGCAGCGACCACTGCATCAGCGTCGGCACATGCGAGCGCCATTTACCTTGTGCAGCATTACCTGCCGAGACCGCTCGCTGTATCGCAAGAGAGGTGTGGGGGGGGGGGAGCTTTGCTTTTCACGGTGAAATCCCCAGATACTCTCACACTATCTCGACCGTGCTCGAACCCAAAAACAAAACCATACCGTGCAAAAAACCATACCGTGGAATGTGTTTTCATGTTGACGTGAACAAACTCGCTCTGAAGCTAACCTTCCTTGCACGTTAGGGTTTTTGGACTACGTTTGTTTGGGTAATGGCGAGCTTTTGTGATCGGATTTCCAAAGGAATGGATTTGGTTACCATCAACCTAGATTTCCGTCACTTGTTTTGGTGGTCTTGTTTTTGAGTTAAAGTGCCAGACAAACCAGCTGTTCAAAGGGAGAGTAAAATAGATACACCGTGACCGTGTGCATGTACAGCCCTATTTGTCGATCCACTGCTAGATGAGGGCTACCCCACACTGCGTGCGTAGTGGGGAATTATTCACCCATACTTCCCAGCAGTGTTCAGTGCGAATTGGTGAAGGCACCACGCAGAGACATGAGAGTATGGTACAACAGCGTTTTTTGTTTCTACACTGCCCTCCGCCAGCCACGACGCAGTAGAAGAGTCAGACCAGCCCTGACCATCACTGTTCATGGCCAGGTAAGAAGCCCATTGAGCCACTGCGGTAGCATCAGCATCGGCGTCTTTTTGGTTGAACTTTCCCTGTCAGCCGTGACGCAAAAGCCAGGGAGGGGGGCAGCTAGGGGTCCAGACAAAAGACAAAGATCCCCCGTATAGCCTTAACAGATTGTAGGGGCAAGTGCTGTTAGCGAGCACTTATGAAGGCCGGAACGGTACACGAGGGGGTGGGTGGCCAGCACCACGCCCGACCGCCTTTGTCTCCCCAGTGGCGATGTTTACACACCGCACCAGGTACTCACTTCAGGCTGAGTCGACCTAGGGGAGGCCCAGGACCGGTTCAGATAATCGTCACTGGTGTTGGCTGTGAGCGGGAATCGAACCCGGGTGGCCAGGTTCATAGCGCAGAGCGCTAACCGCTGCACTACCGCTCCCCACTGGTCACATGCACACACACACACACGTGAACACACATGCGTGTCGTCTGCACACCTGCGACCTACATTCAGTGCCGCCACCCCCAAACCCCCAACTACCACCTCCCTCCCAGATGCAATCACTTTCTATCGCCAGCTGCCAAAGCTCACAAAGTTCACTCTCCGTCCTCCAACACCCACATCTTCTCAAACGCAAACACGGAGGAGGATGCTCCCAGGCGATTGCTCACGCACTGATTATCTTGCAGTCACACGGTCGCTATTTTACCAGCAGAGTGATTTGTTATCTCTCGTTTCGTTGTACAACATTGAGTGTCCGAGAGTCGGGCTAAGACTAAAGGTCTGGAGTGGAGCATCTACGGAAGAGATTTCCAAAACCTTCTGGACGCGTGGACCATTGGACCATTATCATGCACCAAAAATATATTTTTAACTTTTTCATTTAAAAGCGCTGTCCATTGTTTAATTGCAAAAAAAGCCAATAAAACAATTACGTGCCCTTTTTTATCGGCTCAATCTAAACAGTTGTAAAATGGGTCATTTAAAAAATATATAAATGGTGTTTTGTTAAGAAAATCGTAGCATCTGCAAGAGTTCTGCGGTCCACTTCCCACGTCTTTGCAAGGCCATCACGTGGGCGACGGACCAAAGGTGGGGGGGGGGGGCATCGCTGATCGGAGGGTTGAGAGTTTGACAGTGAAAGGGAGTGCCTGAGAATCACTGCTGGGGAATGAAAGGGCATTTCTCAAACTGAAGTGCGATGCATGGCAATAGCATGTTCAAATCTAGAATCAATAGGATGTTGTTGATTCTCAGAGGTGGGGGAGTGTTTTGAGGCCTAGTCGCACTAATGGTGGTTGTCAGGTGGTATTGTGAGCGAGGTACTGTACTTTGAGTTATGGTAACATCGTAGGCGAGGTGAAGTGACATTGAGTTTATTACGAGGTAGGCATTGTTGTGAACCAGGGATCAGAAAGTACTATCAGATCAGAATGTATTTTGAGTCGGGCAAACAGGTTAGAGCATGAGATAGTCCTGCGAGAGAGCATTGTTATTCAGGTAGTATTGTAAGTCAGGTGGCACTGCGATATCTGATATCACTGTGAGATCAGATAAGTAGTATCATGAGTCAAACAATGGGAAGCAATGATGCATTAACGGAAAGATCACACAGGTGGCAAAGCATTTCATGAACCTCTATGGTCAATTGCTTTTGTGGAGTAATCTCCATCGAGTGGGGAATGGAGCAGTTTGACTCCCCCGAGACCTGTGGCATGGAACCATCATGGAACCATCTCCCCTCCCGACCAGCAGCCAGCGATTCGAAAACTGATCAAGAATTATATTGAGGTCTGTTACGGAATCAATTGTTTGTCGTCTTGTGTGTTCCAACTTAATTGTATTGTCTATTTGTTTTCTTGTTTGAACATTTTTGTCAGCTCCATGGGCCTAAACATGGCATTAGTATATTACAACCATCAGCCATGGTTCATCCACTGCTAGATGAAAGCCTCTCCATGCCGTCGCCATCTCTCACGGAGTGCTGCGACACCACAATCCATCTCACTACAGCATATCACTGACATATAATTTATGTAAATAGTAAATCATCGATTCTTACACACAAACTGTGAAGCATGTTTCTTGTGCGTACAAATCCATTTCAATCAATAAACCGATCCATCCATTTAAACTGAATCTTACGCTCAAGAAACGCGCATCTTTTTATTTATTTAATCAATGACCCAATTAATCGTTAAGAAACTCTGCGCCCGTGAAAAAAGAACCGCGGCCTCACCCTCGGGCTGCGCCCTCCAAGGAGCCCCTCTCTCCGTCGCCGCCTCGGAGCCGCCGTGGGGGATCACGATGACCCTCCCGTGCGCCGCCTCCCCCTCCTGGACCCCCGTGTAGATGATGGGCCGCGAGTCGGGCATGGAGAGGGGCCGGGCGAACACGAGCACGCCGGGCCCGGCTCGCACGGCCCCCCGGTCCAACAGTGCCGGGTACGACATCTGCAGGCCGACAGCCTTCCAAGAGAGAGAGAGAAAATTAAACCTCGTATCGCTCGCTCGCTCGCTCGCTCGCTCGCTCTTCATTGTGTGTAACTCCCTTCCCCTCCCGGTCATCAGTGCAGTCGACTCCCTGCCCTTGTTCTAGTCCAGGCTCAATAGCTTGCCCCTCTCCTCTGCCTCTACCCGACCAGAAAGTGTCTTCAGTCGCACCTCTTTGCCCAGTGGATTCGTACTGCTCGCCCTTTCCCTTCGGGAAAGATCTGGAAAGGTCACTCGTGTGCTGCTGCCACAGCCTGAACCTTCCATCTACCGCAGCCATCTGTGCTGTTGAACTCCTGCCGCTGTTAAAGGCCAGGCTCAAGGCCATGACTGACAGCCTCTTTCCCTCTATGAAGTAAAAACATTATGCCCCGCTCTCTCTGGATAATTTCGTCAAGCACATTTGAGAAATATCTTTACAACTGCAGTGTCAGTTTTGTGGAAATCTATTAAAATGTAAAACTACGGTGGTAGTGTCTGTAGTATAATCACGATCACTGACATGAATTCTATTTATATATTGCCTTTAATTGCTACAAAGGCACCGTTGAATCATTCAAACTGGCAAGACTTGCGACAAAAACGAACAATCCTTTGACATCTCATAATTAAAGTCCACCATTAAAATAGACTGTATCATAATAGTCTATGGTACGTGTTATATATATCATGGGATCTTTTTTCCAGTATCAAAGTATGAAAAATAAGAATAGGTTTTACTCTTTCTGCCAATAAAACAGGTGTTAAAATTTTGACTTAAAACTTTCGTGACTTCAGGATTTCTTATTCTTGGTTCTTTCGGTCGTCATCATCCTTTTTAATCTTATTTACTTTCATTTTTTTCTATCTACGTGACTTTACCGAAAGAACCAAGAATATGGGTTTAAAGATGTTCAAACGCCAATTAGAAACCTTTCACAATGACTCAAGTCTGCATTAACCACACGTGCTACTTGGGGTGAACATTCAAACAAACTGTTCGCCTTTTGGTGTTGTCTGGTCTAACACTGGTGAGATTAAGCCCTAAAGAAGGCAGCTGTCTCCGTTCAAAGACAAATGCATCAAATAGTATTATTATCAGAGCATGTTTGTTTCTATGTTCACCACGAGTGGTGTGTGGTAAATGCAGACTTGATTCCTTGCAAAAGGTTTATATTTGGTGTTTAAATATCTGTTTTATTTCCAGAAAGGATAAAACCTATTCTTATATATATATAGATATATTATACATTAAATACTTTTCTTGTCTGTGTGGCCACGTGGCAATAATGGAGGACAACGCTAACGCCCACCAGGCCCTGCTCCTATAGGGGAGCCCGGGGCTTACGTTCAGGTTATTAATTTTATTCATTGTATATATATCGAGTGATTGGGAGAGGCAAACGCAAGCTTTTAGGGACTTTACCAGATTTTCAAACGCCATCCTCTTGAGAGCAGGAATGTCATGCCAAGCGGGGAAGCCTCACTCGGGGTCTCGAGGCTGCATTGGGCGAGGAGTGGCAGGCTGCGGTTGCCTGATGACTACGCCGTGCTCGCGCCGCAAGGCCTGCAAACAAACACAGACGAACGCAAACGGTCAAAGACAAGGATTCTCTGCATGGATTTATCGAATGATGGGGCAAGTGCTGTCAGCGAGCGCCTATTAAGGACGGTGCCATGCCCGATTGCCCGGTATTCCCAGCTGTCTCTTCTTTGCCCAGTGCTGATGTTTACACATTGCACTGGCTATTCAGTCAAAGCTGAATCGCCTCCAGCATCAAGACACTGCATCGTACAGAACCCAGCTGTGTGAGGACAGACTTGTGTCAAGAACAAATGACCTCGAGGAAAATGCTGACCCATCAGAATCCATGTCAATCTAAATCTTAATCAGCTACGAAAACTGATTGGATGTTAAAAAGGCGCTTATATTACAAATCTACTAACACATTTTCAAATGTCCCACAAATTACTCATTTGGGATTATACAAAGCAATCATCTATTGCTATGTAGAATCCCAATCTTCTATTGCTATGTATAACTAATACTGATTTATGGGCCAGGTGTTGTCACCTTGTGCCCATGGAACAGCTGCCACCGGAGGTGCTCCTTTCAAATGTGTTGAGACGAAATAAAAAAACATAATTCTTATCAACAACGTTAGCCGCGTAACAAAATGTTCCAATATATATTCCACACAGCTGTAGGGATTACACGGCCTTCCGAATGAATTCCGTGTAAGTCAAAGGAATTTTTAAAAGTAAGTATTACGTGTGGAATGGTGGTGCAAGTAGTAAGTCATGCCAAGAATCCAGTGACCTGAAATCCACTCCTAGCCACGGCTAACTTAGCGAGCCGTCTGTGGACCCTTCTATCCACCTTCACCTGGCCCCACCTGACCAACGCGATGAAGCAAAAACAACCTCCATGATTAAGGGGCCGTCCATAAATGACGTCACGCGATTTTGGACGATTTTTGACCCCCCCCCCCTCGTCACACGGCGTAACGAAAAGTCAGACCCCCCCCCTCAAATATGACGTCACAAAGCTCTGCCCCCCCCACACAAATAATAAAACATGCTTCAAATTGCTTTAAACTATTGTGATTGTAGTGCGTATTTAATGTGGCGCTGCACTCTGATGTTGTAGGAGAAAACATTTATTTAAAAGTCTATTTAATTAGGTGTTGTTTATATTTATTTAAAGTTGCGCATTTTGATGTGACGTCACATTTCTCAACCCCCCCCCCCCTAGTCACACATCGTCACAAATGTCTGACCCCCCCCCCTAAGTGCGTGACGTCATTTATGGACGGCCCCTAATACGAGACGAGTCGTGCAGAGGCATTCACTGAGCAGTGCCTTGACGAAGGGATGTACGTTATAAATTACAATGATTGTAAGACTTACTATAGGAGTTTCATTGACAATGTTACGTAACTTTAAAAAAATCGACGTTTGGTTGTATTGTTGTTCTGATGCTGAATATTATGACAGGGTCACGCTTTCAGCTAACCGTGATAATACTGGTAGGAACCTCCTGGTTACACCAGCCCACAGGGGATTATTGTGTCCGTCCGTCCGTCGTACATCCAAAAATGGGAGGGGTGGGGATGGGTGGGGAGGGTGGGGAGGGGCTGGGTGGGGAGGGTGGGGAGGGGCTAGGTGGAGAGGGTGGGGCTGGGTGGGGAGGGGCTGGTCACCCCGTGGTGCCCTTATAAAACTCAACGTTTAACCTACTCACGCCGGCTTGTGCTCGCCCTCACAGTCGGCCATATTTGCGGAATACACCACGCCGCCGTTGACCCTGGCCATTGACCGAGCAACCCAACGTTCCTACCAGCTCCCTCCGTAGGAATGTGTTATAATCGGAGGTTACTGATGGCTCTGCACCGGGCTTCGTGCAGAATATTATTGTCATGTTGTCTGGCCTGCCATACACCTTTTGGAGCCGATGGATATTCTCGTTGGTCGCGAAGGTGGCCACAACTTCACGCGCACGGCGCACTTGGCAACTGCGGCAGCACCTGCGATCGATCACGGCAGCACCTGCGATCGATCACGGCAGCACCTGCGATCGATCACGGCAGCCAGCGGCGATGAGTTCCGGCACCTGAGTGCCCAGGGCTCGAGGCTCGTCCGTGAGGCTGCGAGGTGAGCAGGAGGGGTTCAGCTTGATGGGAAAGTGAGTTCCGCCCTCAACCAAACTCTCCCGTCGTGACGGGGGGTGGGGACCCGCTCCTCCGCTCGCCTCGTGACAAAAAAATGACGATTTTCTGGATTTCAGCAGCGGCGGCTGCGGTGCGCGTTGGCTCTACTCGGCTCGCTCACATTCTCAGAGGCTCGTTTCAAACGTTTTCTTTCCTTTTCCAACGAACAACAACGGAGGCAGCGTTGGCGATTGGTCCCATTGGTCGGTGATTGAGACGGCGCGAGGTTTTTCTTTGTTGGTATAAGGGCCGTCCATAAATTACGTCACGCGATTTTGGACGATTTTTGACCACCCCCCTCGTCACACGGCGTCACAAAAAGTAAGACCCCCCCCCTCAAATATGACGTCACAAAGCTCTGCCCCCCCCCCCCCAAAATAAAACATGCTTCAAATCGCTTTAAACTATTGTCATTGTAGTGCGTATTTAATGTGGTGCTGCACTCTGATGTTGTAGGAGAAACATTTATCAAAAAGTCTATTTGATTAAGTAGAACGTGTTGTCTATATTTATTTAAAGTTGCGCATTTTGATGTGACGTCACACATCGTCACAAATGTCTGACCCCCCCCCCCAGGTGCGTGACGTCATTTATGGACGGCCCCTAAGTCAGAGACGGAAAACGGGCGTCTGTTAATGACAGATATTGGCGCTTGTTAGCACCACCAGAGGTGATACGATTTAGCTGTGTAAATGTGTTTTGTAAAAAACACAACACGAGAGCCCCACATGAGTCAACAGTATTCTTGACGTGGCTCACGGTAGAGCTACAACGATCATTGTGCATTGATGTGGTTCAAGAGCCAGATCATTGCACCAGGCGCAGCGGAGTGGGTGCCTCGCTGTGAGGATGCCTCCTCGGCGTCCGTGAATCGGACACGGAGTCGTCTATTAGTCTCCACGGTCTGCTCTGCGTGGCCACAGTCGCACATCCGAGGTTAGCTCTATTTATTTTACATGTGAACATCAAATATCCTGCTGCCATGGTCAAGAGCGATACGCGTAAGTTACTCATTTGCGAAGGTCATCACAATTCACAGTTGTTTGTCGTGTTAAGTAGTCGGTACGACGCAAGTTTTACGTTTCGTCAGTGTGGCGAGTGGTTATTGCTGTGCGCTACGAACTTGGCAACATACGTTCGATTCCCAGCCGCGGCTGACGTCAGCGGCGAGTCAATTTCTCAACTGGTCCTGGGCACCACCTTCAGCCACACAAACTTGACCTGCGTGGTGAAGTATGGTCAAATAGTCTCCATGACCAATATGGCGTGCGGGGAGGCCTTCGTCCAGAATTGAGTTCACAAGGCGATGTAAATTATAAGTTTTGTAAAACCTTTTTACTCTTGCCACATCAGATGGAACTGGTCGTACACCGGTAGTGGTTCGTTGGGACAAAATTATTTTTCTTCGGAGTCGTCCATCGCATCCCATTACGACCTTCATCCTCTGCCTCTATTTGTGGGATTTTGTGTGACTCTGAAAGTCCAATCCTCGACCCACAGCGGCTGCTGCAGACAGGGCAAGCGAAGTCGCTGATTGTATGCGCGTTGGTGTGGTTCTGGCTTCACGTCTCTTAAGACGCTTCCTTTATCGTAGCTCACTTCGATCCTCTTCGAGCTTCCACGCTCCTTGCTGGCAGCGTCTTCCAGCTGGGTCGGGTTCAGGCCGCATCGAAACCGTCTTACGTGGGAGACCTGGTCTGGAAAGTGACCCGTCTGAGCACATTTCGACTGCGGCAAAAGTGAGTGTTCGATCTTCTGAACCTGTTCTGAGTCTCACCGAGGTTGACTCCGTTTTAATAAAAGTACCGTATTAATAAATGCCGTGCAAGCATTTCTCGGGCGTGACGATTTCCACACCTGCCCACGTGCCCCTATGGATCTTTGCACGTGCGAGTGCATATGCGTTGTGTCCGCACGTGGACATTAGGTAACAGAGTGCGTGGACTTGCGTTCATATGTATGAGGAGTGCATGCAGGTGAATGCGTGTTTATGCGTGTGTACATATTCACGAGCATGTGCGTTCACACGTGTATGTGTGTGCATGTGTGGGGAGAGGTGGTGTAGGAGTTAGCGCGCTGCGTTATGAACCCGGCGACCCGGGTTCGATTCCCGCTCACGGCCAACACCCAATGACGATTATCTGAACCGATCCTGGGCCTCCCCTAGGTCGACTCAGCCTCAAATGAGTACCTGGTGTGGTTGTGTAAGCATCGCCACTGCGGAGACAAAGGCGGTCGGGCGTGGTTCTGACCATCCCCTCGTGTACCGTTTCGGCCTTCATAGGTGCTCGCTAACAGCACTTGCCCCTACAGTCTGTTAAGGATATACGGGGGATCTTTGTCTTTTATCTTTGTGTGTGTGTGCGTGCACGTGTGTACATTTGGATAAGTGAGTGTGCTTGCACGTGTGTGTTACACACACGTGTGTATGAGTGTCCGTGCAGTACACGTGTGTGCGGGCGCGTGTGGACACGAGGGTGAGTGTGGGTGCACGTCTGGTTCACGGGGAGGAGCGTCAGGAATCCGTGGGAAGTCAGAGAAACCGCACGCCCCACCGCCCCTCTCTGCACCTCCAAAACCTCTCCCTGCCCGCGGCGCTCCCAGATCCCACGCGATAAAACCCCTAAACATCAACCCACACGCCTCGCGCTGCCAGCACCACGGCGTTCGGGCCGAGTGTGCAATCTACGCAAGTCGCCTCGCCTCGTGCGTCCATTCATTCGCGTCCAGGAATGTTGAGAAACTCCGGCACGTGTGGCTGCGTTGTGCCTCGTGTCAGGAGCATAACAACCCTTGCCGGCAGGTTTCATCATAAACACGGTACAGTGCAAGTCACCGTCACACCACTTATTTTGGAAAGTCTCAAGACTACTTTTTTCAGGAGTATTCCGCATTGCGATATCTGGTCAATTATATAGAAATGTTTTATATATATTATACACTTTCCAATTACATATTTAATAGCGCAACAGAGACCCAGAGCTCCACACGGCCGAGTTCAAGATCTTACTTTGTTGTACATCCACCCTCTAGCCACATTCGCAGCGGCCCATCCCTCTGTCATACGTTTCACAAATCTCTGATCTGAGATCCCGTTCTGCGTCTAAGAAGATTATATAATTGTCGCTGGGGAGGGGGGGTGTTGCATAAACGATAGTTCGTAAAACGCGGAGGTGGTGGCGTTTTTGGAGGGCAAGGGGTTTACGCGTCACAGAGAGATTTGTGAAATTCACAAACGTCGAGCCGCTGCGAGGCGATCAGGAGATGGCAGTGCAGGATGGAGGATCGTGAACCCGTCTGTGCGGATCGTTTGAGTTGCGTGGTGGGTACTCGAGTTTCCTCCCACGCGGAGCAAAGCACTCGTCATAATTTAAACGAGGAATTGGCCAGACATCACAATGTAGCCGGAGCCTCCTGGCACGGAGTCTTGTGCCTCGGTCATGATTTCCTGTACAAGTGGCATCATCTCAGTGTTACTAGACATGGGCACAGTGGTCAACGCGCTGGGCAATGCACCCGAGCCACTTCAGTTCGATTCCTAGCCCGGGCTCGGATCAGCAGCGAGTGATATCAGCACCGATCCTGCCTCTGTCCAAAAACCCGCGACAAGCCGGCGTGCTCAACTGCTGCATTGCCAAACAACACCCACGACCTGCCCCTCGTTAGGAGGAGGCCCTCATCCAGCAGTGGATTGACAGGAATGGCCTGCACGTGTGCACATTGCGCGTCTTACAAGCGCAATCGGCAGCTGCGGCAGCGTGCACCAGCGCGGGGCTGCGTTCTCGCTTCAGGCGTCATTATGCAGCCTCCTGTTTCTGTGTAGCAGCTCATAAATCAATCTATTGCATAACGTCAAACTAACAATCACGAACACCGCCCTCTTCCCTCCATCATCCTGCATCAGCAGCAGCTACAACATGATCCTCGGTCCGACCGCCGCGCAACCCACGATCGCTGCACAACCAGTGCTTCATTCCAGCCGGCTCAGTCGTTTCGGCACCCAGCCACATCCATCTCGTCCTGATTTTGTCCTCAAGATACTTGCGGTGTTCATCATAGGGCCACAGGGATGTAAGGGACAACAACGGAGGATTGGTATGGACGTGCAAGTGCATGGCCGTGCACCCCGTCCACACTGACCCTTTTGAGTTGTTCACCCTTTGTAAAAGTTGGGTTTATTTTAATCTCTGATTTCAATCCAATTGCAAACCACTCACGAGTGAAATTCGCCAAGCACCCCGTTGTGTCCGGACCCTCCTCCCGGAGACTCCGGGAGGCATCCCTAGAGGAACGATTTCTTAAACGCCTTGGCGGCCAAGATGGAAAGCGTTCTATCCACGTTTTTCAAAGGGGTGCCCAAACGTTGGAGACACACACAAGATTAAAAACAAATATGCAAACGCACCCCCCCCCCCCCCTTGCAGATGTAAATACTTGCGAAGACAAACATGTGTCAGAGCGCGTTACGTAATAACCCATGCCTCGGATAGAGGGTTCACACAGTCGTCTCATCTTTCAAGAGGGTCGATAACGTGGGCACTCCCCCCTTCTTTGTGGTGGAAAACCAACAGTGACTCATCTTTGGAGTGACTCGCCATAGGAACGTGGAATTTCCACCAGTAGTTCTGCGTTGTAAGCAGGAGGCGAGCTAAGCGCCACTAAGCCACTTTCAAATATTTGAAAGAGGGCATCAGAGGGCAGGGCAGAACATTCCATTGATGTTCTATGCTCCTAGGACTATGCATACAGTACAAAGACAAAGACCCCTCGTATAGCCTTTAATAGAATGTTGGGGCAAGTGCTGTTCGCGAGCACCTATGAAGGCCGGCACAGCGCACGAGGGGGTGTGTGGCCTGCACCACGCCCGGGAGCCGTTGTCTCCCCAGTGTTCACGAACGCACATGGCACCAGGTACTAATTTAAGACTGAGTCGACCTAAGGGAGGCCCAGGGACCGATTCAAATATTCGCCACTTTTTGGGGGTCTTAAGCGGGAATCGAACTCGGGTCTCCGGATACGTCGTGCAGGGCGCTATCCACTGCACTACACTACAACTCCCCACGCAAACACAACAATGGGCATTCGCCACTCAGTGGCGGTGACGTCACCACAGCGCTTGTGCCAGGCTTGGTGCACTTTGAGGACACGTAGTGTCGAAGGTCACGGGACAAACCCAGGTGTCATGGGTTGACCGACTGAGATGACTGGCAGATGCACCACCTGTGCTCCCTACTTTGCCAGCTCGCTGCGTTTTAACCGCCCGGCGCTCCGCTCGTTGTTGTGAGCATCGCTCCTTTGCCCTCCGTTCTTGCTGGAGGGCGACTGCCTCCAACTGCCCAGTGGCAGCGTCCTTCACAAGCCTCCTCCACAGAGGCCGATCTTGATACCGCTGGTAGCGGTCTTCAGCAAGTCCAGTCAGCTCCACATCTTCCTGGACCGCATCAGCCCCATCTCTCCTCTAGGCCGTGCCAGGCCCGTTCATCCCCCTCTATCCGGCCAAACAGAAGCAGCTTGGGCATGCGGTGGCCAGGCACGCACACACGCGGGTGCAGCACGTGTCACGCGCCCTTCACAGCAAGGGCACGAACCTCATTAGCTCAGCGCAGCCACGCACCTGGTCGACCAGGGCAAGCCGCAACACCTGTGCTGGTATACGTGCAGCGCGTTTGATCCATAAGAGTGTTTTTGTTAAATGCATCCATTGCTGAGTGGAGGGGCCTCCCCTCACGACATGTCTGTCTGGCGGTCATTGGGATTCGTACGACCATACTTCACCACGCTGGTCCGTGCGAGTTGGTGAAAAAGCGGGCCCGAAGGCTGGGAGTCACACAGTCGGAACTCACGTGCTGTGTCTAGCAAGTGGTACTCTGGAGATTTAGAAAAAAATCTGAAGTTTTAAAATAAAACTTTACCACCGTCGTCATCGACACTGCTTCGCGACGGTAAAGAGCCGGGCAAGTAGGTCGCAGTGAGTCGAAAGTTGGTCGTGAATAGGGCACAGGGGAGAAAGCATGGAGGGGAAGGGCAACACCGTGCGAGATGTTCCCCGTGCCCGGGGCAGGCAGCAGAACCAGCACGGGTTCGGGTGACGGTACCTCGAGCAGTGCCCCTCTTTCAAAACACCACGAGAACGTTTTGTCAAACCTTGTTCCCCGTGGTGGCACACACTGCTTTTAACGGCCTGCCGTGGGGGAATTGTTGTGAGTGAACACCCGTCTCCCCCAGTGATGATTGTTAGCACTCCGCTCCAGGTACTCATTTGAGGCTGAGTCAACGGAGGGGAGGCCCAGGACCGGTTCAGATATTCCCAACTGTTACTGGGTCGTGGGCGGGAATTGAACTCGGGTGGCCAGATTCGTGCATTGCTGCACGAATCACTCCCCCACTGCTCCCCCAACATACACACAGACATACATACATACACACACGAATACTACATACAAAGGCAAAGATCCCCCGTATAGCCTTAACGGACTGTAGGGGCAAGTGCTGTTCGCGAGCACCTATAAAGGCCGGCACGGCACACGAGGGAGTGGGTGGCCAGCACTACACACACACGCAGACACGCACACAACACAGACACAACACACACATACAGCACACACCACACACACAACACAGACACCTACTACACACGCACACAACACAGGCACACCACACACACCTACTACACAGCACAGACACCACACACACCTACTACACAACACACACACCTACTACACAACACAGACACACACCTACTACACAACACACGCACCTACTACACAACACAGACACAACACACACACCTACTACACAACACAGACACAACACACACATACAGCACACACCACACACACAACACAGACACCTACTACACACGCACACAACACAGACACACCACACACACCTACTACACAGCACAGACACACCACACACACACCTACTACACAACACACACACACCTACAACACAACACAGACACACACCTACTACACAACACAGACACACACCTACTACACAACACAGACACACACCTACTACACAACACAGACACACAACACACACACACCTACTACACAACACAGACACACACCTACTACACAACACACGCACCTACTACACAACACAGACACCTATTACACAACACACACACCTACTACACACCACAGACACACACACCTACTACACAACACAGACACACACACCTACTACACAACACAGACACACCACACACACACCTACTACACAGCACAGACACACAACACAGACACACCTACTACACAACACAGACACACAACACAGCCACACAACACAGACACCTACTACACAACACAGACACACAACACACACACCTACTACACAACACAGACACACACCTACTACACAACACAGACACACAACACAGACACACAGACACCTACTACACAACACAGACACATAAGGGTCGTCTGGCCGCTGGCCCCACCCGCGTCACCCCGCGCCCTGTGAACCACAGATTAGGGGCTGGCAGCGAAGAGTCGACTTTGGACCGCGCTCACAGCGTGTCGAGAGAAAGAGGATTATGATGATGTTGGTGGTGATGAGAAGGGGGGGAGGAGGGGGTGGGAAAGTGGGTGGGGGAGGGGGTGCCTCTCACCTGGCGACGAAGTGGGGACGCGGGAACACTGTGCCTGGGCCACGCGTCACGGCCAGGTGAGTTGCCCGCTCAGGTGAGTTGCCCTCCCAGGTGAGTTGCCCTCCCAGGTGAGTTGCTCGCTTGCAGCCACCGACAATACCTTCACCAGCTCTGGTTACGCAGAAGCCTCAGCAGATGCTGAACCTCCAAAGGCTGCTCTCCGCGCACAGAATATACAAACTACACCACCACCACCAGCAGCTATACACGCACCAACTCGGCACTTGCTCCCCTTGCCGCTGATGGACCCAGCAGCTGCTTATCGGCGGTGACGGCAGAGCCGGAGCTCGCCCATCTCCACCTGTGCCGCGTCGCGAACCCTCCGCGTGCAGGTGCGCGGTCTCAGTGGCGCTGGCACGCGTGGGGGTGCGGAAGCCCGCACCTGCCGCTGGAGCTGCGTCACGGACGCGCCTCCTGTCGCCTCCCTCCCCGCGCCTCTCTCGCCTCCCTCCCCTGCCGACAGCCCGCGCGGTGCCCTCTCCCGGCTGATGATTCCGATTGCGCAACGATTGCGCAAAGAAAACAGAGAGTAAACAAAACCCACCTCCCCCCCACCACCACACACACCCACACACCGCCAACCCCCCCCCACACACACCCAGCATTTGACACGGTAATATCTTTGAAGGGCAAACACTCCTGGCATTTGACTTAAAGCGTGGGGTGTTCATAGCCAATGCGCGGATCCATATTTGTTTTTGGGTGAGGCCACGTGGTAGTTTTATGCCAAAATGAATCCTCCACCGCACAAGTCACGTTCACAACGGTGGTATTATCTATTCGTGCCTGTGCATTGGTCAAATTCTGACAAAAACTTCTCACCGTAGCCTTAGACTTTCATGGCTGAATATCACATACTCGGGCCACTGCAAGGCTTCAGCTGGCGTTATTGACACTGCCTTATGGAAAAATGCATCCCGTAGTTAGCTGACGTTTCAGGCATTGGCTCTCCTTCAGTGTGTTGGCAAAGAGGGGTCGGTAGACAACCAGCGGGTGTGTGAGGAGCCACATTGTGGTGTGCGAGGAGCCACATTGCGGTGTGCAGCACCCTGGCCGGAGTAGACTGAGTTCGAGATGGATGTGGTGGAGGGAGATTGGGCAACGGATGTCACCCTGGAAGAGGCGCAGGATAGCAGCACACACAGACAGAAAACCAGAGCAGTCGACCCCATGCAATAGTGGAACCGTTGGCTTAGAAGACCGCTACATTTTCCAGGGGCATCAAGTCCGATAGGTCTGGGATCGCTTGAATGTTTCTCCAATTCCTGCTGACTTGTGCATTGCAGGGCCCACTTTAATCCATTGGGGGAGATAAGCATCAACTGGACTGGGATTCAGCATCAGACACCTGCGTGGAGCAACGACTAACGTGCTTTAACCATGCTCGTTATAGCTCACGGATTTACAGGTGGCAGCTGGCACTTGAGCTGAAAACGCCCTCTAGTGGAGGTCGCACAAGGAGTCGCCACCTTTTAAAATGAGCCACATTCGTAATTTTATTTTTTAAAGCAAGATTAAGAATAATGTGCTTAAATGGGCAATGTGGTTGAGCGAGAGCAGTGGTTCGGTTCATGTGCCGTGTATAAACCAGGACAATCCAAGTTGGATTCATGGCCACAGCTCTCATCAGTGGCAAGCGATATCTGAAGTGGTCCTGGGCTCCCCCTTTAATCAGTCGAGCGTGGTGGCTCAACCACCATGACAGGCATATTGTGCACATGACTTTATTGAGCGATGGAACATTGGTCTCAAATGACTTCATTGGTAAATACCATGGCAACATCGCTACCTATTGGCAGACAATATCAATTTGAAGGCAGGTGCTGCGTACAACTTGTGCAGTATAGGGACAACTGCAGGGAAATGGAATTGTTGAGATGTGATGCGATGGAAGGTGCTTTTGAGATTCCAGGGAAATTAAATTTAGTGCCATATACGCAAATGCAATACAGCACACGCCATTCATTGCAACCAGGGACTATCAATTCCACACATCTCTCATCTCACAAAGGTTCATTTTTCATCTGCAGGTGGCAATTGACACAATACTTTATTTGAAAGCATATTTGATGGAAACATTTTTTATTTTCACAATTAGACAACAGCCCCAGCAGCAGAACGCTGGGATGCAGGCTCAGTTACGTCCTCCGGTGTTGCCACTGTCCTAAGAGAGCGATTCATGACAACCAGATTTCCAGACGCAAGAACTTTATATACAATTATAAATTCTCAGAAAAATAGTCTCAAGTGCTTTTTTTCTACGACCAATACATTTCTAGATATTTTTGGGGATTTTATCATTTTCCTTCATCCAGGCGATTTCACCACAGACGGGACATTAGAAACCGACACACGTTCATCATCGCCGTCAAGCACCCAGCACCGACGCCACTTTCCTGACTACAAGTTCACCTGAAAGTTGTTCTGAAGCTTCTGATATAAGAACAGGGAGCAACCCGTGGCATTATAACTTATATCACAATGGCGTGCAACCAAACACCACAAAAAGTTACAAGGTGCAATTTTAATTTATAATATAAAAATACATTTCTCGTTCATAGCTGCTGGTTCAATGTCAAGCCGCGCTCTTAGGACTTTAAATGCAGCCAGTGTTGTCCGCGGCCACCAAAATCTTGCTCGCACACTTTCATTCCCCTACCCATTGCCCTCTGCTCCCTCTCTTCTACCAAAACATCTCTCGCTTTGCCGATGCAGGCGGGACGTGGAGGCATTGCTGGGTGGATTGCCCTTACTCTTCGTGGATGTTGAACAGTTTCGCCACTTCGTTCAAATCTTCATGCACTTGCCCATCCTTGATGATCTGCAGAAGCGACAAGGGAGAGGGGGAGGATGGGAAACATTCTCGCAGAAAGGATGGCACCACCGCGTGCCAAGACAATGGCACTGACAAAATTCATCGCAGAATAACTTCTCGAATCTGTTAAATCGCCTCTCTATCCACTTTAGGGGCACACCTTAAATATGGCATGCAAAGAGTGTTCAGCACATGGAGATGGAGCTGAAATATGAATTTCTCATTGGCGAAATATGCCAGGGTACAAGAAAAAAAAGACAAATGTAATTGTTTCTTTTGTAGTGCAGTCATTGATGAATGGGCTGGAGCTATCAACTCACGACATTTGAGAAGCCAGTTTAATCACCGGCAGCTACCCAGCATATCAGCGGTGCGTGCTCAGTGCTCTGTGGATGGACGGACGATCTGCACACTCCATAATCCAGTGCGTAGATGTTGAAATAAATAAAAAAAACTGGCATCACCGGAGCTGGGTTTATTGTTAACATCGATTACAGTCTCGTTTAATGTTTGTCCTTAACAATTTGGAATTTGACCCCGTGGTGCACACCCACCTTGCGCGCGATTGGCATGCGATTGAAGATGTTCCACAGCACGATGCCAACGACCACGTCCCCGCGCAGGTAGAACACCACGCCCTTGCCGTAGTCGTCACCCGCCTGCGGGGGCTGGGGCACGGCGGGCTTGGGGGTGGCGGCCGAGGGGGCAGCGGTGGCCGTTGGCTTGAGGCTCGTGGCCACAGCTTCTGTCTCGCTCTCCGAGCGGATGTTCGTGCCTGTTAGGGGGGGAGAGGGGGGATCAGAAATACAAACGGGACTCGAGTGTGTGCGTGAACGTGAGAAGAGTGCCGAGCTCAAGGGCACGAGCCTTCCGAGGTCTCATCGTCAACCTTGAACTACCCGCTGCTGGAAGGTCTCCCACAAGTCATTGCCGTCGCTCAGGGTCTCGTGGAGCAACAACCCATCCAGCTTCTACACACGAACCGACTGAAACGCTCCATCTTCATGGTGGACATCTTGGCATGTTTCCCTCGCTTGGCCGTCAGTCTCGACCACCGTTCATCATCCCTTCAAGCGACGCGCCGTGCTCAAGCCAATTTCTTAAGAGGCAACACGATACCTTTAAGTTTGCAAATATTCACCCATTCCATGTTTTCCACTTCCTGTCTCTCAGGGTAATTCCAAGCATGCACCTCTACATGCTTCACGTACTTTTCATTTTTTGTTCCATTTTCTTTATCAATGTCAAAGTTTCTGATTCATGGCATACAATCTTAAGTTACTTGAACTTTCTCGATGTATTTACAATAAACTATAAATCGGTTACAAAAAGCACATCACACTATCAGAAAAAAAAGACTTCTCACCGTATTCGGGAGCAACAACTTTTTCGAAAATTTTCATTGGCAGCAACAGACAGATCTAGTTGGGAAATAGCAAGTGGCACTGAGAGCTCTCCTTTTTGTAAGGCCACCACCCAGTGAATGTGGTACAGCAGATGCGTGAGTGATCATAAAACTGACAAGCATATTGCCACAGAGCATGAACAGTGATAAGCCTGTTGTCTGCATACCATACACTACGGCTGTCTTCGCTGCTCTGAAGCTTCACATCTGATAAGAGACAATAGCCTCTCTTGGCATGTAATAAAGAAAATTACATTCCAGTTCATAAGGGAGTCTAAAAAGATTTCAGGACCAATTTTTTTCTCGCGCGCTTTTGTTTAAGCCAGCAAGTTCTGAACCTGTTTCAATTTTCAGAGTATCACAGCGGCCAGGTGTGTCTTGTGCATCTGATAAGTCGACTTTAAAATAGACTTGCTTTACAAATTCACAAACATCTAAACACATCCAGTGAACCTATTTATAATCTCATCTTAAACTTCTCCATGTCGTGTGTATTTGACAAAGAGCAAGTTAAAATCAGATTCCATGTGCTCTTTGCGATGAGTACCAAAATCTCCTGAGTAGAAGAAGCATCCCAAACGTTCAAGTCCTTTTGAAAAAAAGTGTCTTTTAATGGGTATAATATGGTACGATAGGAGTTTAATATGAATGTGCTAGTTGAAGATGGGGAGAGATGTCCTCTGGAAGATGATTCTGAACGGCTGGCGGTGTCCCCCCATGTGCTCTGGGTGGTCATGTATCAACTACAGAGAACCGTCTTTCGAAAGATGGCTCCGGACAACAGATGATAAAACGCCTCCAGAGACAAATGCATTTTATGGATTAGACGAGGCACCCCCAACTTCTTCTTTAAAATACAGGAACAAAGTACATCTTGTAATCCGGATACTGCGACATCTGACAATAGCGAGGACGCGTATTTGCGCGCATGTTGCTTCGGGTTAGGAATTGCAGAAACGAACGCCGGGCACCTGAGGCTTCGGACGCCGCCTTGGGGGTGTCCTTGGCGCTGGCTTTGGCGAACACTCCGACTGTCGGCAAGCTGCTATCCACGATGCCGATGGCCTCGTAGCCGACCTCCGGGCCCAGGTCACTCCTGCAGAACGCAAGCAACTCGCCAGTTTATAACCATGCTGGCACGCGCACACACGTGCACACACGCGCACACACGCACACACACGCGCTCGCTCGCGTTATTTTACATGCAGCTTTGAGACACTGGAGGGCGCTACAAACCACTGGGAGAGCACGATCTGGACGATAAAGATTGTAAGGGTGACGAGGGGGCGGTGCTGCAGGAGGGAGATAAAAGGCGAGTAGAAGGTGTGAGACAGCAAGCAGGTGGTGAGGCGTGGTGAGGCTTGAAGGCAGCTGGTGAGAGAGGTGGAGGGTTGAGGATTGGCGGCAGAGCGTGACGGAGGCATCGAGAGGGTGGTGAGAAGCAACAGGTGAGGATAGGTGACAGCAGGTGAGAGAGAGGCGAGGCTGGTGTCCGGTGCGAGCGGTGCGCTCACCAGAACATGGACTGGTGCCAGTAGGGCTTGGCGCCGCCGGTCATGTTCTCCCCGGCGAGGCGGCCGCTCACCACGGCGTGGTCATGGTGCTCTACGCGCCGCCGGCCCAGCTTGATGTCGTAGAAGCAGGCGGCATCACCGGCCTGGCACGAAGACAAAGATCTCCCGTGTAGCCTTAACAAACTTGGGGCAAGTGCCGTTCGAGAGGAGCTTACAGTTATAGACATACACGGTGCTTCAAAAAAATGTTAACACTTATATGGGACTACCGTTATAATGGAAAAAGAACTAATATACTGCAACATAACAAATGTATGTTAATAACTTCAAAAAGTCAGTCTCCACTTATTCGCCATCATTGTCAACGCGTGCCTGGAATCTTCTCCAGGTGATCTCCAGAGCCCGGAGGCACATTTCTTGTGGTATTGTTGCAAATTCTCAGAAGTCTTAACATTTTTCTGAAGCACCCTGTTTATATCAGTAGATGTTTTGGCCAATTGTAATTTTGCAAGGCACATCACTGCAGGATAATTTCTTGAAATGTCACCTATTGTCATTCAGTGTTATTGACAAACATCTTCGGTTTTGTTGTCAGTCGTTGCTCGTGCAGCACTGCCAATGCAGGCAGCAGCATCATCAGATTATTTGCTTCATATATCGATACAGCAGAAACCCTCTTAACAAGCATCCCTGCTAATGACTAATCGCTTTAACAACAGGCCTCCATAGAGCCCCAATGTGTTCGCTTACCGACCATCCCCTCTTAACAGGCTGTTGTAGGTATAGTAATATGAATTAATGCATTGATTAACCGTGTTTTTTTAATATTATGTGTTTATAATGTTGTTAGCATCTTTATGTATTAATATCCATTGCTTAGATATTATAAACTACTCTTTTGGGAGAAAAAGGGTAACTTTCGATGCGATCGGAATAAATTATGCCTTAAACATGTATTTCCTATACTCGCTTCATGACCAAATTACTTAACGACCAGTTTCGCGGAACCAAGTACCGTCATTAAGAGGAGAGGTTCTACTGTAGTGTAATTAGCATGTGTACACACACACACACACAAGCACGTAATTTCAATATCGGAAAGCATCTGCCCACGGCGACTCACCACCCACACGTTGGAGCAGGCCTGCAGCTCAGCGTTCACCCGGAAACCACCAAAGTCCGGGTCCACCTCCAGCGCCGACGTCTTGGCCAGATCCACGTTGGGCTCCAGCCCCACGGCCACCACCACGTGGTCTGTGGTCACCTGGGTGACAGGCGCATCGTGAAACGCAGACGCACGTGTGAGATCTCGTCAGATATCGGACGCTCGGCAGTGTTCAGTCTGGCTAGTAATTGAAATGCGAGACTGCAATTCGAATACCAGGCATAGTGGTCTTGGGATGTCAGAATCGGAATCTTTATTTATCCAGGAGAAATCCGATGAGCCATGAAGATCTTTTTCACAGAGATTGGCGACACGGCAATGGATTTGTGGCTCCGGGTGTGTGGAGCTTCGAGCGTAACCCCACCCATAGGAGCGCGCTTTAATCTGGTTTTCCCCACATGAAGCACAACTTTTCATGGCTAAACGTCCGAATGCAGAGGACACCTCCTGAAAGTGTCTCGAGAGACCTGTCCCGGTGAATGGCCACCATTGAAACGTACGAGTTTTTAGCGCACTAAACCTGGCAGCCGTAACGGCGTTAACCGGTGCCGGGAAAGCACTCTCATTCAAACGGTTAACTCCGTAGATTTGAGGGGAGAGGGGTGGGGGGCTTTCCCTGGTAGGAAGGGGATGGTTTAGTTTCGTGGTTTAGTTCTATTTGTATGTTTCTGGGAGATTTGTTTCCATTTCCTGGAGGGTTACGACACATTTATAAATAAACGCGATCTAAACCCAAAAACGTTGATTATGAATAACATTGGTCGCGAAAGCCTACGTGTTAAACTTTGCACTTCTATCGTGCTTTTGTATTGTTTGTTGTTGTGACGTTCTTACCCCGTGCCCTTACTGGACATCTGTGCAACAAAAAAAAGCTTTGTAGCTCATCGGATTCCTCCAATATAAATCAATATTCTGATTCTGAATTCCAGCCGCCCCGCTGCTGCCGCCGCCACCGCCACCGCCACGACCGCCACGACCACCACTTACCGTTTGGCCGTCGGCGAGCTTGAGGTGCACACGACCGTCCTCACTCCGAGCAGAGCGCACCACCGTCTCGGGCATCACCTTCACGCCCTCTGAGACACGAAGTGCATGGCAGCCTTCAAACCTCTCTACTCTCACGTCAATTCCCACTGCGCCTTCCCTCCCCTCTCATCGCAATAAGCCCTTCTCACGCATGCGACATTCAAGTCTAACTTTTAAGGAGTTTTATTTTCCACGAAAGGAAGTTATTTTAAAAAAATGATGAAGGTGCACGGCTTTATTATTGCGATAGACGACACCAGACGTGGCTCGCAGCCAAGTCGTAATTCATCACGAAACACTTGAGGGAAGATACATCATTCTTGACACCTCTTGGCACAGAACGAGTGGCAATGCTCCCCCGCCATTCGCTGGGACTCACCGTTGCGCACTTTCTGCGTTGTCCAGTTGCTCAGGTACTCGGGAAGGACCTTCCCCATGTTGCCCTTCTCTGGGTACAACTGGATCACCTCCAGGCCATCCTTGACTGGCAGAGTTTAGGGGGAAGATGAAAGGGAAGGGCAAGGACAGCATTGCCCAGATGATTAGGACGGTGTCCGTCACAATAAAGTAAATGCGAACTCCGCCTGTTCCATCTCAATGGGATAAAGTGTAACCCCCTCAAGCACTTGGGTTTTCTCTGGGTGCTTTGGTTTATTCCCACATGTGAATACTCATTATTTAGCCGATAACATCTTAATATATATAGACGACCGTAGAGCTTGGGGGAAAGTTTGACGCCAGCTCACTGCCTGGCTGGCGGCCTTCCCGCATGTCTGCGGTTCCTGGCGCATTCGGCCGAGCGTATACCTAGCGGCGCTCGCTTCACAAGTTGAAATTCCTTCGGATAAAGCACCACCGCTGCCGCGTGATCGCTGTAAAGGATGGCGCCGCACAAGCACGCGAGAAAACGAATGATGCCGAAGGTGCGTTTATCGCCGGTACCTTTACGACCGAGAGCGCACGCGAGCTCGCTACCCAGGAACCCGCCGCCCACGATAGCGATGGACTTGACCTCCCGAGACACCTTCTCCAGAGCCTTGAAGTCCTCGATCTGACGAAAGATTGCAGACGCCGTCGTCATAAACAAAGGAGACGAGGCAATTTTGCTCGACACGTCTTGGCAACGAGTGCTTAAATGGATTGTACGTGGGAACCTGGAGTGTGGGTGTTACTTCTGGTGAGAGATAAATGAGATATTTAACAAAATGAAACAGTTTTATGTCTAATTATCAAGTCTGATCAAGACTCAAACGCGTTACGAAACATCGTGAAAAGTCTACTTGGACTCAACTTTAAATGTCTACGTTAAAATCCCACGAGTATTGTTTTCACGTAATATTCTGGAAGACCTGGAGCAACAATGTTTACATCTTTTGGTGCTGGACCACGTGTGGAGCCCTCCCGCCCTCTTTGCACTCGCTGCCACGGCTGTACCTTGAGGCTCCTCGTTCTTGGTACTGGTCCCAGTTACGACTCTTGACGTTCCATGACCCGACCCCCCCACACCCCACCCCACCACCGCCTCCGAGCACGTTCAACCGTAACGTACCGTATTATTTTTGTAAAGCACAATGAGGAGCGATTGCATTTAGACGCGGTACGCATCCAAATTGCCATCGTTGTTTGCGTCCGCAGACGCGTGCCGACGCGTGCAAATACGACGTTCTTACCCCGTGCGCCTACTGGACATCTGTGAGGAAAAAAAGTGCTTTATAGCCCATGGGATTCCTCCGGAGTAAATACATATTCTGATTGCGATTCTGACCACACCTTCCGGAAGAGCGTTGTCTTCTTCTGCACGTCCTCGCCCGCCTTCTGCACGGCGGAGATGTTGCGGGGCGTGCCACCCGTCGCGATGAGGCACTTGTCGTATTTGATCTCGTTGCCATTGCTCAGCTTCACCTTGTTCTCCCGGATGTTCAGCTTCAGCACCTGCGTGGCGCACAGAGCGCACAGGTGTCGGGCCACTCGGCACAGGGTCCCAGCTGTGATTGATTGGCGCTGCATTTGCTTTCCTGCCAAGGTCGGTTAATTTTTTACAATTTCCAACCGAGGTCGAAAGCATTAAAGTATTAGCTCTGTCCATCTGCACAGTCTGTAGGGGGTGGTCATGGCAACACTTTAAAAGACGATTCCAACAGGATACCCATTTTGTTTAAATGTGTCGCTATTAGGAACTTATCCGTTAGAAAATTTACCAAATTGATAAAAGCGATGGCCAAAACTTGGCGATAAAAACAGCGCAAAAATATGAGCACTTTTAGCCAGGGAGATGACGTTACACACCGTGCCCATGTCCTGCTTCCCCTCGATATCGTTACATTTAATGTCATCTCACTGTGCAGCTCCATAGATACAATTATAACGAAATTATTTACGGCAAGCGCGTGCCGGAAAGTGTAGCAGGATCCGTGTACATGCACGATTTTTTTTCCTTGTTCCAGCTAAACCCGGCCGTTACGATCAGCCTCGTATCAACGCAGCAACGTGCACGGAGAAATTAAAATTAGCTGAAAACATGCATGGCTTTATTAACGTGGGTGCGATGGTTCACTGCGGTGTAGCATATTGTTATCAGTCACCTTTGTGCCCTTGAGAACGGCGACCCCTCCTCCGTCCTGGTATGGCAGGTCACGTGCAGTGACGTAGAACGAAGCTGGCTGGAAATAAATGCTGCAGGGCAAAGAAAAAAAACGTACGCATGCACAGGGACAGAGGCAGGCAGACACGTACGCACACGCTCCAGGCTTTTAAAATGTGCATTCGCTCCAGCAATTTCAAATGACGTGTTATGTCATTCATAATGCAGCGACTTCGGTGTACTCATGTGAAATTCTATTTGGCCCTCTCCATACACCAGTCCTCATATGCTAATTACTAGTGTTAGGAATAGAGCAAGTCACTTGGAATGTATCCACCTTATCCCTTTGGTGGACCCAACACAGCTCTGTATGACACACAGCTCTGTGCAACACACACACACACAGCTCTGTACGACACTCATGTGCTTTCCGGCTCAATGAATAAGCCAGTCTCGTCATAGCGTTGGCCTCGCTCATTAGCGGACTCCCCGTGCGCTGTATCCAGCCGGCGATGGGGAAACGAACAGCGGAAGGGTTGTGCCGCAGAGTGAACTCGAAGCACGGACCTCCTCTCCTTGTCGTTCCATTGCTTGAACTTGAGCGTGTCGGCTACGTTGGAGTCGCTGGAGAACCACAGCTCCTTGGAGAGCGGCGGCCGCATGTAAGGCAATTCCAACTCTTCTGTGACGATCAACACCTGCCAAAGGGGGCGATGAGTGTAGTTCATTAACAAATGAAAAGATTTTGACCCTTGCACTAAAACGCACCACAACCACGTGTCAGCAAGCTTGGGTGTATGGCTGGTCACGGCCAGAAAACGTGGGTGAAGGTTTGTCGGTGCGTGATCACGTGTGCATCCACGCGCAAAATCGTGGCTGCGTGCGTGGCCATGTGGTTTACATTTGTAGGCCATAGGCGACACCGTGCACGACTACATTGGTTGAGCCGAGTGGGGGGGCGGTAGATAGCGCGGTGCTCTGCACCCCGCCAACTGGATTCAATTCATACCCGCAGCTAACGCTAGTGGTGGCTAACATCTGAACCAGTCATGGGCCTGCCCAAGGTCAACTCTGCTTGAAACAAGTACCTGGCGCAGTCTGTAAATATAAGTGCTGGAGCAGACAAGTGGACCATCTTCAAAGATAACAGCTCTTGTCCGCAGAGTTCAAAAGGCTCTATAGGGCATCTATGTCTGTGCATGTGCCACATTCTGAATCTTTCCACGGCTGCCTCTATACGTTCACGTTAATGTTAGCTATACAGGGATTGTTTATTGGACCAGACATCGGTGTACCCCACACCGACTGCGCACGCTCAACTGTGTGTCCGTGTTCATTCACAGAGTGACTACGGCGCTCGCACCTGAGCTGCAGGCTCCTTGGCACGAATGGCACGTGCCGCGGCAAAGGCGGCCGTGCCGCCCCCGATGAGCAGGTAGGTCACGTGCTCCGGGATGGCTGGCCGCAAGTGCACTGGCACAACCTTCACCGCTGAAGCACAAGAGCCAGGGGACGCACAAAGGGAACACGGGGAGGAGACACACTGGTCGGCAAAATGATGGCTTTTGAACAAACGGGCTAGAGCGAAGAATGGGGAACAGCAACGAGGGGAGTGCAGCGTGCATTTGCAAGGACAGAAGGATGCTTCGTAAGAGATGCCCGTCGTGCTTAATGAGCAAGTCTCAGAGAGGTTAACGTTTGTTTGCATTAGCAACAGAAGGGGTTAAACCTGGAAGAGAACGACATTCAATGGGGACATGCTTTTGGAAATTCCCCTGGAGAACCGGTCGATGCACGACAACCACGCTGCTGGGATCTGACGTGCACGCGTTTCCATCAGAACTCTCACATCAAAACCGGAGCGATTCTCATATTGCGGAGGACCACAGGACAAGTCAACCACATACGACGGCAACTCTTAATACCAAACGAACTTTCTCAGCGGAAAAACACATTTCAATCTAATTCACTAAAATAAACCAAGCATTTAAATTTGTAATGATCTAGATGGTGCACTGCGAAAACGTCCACAAATTATGTAAATTCAAACACACACGAACACATAAGAACATTGAGGGTATAATTTTATTTCCCAAATAGCAGAAAAAAAGTGCACGGGAACTGATATTCACATCACTGACATGCACTGTAGGGTGTGAGCTGTTAATCATAAAAACCTTCACCGAAAAAATAGAACCCAACATCAATTAAAATTTAGCTAATTTCTAAAACCAATGCATACACCTGCACTGTAGATTACATGTGCCGAGTCCCTTCCTGGGAACGTACAAAGATTAAAAATAACTTTTATACCACTACGCAACTTTAAAAATGGCAATATCCATTGTGCAAATATCCTCTTAACTAAGTTGATTGTCAAACCGCTCTATCACAAAAGGCTGTGAATCGCTAATACGAAAAGCTGGGAACACTGAAATGATTTTGCTTGGAAGCAGGTTTGAAAAGCGAAGGCCTACGCACAATGTGGCCACTTTGGCAAGAGTCGCCACATTCAGCTCGGCTTGGTATTGCTTAACCGCTTCATCTCTGGACTCGAGATATTTTTACGGGGCACAAGCTTGCCAGTGACACAAACAAAAGGTGGTTGCTCAGGCCGTTCCTATGCCTCCTGGTTCGGCGCTTCAGCAGCTGAAGTGGACGCCGGTATTATTGCATCGCCGTCTTCTCCTTGGCCGTCTTCTGCACTTGGTTTCTCGGCCTCTTTGGCTGAGGGACAACACCGTAGCCTTAGCAAGGCAGGCATCGCACACCAACGCAGCGAAAGAAAACCGCTACGATCGTAAAGGGCACAGCGCTGCGTTTGTGCACTCACCAACATGTTATTTTGTGGCAGGAATGGCACGTGAATTTTCATTTTTCAATTTAGAGTGGCGGTGAAGGGCATGCGACGGTCAGCCGTGGATCTGTGATGTCCTAACATAACACTGTCAAGCACTTTTCATGCTTATTCTATCTGCTTGAGATATATTTTGATTTAAAGCTTTCGTGACTGACCCCAGGATAAAGCATGTATAAATTATGTTTTTGTATCGTCTCTTAATAAGTGGTGTCATTTAATAATATAAAAAAATGCCTGTGTTCAATAAACAATTCTAAAACAAATATAACATGGAGCTATATGGGGAAGGAGAAGGGCATGATTCACCTGCCTTCAAATGTATCCTGCCACTACGTTCCTTGACGCTTTTCGCCTCCCTTCACCATGGTAATCCCACAAATGAAACCGTAACCCATGCTTTGGCCTTACATGCTGGCACATTACCGACCATGCTAGGCTTTATAGGTAGTTATCAGAGACACTTGTATACCGCATCCCATATTGTTGAGAGGTTAGCTTGATTCAGATCAGCTTCAGTTAGTCCTCGCAGGAACTTCTCCAATGCTTCCACCAGAAACGAAGATGATGAACGCCGATAAAATCTTCAGTCGCAAGTGATTTTATGTAATTGCACCAATCATGGCGCAAAAACAAGATCCACCAACTGTGTATAGCCAAGTTAGCTTAGTGCTGTGAGCAAATTTTTGGCGATTGAAGTTTCTGCCGATGCCGGCTTAACATGCAATCAATCTATGGGCGAGATTATTTGTAGTTAAATATGAATGAACTTAACTGAAAAGCAAAAAAGTTATATTTACTTCAAGTGTTGTTAGGCATTTATGCTGTTTTGTAAAACAATGAATAGCCTTTTAGAGCACACACATTTATGCCTCGTCATAAAAAATACAAAAAGTATTCACTGCACTTTTAAAAACCATAAAAATAAAGTCAACAAACCCCAGGATAAAAGAGTGCAATGAAGAACGCACCAGCAGGAATAATAAAAACCAAAACATTTAATGTTAACTTTCCAATGAACGTTAGTACAGGGTGGTCATGACCGTGGAGTTAAAGGGAGTTGCAAGGGTTGTTCAGGAATGATCAGTAACGTAAGGGTTAGTGAAGCATGCTATTTGTCCACAAGCATAGCCTTGCTCCCAAGGGTTCAGACAGCATGCAGTGCTTCTGCCGAGAACTTGCAGGGCTAAGAGAGGTCAGGGGGATACTCTCGACGCTGCCTACCACTCTCCGTCGCCTCCTCGGGTGCCTGACCCTCTTCCAGTTTGTCTTCAGGCACAACGCTGGCCTCCTCCCCAGCAGGGGCCTCTTCCTGGGTGACCGCCACCTTTTCCTGAGTGGACGGGGCCTCTGGTTCAACAGCAGAGGCCTCTGTGGCTGGCGCTTCTGCCTCGAGGGCCGGTGGCTTGGTATCTGTGGCCTCATCGGCTGTAGATTATGGAAACGCCGTTTGCACGGGTGGGTTTAGTGGGAAATCACAGACGGTAACCACCTTTAAAAAGGATGATCATGCTGCCACAAAAGCTATTCAATAGGTGACAGATATCCCAAAAGTAATGCAACCGATTGCTTTTCTCATTAAATAAATGAAAATCTGCGTACCTGGTCTAGGCTTTATGGTGAATGTGGAAACATAGTCCACTTCAATTGTGCAATGTACTCAGACTTTCTCAGGCTCATGTATAGTCGGGCATTGTGGTGCCAGATGAAAACCTCTGCCTTGTGACAAATGTTCATGAATGAACATCTCACATTTATATAATTTTAAAACATTCCAATAAAAAACTGGAATTACTTTTGGGATATCTCTCGTACATCTGAACATTATATTTTCCATTCGTGAAAGAGAATTATGAAACTGAAAACCCCATGCAGGATAACATCAATGAAGTAGCGCAGCTATCGAGTGTGCAGGTGGTGTGCAACTGCACCAGGGCACACAGGCTGGAGGGGCCCAGGCATCAAGCTCTGAAGAGGGGAGGAATTGGATAGGAGGCCCCATTTCATTCCTTGTACCAGGGTCCATGCCAACCATGCTAAGCCACTGCACTAACGTGTCTTACAATCACTCGCATTTTTCCCACCAAAAAAAGTTATATTCTCCACCGACATGCAGGAAAACGCTCACCCTGCATGCACCGCTGCACGGCATAATGAGTACAGGGTACGAGAAGGTAGCCAACGACAGGGTCACATGAGCACAACCTAACACTGACATTAAAACCAGTTCGAGTTACAGGAAAGGACAGGTATCAACAGGCAGGCACAAACGCATATCCGAGATTATTCTGCCAAGTGCAAACTCAAACTAGGAAACACTGGTTTGCTCCAGACTACAGAAGGGTAAGAGACATGAGGAGGCCCAATGCTTCAAAGTTAAAAGCGATGCAAAGGTCACGTGGGATAACCGGACCTTTACTGTCTTCAGCTTCTGCCTGGGAGACAGTACTTGCCCCTTCGTCAGGTGACTCAGTGTCTGCTTCAGAGGTGTCCTCTGTGACTGATTAAGGACAACGGCACAGTTCACAAGACCGTGCCGCCAATTTACAGCGGCAGTTTCGATAACAGAGATATGCGCAGTTGATCGCCGTACAGATTTGCGCCCCAGAAATAATCACAGGTCCCGATACAATTTAAATTGTTCTCTGTAAACCGTGAAGTGAACTCACCACATATTAATGATTGAGCAAAATATTTGCTAATGTTAGTCAACAGCTGGATAAGCGGTTGTGAATTTGTTGATGTAATTTTTCTCAATTTATTTACATTTCAAGATGGGCATCTTGTCACCAGACGAGTAATTCATCTCGCACAGCAGTGCACACCCGTAGCGCAGTGTGATGCACAGGATACATTTTTCACAGGCCTTCTCAAAAACCCCAAGTGGATTTTTATCATTACACATTATACGGGAGGCACTTCCCCACAACCGCTGCTATGGGACCATTTGTCGCACGACAGTCAAACCGATAGTATTCTTAAATTTTCAGAGCTGCCATTTAACCAAATAATAAGTTCCAAACTAAATTGAACAAACTATCTTTTTGCAAAGTTTTATCGGCGACCGGGCAGAGACCATCATCTCACTACATTTCAGAACCTAGTTTAGTCATGGACTGCTGCCTGGAATCGAACCCAGGCTCACAACGGTGGTAGCGCCTTGCTCTGAACCTCTGAGCCACCCGGCCACTTCTTGTATTGGGGCCAGCAGTTTGTTTGCTTTATTTTTTAAAGTAAAGCCAACGCTGGCCTTCAGAGAGCAATTATGCCCCTGGTGTAAATTGTTTACTTTTTATAAGCAAATGTTTCTCTGGTAAGAAATGCTCAAAATGGCAAAAACCCAACTACCACACTTGAAAAGAACACATGAAAATGGTTAATTTATGACAGTAAACACGAGCTTCCCTGTGTGTACTTTTTAAGTGATTAATCTTTACTAGATATAACCCCAAAGCATTAAATGTCTGTGATTTTTTGAATTAAAAAGTAGATGTAAGATCGGACTCCATTAAAATCAGCATGCAAAATAGCACAGCTAATATAGTCAAGAGCAAAATATATTTTCGGCTGCTTTAGCGATGTTTTGAAATGCAGAAGTTTGAAATATATTAAACGTCTACTTCAGACTAACCTGTTTCATCTTCAGCACCCTCTTCTTCCTCTGAAAAACAAAAAAAGCACATTTTTAATATAGGCAACAGTATACATTAGGTATGATAAACGCACCATTCTAAGCCAATGGATGAAAACTACTTTTAACTCTAACCCACTTTCCTTGACCAACGCAAACCAGTATGAAGCTAAACTTAGACTCGCGTGATTCAGAATAAGCTCACGCGATGCACCTGCACTAAATATACACTGCAACTGTTCTGCAAGGCAGAGATTCGCTAAGTTATTAGGATTCATTCATACAAATAATAAAACAATTATTGACAATCCTTTGTCGTTCCACTGCTGGATGATGGCCTCCGCATGCCGTGTCAGTCATGGGAGTTGTTTGGCTATACTTCACCCACAGCCCGATAATTCAACGACAAAACATTCCTTGGTAGCACTGCCAGATGTGCGTCCCTGAGTCTAGTGACTCTGCTTCAGGAGGATCCTGCCAAGTTTCCGCAGTAATAATGATGACTATGCATATTCCAATTGAGTAATTTGCAGGTAAATGTTCAAATTTCACAAATTTGGACCGCCGATGCCTGCACACAAGGGCCTACGTGTATCTTACGGTTCACACACCCGTAGTATTAATCATGGCGGCTGTTGGTTGGATGTGTGGTGCTTATATGAGAAATGTCATCAGCTACGGCATTCCCTTTTACTCAAATTCTGCTGTATAATGGACCGCACTAAGCATTGAACTGGGACTCTTTACTCACCAGCGGGGGGCCACTGCTTCGGTTTCCACTCCTGCTCATTCTGCTTCTTGTTTAGGTAAGTAAGCGTATCCCGGTATCTGCTGGCATCTCCGTGCAGGATGTTGTATGCCTGCGGGACACCGAGAATCGCCGATCCTGTAACGAACCCCTCCTGAACAACCGCATGTCCGTACATGACAGCCCCTGTTTGCCGATCCACCGCTCGATGAGAGCATTCCCACGCCGTGTGGGTCATGGGGGTTTACTTCGCCATGCTAGTCCGTGTGTATTGGTGAAAGTTGGGAATGTACATGGAACATAAAAAGTACAGTTAAACAATCGCAGCCGATAATACCCATGCTATGCCTGGAAGGCAGACACGCAGGCACTCTGGACGTTCCAACTTGCTTAGCTTCCAGAATATGACAATATCGAGCCCATTTTGAGGGATTTGGCCACAGGCTGAAGAGTCAATGGTCGCTAATTCTCAAAAGAGGAATCGGGACAAGTGGTGGCTTGTGGGACTCACGTAGAGAACGGATGCGATCCCGGAGAGCCCCATGGTGCCATACATGAGCACATTTGTCAGGCTTCCACCGGGGACGCCGCCGGTGGACATGGCTCGGGTGGCACGCAGCTGAGCAAAGCCCTCGCCCTGCCTCCTCGCCAGGCTCGACACTGCCACGATAAGTACAAGCGCAACAAATACAACGACGAGCGGTGAAAACATCAGCAAGGGCAGCTCCAAGGCACATTCACGTCGACAAGATCGGAACAGTGTGTCCTCGAAAGTGTGGGCAGTCATACGAGGTCCTGAAAAATGTTTTGGGGTGGTCTCATCATCAGCCATGATCAATCCACTGTTCCATGAAGGGCTCTCCAAGCTGCCACCATCTACTGAGAAGCTGCATTTTTTTAAATCAAAGATTAGCGTGGTTGGCTGCGTACGGTGGGAAAAACGTTCAACGTACATCATACAAATTGCACCCTCAAAGCTCAACACTAAATAGCGTGCAGAAAAATGCTGACTTGCTGCATCTCCACGCTGCACGGAAACGTTGCACGCCAGGCTGTTCCAGTTTAGTCCTGTGCTGTACAGTAACCACTGTAAATTGGACTGTCCGTTCTGGAATTGGCTTGTGATTTTTACCTTCTGTATTCATTTCAAACATTTTGGAGCAAAAAACAATGCCATTTACAATGCAATTACAAATACCATTAATAGCTGCCAATTAACTAATTTGACCTTGATGGATAGGGGTTTTGTGAGGGAATGAGAAATCCTGGGGGCAACCGCACCCTTGAATGAACTAAGACACGCTGCAGATGGGGAGATAGGGTTGTGATGTCTCGCTGACTCGCGATGTTTATTCGTAGCAGGCATATATATTGTAAATGTTGTGGATTTACTCTCCAACATACCGATGGGCTGAAGTAGTAACTAATGGGCGCGTTGTTTACGTGACAAACCTTATTGGCTGTGTCGGGTGGTGGAGGGGTTACGACACATTTATACTTACACGATTTAACCCACAAACCTTTATGATTATATATTTTAACACGTAGGTTTTCGCGACCAATATCATCCGTAAACATAATTTATATATATGCGATCTAACCCAAAAAAAACTACATTATGGAGATATATTTTTGCAAGTGGTCATGACATCCATTGGCGCAATCTTGCGAAACAACGTTGTTGTGTTGCTCTAGAAGCAGAAATATGATCAATTATAATCCAAGTAGCTAAACAACATCCTCCTTAAAATTGATTCTTCAGACTCCACAAGGCTGTCTGGTTAAATAGCATCATTGCTGTTATAGAACTCTAACTTGCAATTCCTGACAACACTGCCTTATAAAAAACCATATGTTGCGGTAGGAATAACGTTTTCAATTATTATTCTATGTCTGCGATCTTCACCGGCACTGCTGTTAACCAAGCTGGTTTTTTTTATGTCACTGCACTGAAATATAATTCGTCCAAAGCTTTGCACGAATGGTTATAAGTCTGGCTGCAATGCATGAATAACTACTCATCCATTATGTAAGCCAGATTTACACCCAATGACTTTCAACAACATTCACATCAAACCGCAACAGACAGCATTCATCTACTCTAGCATCAAGGAATAAACCATGTCTCTCACCCAATACACTCATCGTCTGTACTAAAAACAACAGCAGCATATACACCCCGCATTAAGCGATGTTCATTATGATGGCAACACAAATGTACACACAGTAACAAGCCAAGGGTTAGAACAATGTGGCCTTATTTCAGTGTTCTCCTCTGATAGTGTCGGTGTCAAAGGTGATGAGTTTCCACTCGAGTGGTATTATCATCGGCCACGGTCATTCCACTGTTGGATGAAATCCTCCCCAGAATCGTGATCTCTTACGGTGGAATAATGTGCCTAGCAAAGCACCTGCACACGTACGTATTGCATTGCACGCAGAAAGCATTAAGAGACAACTATAACGGGGGACAATTACCACCGCAGTCGGCTAGTAGCCATCAACGTAACCACAATAAGCACCGAGTGGCCCAATGGAATGGGCGTCATTGGACGGGGGTGACCTTGGCACAAACCCCGGTTCCTTCTCAGCCCTTGGCGCCACGCCACAGCCATTGCCTGGCGCTGAGCGGTCAGCAAAGATGAGGGAAGGAGGGAGGAGGACGAGTGAGAAGCAGCAGGTGTAAAACAATGACTGAAAGATGAGACTTAGGGCACCAGCAGAGACCTCCGCTACATTCTAACATGCAGGCTCCCCAACGCGTCCTCACCATTGCGGCCGACGTTCCGCGACGCGAGCCTCCAGCAGCAGGACGACGACGAGGAGGAGGAGCAGGAGGATCGCGCTACGGGGGCGATCCTCTCGCACACGGCGCGGCAGCGGTACATTGTGTGGCGGTGGGTGGCGGCGGGTGGCACGCGTCTGCTGCTCTGGGTCTCTCTCACCACGATGGCCGCTTCCAAGTCACTCACCCCCCTCCCACTCAACACGCGCGCCAGACGCGGGGCAACGTCATCTCTACGACGGATCACGCGCGCGCCGGGTCGGCCATCTTACGTGGGGGACGACGGTGAAGTTTTGAACGGTTTGTCGCGCTCTGAAAGCGTCACGCACGGGGCGGGGCCGCACGGGATCCCTGACCAAGATGGCGGCAGCGCGATCGTTCGATGAGCTCCCCCCCACCCCCTCTGTCGGCGCCTGTGACGCAACGATTTGAAAAGCTACGTTGCATAAGCGCGGCCGTGGGGCCACTCGCGCGACGCGATTGGTCGAGTGCCCGTCCCCGGTGGCTCGCGCGCCATTGGCCGCTTGCCGAGGCAACGGAGCCAATCGGCGCGCGCGAGGGCGGGGTCACCCGTCCCTATACGCGTTAGGTATTCCACTGTGCCCGTCCCGGCCACGTGGTTCCGCCTTCCGTCCTTGAGCGCGGCGTTCCCGGCGCGTTCTCTTCGCGATGTCAACATCGGCACCACCGCTCATGGCCGGGTCCTAATCGTCGATCGTTACCCTCCCCCCCGACCTACGCGGTGCCGTTGAGCCAATTGAACCTGTCTGCATGGAGGTAGGTCAGAGTGTAGAGGTCATAGACCTCGCGACTCCACGTGTTTGACCGCCTCCTCACGGTGCTAATTTAGGGCTGCGTGGACGCGTTCATTGCGCAATTAATTAATCCGCGGGCAGTTAATTGCCTTGTCCCCCGACCTGGGTAGAGCCGTGGTGTAGATGCCTCTGCTTCGTTATTGAATGGGACCGCGGTATCGTCTGTGTTGACCTTCATCGATACCATGCGTTGCCTCGGAGTTGCCATTGTCCGAGAGTTGTCGCGCAGTCGACGAGGCTGGTCTCGGGCTCCGGGTTTAAACCTGTGTCGGGCAAGCGGGACGGACTGCGCCGGCGAGGCAGGAGGAGGTGGTGGTGGTGGTGAGGCTGCTGCCACCTTGGAGACGTCAAACGCGACGCCGCGCTTCTACGTGAGCACCCCGATATTCTACGTGAACGCGGCGCCGCACATCGGGCATCTCTACTCGGTGACGCTGGCCGACTGCCTGCAGCGCCGCCAGGCTCTGTGCGGGCACAGGGTCCGCTTCTCCAGCGGTGAGGACGGGCTGACGTTTGGGGTGCCTCGTGTGTCGGGAATTGGGACCTCACTTTTGGTGATTTCGAAGAGTTTACTGGTTTGGCCATGTTTGTTTGTTGTAGTACGGAGTAAGACTGATGGCCTTAATCTAAGTTGTCTTGTGGTTGTTGTTTGACTTGCATCCCACTGGGATTTTTGCAGTGTTGGTGTACGGTGCTTTTTCTGCAATATTTTGCCGTCTTTTCTTGGATTTTCTGTTTGCACTTGTTCACATAATCACTTTACGATGTTTTCTTGTTCATGTTTTTTGTTTGTTGCGGTTGCACCCGATTCAAGAGCCGAATTGATCACCGGGCTATAGCTAATAAATGAACTTGAGCTTGGCATGTATCCACAAAAGCCTCAACGAGCCTTGAGAGTTCTGCATTTGGAATGTTTGGCCAAAGCCTTTAAATAATGAGTGCTTTATTTCGTGTGGGATAAAACCGTAGTACCCGGGGGGAAAACCGTCGCGGATTTGAAGGGGTTCCACGCAGACGGGTTCATCGCCGAGCCGGTGTTTGCAAACCTCAACGTGATCTGCCGACCAGGATCCTTCCACCTGTGGTTTTTGTTTAAATAGATTTTTTTTTAATCTTGCATGGAGAGCAAAATGCTGTCATGATGACAATGTAGTATCTCCGTCAATGTTAAAGATAATCATACACCATGAGCCATTGAAAATGCAAAGTACAAAAACCGCCGCATTATAATGCACTTCTGTTGCTGCTCGTGCTTGAAGTCAGACTCGACATGCTGACTTCCAACGATTTCCACCTCGTTTACAAAATGCTACCTCTCCACAAAAAATTATCCATCTTGTTTTCACCGTCTTGAGATACGATCACATCGAAATGTAATATATTTAAAAATACTAATTATATTGCAATTACGTTGTGGGCAGCAGAAGGTAGTGTTGTAGACGTCAATTGTGTACAAAACTGCACTACACATCTATGCACACCGCCTGTACATGTATGCTGTACTTTTGTGTGCCAGGCACGGACGAGCATGGCCTTAAAATCCAGCAAGCGGCCTTGCAGGCGAAGCAGGCCCCGGCCGAGTTCTGCACGTCCGTATCGGAGCGATTCAAGGCCCTCTTTGCGGCCGCCAACGTGGGCCACACGGACTGGGTGCGCACGACGGAGACGCGACATTTCAGGGCCGTGAACTATTTCTGGCGCAAGCTGCGTGACGGCGGACACATTCACCGCGGCAGCTACGAGGGCTGGTACTGCACAGCGGAGGAGAGCTTCCTGGCGAGTGAGCAGGTCACGGACGGAGTTGACCCGCAAGGCAAGCCCATCAAGGTGTCGGCAGAAAGCGGCCACCCAGTGGACTGGACCTCGGAGGACAATTACATATTCAGGTTCAGTGAAGCATTATAGATATCTATTTAGCTGTCTGGTGTGTTTTTGACGTATTTATAATGCAGCATTATAGATACGTGCTTGCAGCCAACTGGCATGACTTGTAACAGGTGTTTATGTCGATTGTGTTTTTTCTCCCGAACAGGTTATCGACGTTTACACCGAGGATAGAAGCATGGCTGCAAACAGAACCACGTCCAGTCTTTCCGGAGAAGTTTCGCCAGCTGGCACTCCAGTGGTTACATGAAGGGCTTCCCGACTTGTCAGTATCTCGACCACATGCCCGCCTACAGTGGGGCATCCCTGTTCCCGACGACCGTACTCAAACCATCTACGTCTGGCTTGATGCACTCGTTAACTACCTGACCATCACAGGCTATCCCGATGAGGGTAAGAAGCGATTTTTTACATAGTCTGGTTCTGAAAAATATATATTTTTTGTTCCTTTGTGCACTCCAGTATATAGCGTGGTTGGGCAATCGACCACCTCATTATTTAATGCAGCCCATGGCACATGGACTAGCACTTGGAAATGGCCTGCAAAACTATTTAACCTAAGAGTATGAATCCTTGCAGTCACGAAAGCTTCAAATCTAGAATTATTTAACCTTCACTGCATCGTAACCACTAGATGGAGAATATATTCAGCCTGAGAAGAACACTGGTTATGTTAGTGCACTCCGTCACGTCTTCTTGCTTGCATGGGCATCTTGCAGTGACTTAAGTGACTGAGGTGTTTGTTACTGTGTGGCCTGCCAAACGCATTTGAAAGTCCTATTCCCTAACCCTCAGTCACGAAAATATTCCTCCACCCCTGCCATAACATGCAATTGTTGGCTTGATCTGTTTTACTCGACAGGATATGGAGAGTGGTGGCCCTGTGACCTGCATGTTCTGGGTAAAGACATCCTGAAGTTCCATGCTCTGTACTGGCCGGCATTCCTCATGGCTGCAGGATTGGAGCCGCCTCGTCGCCTCCTAGTACACTCCCACTGGACTGTTGCCGGACGCAAGATGTCCAAGAGTCTCGGCAATTCTGTGGACCCCAATGAGGACATCAACCGGTAGGTTTTATCCCTCATTTGCTGCTTCAGGTGTTAAAATCAAACTGATCTTAAATCACTGAATGAAAATTATTTTAGAATAGCCAAGAAAGTTCATATAATGGCTATGCTATCTGTGAATTATTCATTAAAACATTTTTATTTATAAAATATAACTACAATAACTGCTAATTCTGTGTTTTTTTTAAGGTACTCTGCCGATGGGCTTCGGTATTTCTTGCTACGTCAGGGTGTGCCGGAATCGGATGGGGATTACTACCCTGAAAAGGTGGAAAAAATGCTCAATGCTGAGCTTTCAGGCACATTAGGAGGACTTCTTAACAGGTATCAAATTAGTCTGCATTAATATTGAACACAGAACCAAAGATGGCCTTTCATTAATATGCTGTAGATCACTGCAATTTTGCAAAACTGAAATAATGCGACAAGCTTAAGGTATTTTTTTGTAAACATTAACTTTACATTTTGTGCAAGTGATAAGAGATTTGCTACTTAAAGGCATAAATATGAAATGGCCAGGATCACGTGTTTTTAAAATAATTGCTTCCAACAGGTGTGTGGCTCCAGCCTTAAATCCGGAACAGATTTTCCCTCCATTCCATCGGCCATTGTTCCCTGAGAAAAAACGCACAAGTACCGAGACTGGGCTGCCTCACTTGACATCAAGCGACTATGAGCTCGTTACAAGCGTTGAGAATTTGCCAGCCGTCGTACAAGACTGCTATGACAGAGCGGCTGTGTATCAGGCGCTGGATGCCATCGCTGCCTGCTTGCACAAAGGCAATGGGTTTGTGCAGCGCCACGCTCCATGGAAAATTACACCGCCTTCTGATCAAGGTAGCGTAGTACCTTGCAACCACACCAGTCAATTTGAATATAATTGTTAATTACATTTGTTTAAAAATGTTGAAGGTACCTGGCAAATAAATGATCAAATAACCCGGAATTTACCCATCCTTTCCAGATGTCTAAATCTAACCAGGGTTCAGTCCAAATAGTTGGATGGTTAACTGCCATGCACAACAGGTTGTTAAGCTGTGCGGCCAAATATATTGTATTAATATGCTCTTCACCAACCCACACTGACAGTATGAAGTATTATTTTTATGTTTTACCTACGTGACTGGCGAAAAAAAACCTAAGAGTATGAATCCTTGCAGTCACGAAAGCTTCAAATCTAGAAGTATGAAGTATGGTCAGGTTACCACCACAACCCACTAAGCATAGGGAGGCTCTCATGCAGCAGTAGATTGACAAAAAGGGCTATATATGCACATGATGTACATGACCTGGATAATACTCCTGTGTTTTCACAGAAGACATGGAACCAGGCAGCATCAGCAGCCATGGTAAGATGTGGCATGACACGGTGCTGCACGTTGCCATGGAGACTCTGCGTGTTTGCGGCATTCTACTGCAACCCGCCGTGCCGGGCCTGGCGAGCAAGCTTCTCGACCGACTCGGCATCCCGGGTCACCACGCCGGCTCCCGAGAGCGTTCCTGGGAGTCTCTGACATGCTTCGATGCGTACCGAGGGCGCACCTGCCTGCACGCTGGCCAGAAGCTGGGGCCAGACTCGGGGCTGCTGTTCCCAAGAATTGATGGAAAAATAGGGAAGAAGCCCAAGAAGTCTGCAAAGGATGATGACTCGGGGCACAAAAACTGAGTGCATTTGTTTTACATGTGTATTTCCCAAAAGTACTAGCCATGTCAACACTATAAAAAAAATCATAAAATAAATGTATGTACATATTTTATATAAATGGACTTAAATAACTGACAAATTAAATGTACAGAACACTGTGAATGTTTTATATTTATTTAGTCATACAGTTCTGTCATGTGACAAAGTATTTTGTTTTACCTACAGTTGTTAACATTTAAGATGATGTAAAAATAAATGTTTAACAATTTGTGTCGAATATTTCACAGAATACAACTCATGTATATGTTACATAGTTCTCACAACAGGGGAATTTATACTCTGACAGGAATATTCTTGCAGCGACTCTTCTGCATGTTCACATTCTTACATCAACATATCATTTGGCTCCTCATCTGAAAGAGAACATTTAATATGATTAATACAAAATACAGATCTACCATTCATTTCACACTCAAAGTGCTTGTATATTTATGAAACTTAAAACTTTCAACACCATCTTACAAATGCTAGTACAAATTAGGCAAAAAATATGGCAGTGATCAACTTCAAACTCACTTGGATATGCCACGTCGCTTCTCATATTCAGCCCAGTCAGTGCTGTTCTGCTTCAGTAGCTGTGGGGAACACACATTTGGGTGCTTTAATTTGTTGTCAAATGCATGACACAGCGATTAGCAGGGTTAGTCGTCCAGATGGTACAATATTTACATACAGAAATAGCAAAAAAATATAAACGTTGCATAATTATCCCCAAAAGATGGTTTTAGAGCCTATCTGGTATCACTTACATTGATGTATGCGTCATGATGTGAGATATAAACCCAGTGGCCTGAGTTGAATTCCTGGCCTTGGCTCTCATAATTGACCAGTGACATCGGAGTCATTCCGGTCCCCCACCTTGACCTACCTGTGCTGACCAGTATGGTCATACAACCTCACGACTGACCAGACAAGGGGAGACCTTCATCGAGCACTGAATTGAAAACGAAGCTACACATTCATTTTAAAAGTAGCTTCTTACATCCATCTGTAATCAAATCGAACTCATATCATTTACTGTGTCAAATGCAATCAACAAATGAAATGTACATTTTTACCCTTGAGTAGGATAGTACATTTCTAAAGCAGTCATTTGTTTTCCATCCGATTGATTTTGCAAGTCCTTTTTAATGAGCAGCATTTTTTTTACTTTCCAAAATATATATTTTAAAGCTAACTGGAACCGCAGAAACTGTAGTCACGTGCAAGTGCCTCACCAGGCCCCACAGTAGCACCGTGCCCGACACGTAGGCCACCACGCCTGGCCAGTTGGGCTTCGTATATTCCGGCGCCATGGCCGTGAACTTCCCCCGAGAGAAACCTGTCCGTAAAAACAATTTGGGATAAATTAGTCTCCACAGAACAGGTACCCCCCAGTCACTGCAATCACCTTGCTGCGATTTCAGACCACCACATCACAGACGCTATGCAAGCTTCTCATTTTGACAGCTGCATTTGCACACAAGCTTCCAAGCGAGTCCATTTAGACAGCGTCCATCCAATAGTCCATAGACAATGTATGAAGGAATGTGTATACGTGTGTAAGTGGAGCTATGAGACAAATTTATGAGCAGGAGTAAACGACACATGACATTACATAAGAGATGAGAGCACGAGAAATCGCCTTACAGCCGTGGATAAGGTCTTAAGAGAACATCGTGATGACGATGGCGCGGAGATCCGTCGTGGAATGCAATACACAGACATCGCTGATGATGCTCATGATTTTAGCCTCGGCGTGAAATACGAATCCTGGCGAAGCAACCCGCCAAATGCAGCCTTCCATCACCGGCCATGATCATTCAATTTCTGGACCAAGGCCTCTCCCCAGGCCGTTGATAGGTAACAACCTACCTAGCAGCTGTAACACAAGCGGACATCGCACCTCCTCTCTCCAAGCTGGACGTCCTCTATTTTCGCTGGCACTCCGTCATTCATTTCGACCACTGACTGTCATCCACTCTCGCCCCAATAACTATAATAAACACGCACGTCCTAGCCACAAACGACACCCAATAACAATGACAGCCATACCACTTAACCCTGAATGGACCGAAACGTAAAATCGAAATGTAAATACATTACAATGTTTACTTTACTGGGTGTCCCACAGTTTAGATGGAGAGTGCATTTGGTAACATCAGGTAACTCCGGCAGCATCCGTTTTACAAACTGCTGATGAGACTCAACATGTCGAAACCGGTCCACAGCAGCATTTACATGCTTCAACACATGCTGCTTGATAATAATAATCATGCAATTGGTCTCGAAAGCCAAAAGACTGTTGAACTGGTCATAGACCTGTCAACCCATACGGTGTACCCGTATTCTTGTCCAGGGAAACTGAGTTTTCAGATGCATGCGGTGTACAGCCATTTCAGTACTATGTGTTTCTCCCTTGTGATGGGATTTTGTAGGATGAACGTTGTGATTTACAAGGGCAGGAATAAGGTAAGCACTGGTAAGGCGTTGACAGGTAGGTGATCACATTTATATGTGGAGACACAGACCAAGTATGTTGCTTACAGCTTCTTTCACTTTACCTCGCGACTTTGGCCTAACATTAACGAAAGCCTCGGACTCGCCTAGCAACGTGAACGCTCAGCGAGAGCCAAACTCGGCAAACAAAACCAGACGCTTACGAATCGGTTAGCGGACACACACAACCACCCCGAGTTTTAACGACTGCGTGTATTAAACTCTTACCTTGCAGCAGCAGCCGAGGCGGCGGCGGCCTGGCGAGTAACCTCTGCGCGAAGCCGAACATCTTCTTGTTGTCCTTGAGCGATCAGCGACTCGGGGTGGGGGGTCGCTCGATTGCTCCGCCTGCCCCGCTCGACTGCTTCGCCTGCTCCGCTGGCGCCAAGGGCGGCGAGGCGAGCGCAGAGCGAGTCGATGCGATCCCACGTGGCGTGGGGGGGTTGCGGCTTCGAACGATGAATCGGCTTCGTAATCGATTATCTCGCCCGCGAGATCGTGCGCGCGCGTGTAACAAGGTCATAGCCATGGAGTCAACATTGGGGGGGGGGGGGGGGGGGCAAATCTTCAAGGGGGTCTGGGGTTCCCCCCCAGAATTTTTTTTTTATAAATTTGAAAAATAATTTCCTGCCTAAAATATTTTAAAATTCACTAACACATGGGATGGATTTTTTTTACCAATAATAATATAAGTGCACACCTGATGATGATTGCTTGTGTTGCAGTCGAAACATCGTGAGAATTTTATTGTTTTATATTTATTTGTATTATTTCTCTTCTACGTGACTTTACAGAAAGGACCAAGAATATAAGTGCACAACTTTATCTATTTGTAATGAACGCTGCACTTCCCCTACGTGTCCATGCAGGGGGCGCTGCAAATCCTACGCGCCCCCTGCATGGACGACGGAGGCGCAGGGACAGACGATCGATCACGTTGGAATCGATCAGCAGAGGGCAGTCTTCTCGCACGGCCAGCTCTGTCACCTTATATTGATTCCGCAATCCCAACCAGGTGAAAGTCGACATCGAACCGAATCCCCGGCAAGGACATCTACTTAAAGACGAGAGAAATTAACTCGAAATATCGCTTTAAATGAAGTCTTGCAGATGTAAAATTAAATGTATATACAAACAACGTTCTCTATCTGTCTATGATGAATATCACGACCGCTTGAGAGAGAGAGGGCCCACACCGACGCGGCTTTGCCATTTGTTTTGCGACGACGACAATTTCCCATTCTCCCCGCATTCGCTATCACAATCAACAAGTCGCAGGGACAGACGTTCCGTTACGTTGGTAAGCGCACAACTTTATAGATATTTCTATGATGAATACGAGGTTGTTGGGGGAGGGGAGGGGGCAACACAGGCGCCCCCCCCCCCCAACAACCTCGTCACTAAATTTGTTTTAAAAAAATTAAACGCGAGCATTTTTGCAAAAACGTCACGACAAATTAAACTCGGTCTTATTTTGCATCGACATGTTTATACCGGACTGAGGCCATCAGCTTGCGACACTTGAGAGACAGCTTTTTATCACTGCCCGGGTTCAAATCCAGGGGTCACTGTGATACCGGCAAAGCGATCTGACCGCTGATCTGGTACACGTGTTGATATTTAAAACTGTGGTGGTGATTGATTATCCCATCCATTACACGTGCTCAGTGTGATTGGTAACCCGTGTTTAGAGCACTTGGCCAAACCATTGAGCTCTTTGGTAGCAACTTACACCCCAGTCTCTTGTTTGTCAAACGTTTAATGTTCTCAGCTCTTATTTTTCATTGCATTATTAAAACACAATTCAGTATTTTTTACACATCCCATCAGCAACAAGAGATTTGCTTCAACACGAGCAAATCCGAACCGGATTTGACATTTAACAGTCTGCACGACACATTATACTTGCAGTCTACAAACGTGACATTCATAACCATTCGTGTATGGATGCATTCATGACAATACATTCAAACAACCCCTACACATGGGCATGGAGGGAAGAGACAGATGACCGCTTGTGGGGGAAGCCTCCATCCAGCAGTGGATCGAGCATGCCCGAGGATGATGATGAGGAAGAGGGATTGGCTCGTTGTTGGAGGGGGATCCGCCTCCGTTACTTGCCGGCCCTCCCTGCCCGGAAGACAAGTCCCGTGATGTCTCCCTCACTACGCCTCGAAGCTATAAAGTTCGGGTTCGTTCATGGCTCTAATCATTATGTAAATGATCCAGCACATCACCGATCATCGTCAGCACCACCATCATCACCATCATCATCATCTCCGGTGACCGCGTGACAATGGGCAGCACGCTGGTCTCACCCGCTCTGATGCTGCTCCTACTGCTGCTGCTGCTGCCGGTGCCAGCGGTGCTCGCTCAGAGTGGTGAGTCCGTAAAAACATCGCCACTCGGGGAGAGACAAAGGCGGACGGGCGTGGTGCCGGTCACCTCCTCCCCCCTCGTGTGCCGTTCCAGCCTCCAAAGGTGCTCGTTAACAGCACTTGCTCCAAGTCTATTGGAGGCTGTACGGGGGATATTTGTCTTTGTGCAGGACTGTTTATTGGCAATCCATGACTGGATGAGGGGCATCTCCAACGCTGCAACGGGTCGTGTTGGTTGGTTGTCCATACTTCACCACCTCTGGTTCAGTGCCGGTTTGGCGAAGGCAGGGGGGTGTGTGGTGGAGTGTGTGTGGTGGAGTGTGGTGGAGTGTGTGTGTGGTGGAGTGTGGTGGAGTGTGTGTGGTGGAGTGTGTGTGTGTCGTAGAGTGTATGTGGTGGAGTGTGTGTGGTGGAGTGTGTGTGGTGGAGTGTGTGTGTGTGGTGGAGTGTGTGTGTGTGGTGGAGTGTGGTGGAGTGTGTGTGGTATAGTGTGTGTCGTGGAGTGTGTGTGTGGAGTGTGTGTGGAGTGTGTGTGTGGAGTGTGTGCGTGTGTGGTGGAGTGTGTGTGTGGTGGAGTGTGCGTGGTGGAGTGTGTGTGTGGTGGAGTGTGTGTGTGGAGTGTGTGCGTGTGTGGTGGAGTGTGTGTGTGGTGGAGTGTGCGTGGTGGAGTGTGTGTGTGGTGGAGTGTGTGTGGTGGAGTGTGTGGTGGAGTGTGTAGTGGAGGGTGTGGTGGAGTGTGTGTGCTTGTGCGAGTTTGATCCTGTCCTGTCAAATCCACTTTGGGGGACCTTTCATCCCGGCGACTCGATTGTTCCCATGCTTGGACGTCTCAAAGATGAGCACTCTCAAATCGACCCTTGTGTTTAATTGACAGTCCGCTTGATTACACTGGTCAACACACTTTTTCTGGCATAAGGTATTTCAACGGTTTCAATGCAATTTTGGGGTGCTGATTCCAAATCTGGCATCAGTTTTTGTCTATCACATCAGGTTTTTTAGATATCAAATATTGCATTTTCAATAAAAACTGCAGAAGAAAAATATTAAATAAATGTGGATATCTCCATAAAATGATATTATAAACACACTATCCTAAAAATACAGCACCATATTTTAACACTAAAGCAGTCACTGACTCGCAACAACTTGCAATCACAAGTGACAGAGTTAATTTCGGATAAAATCAATGAAAATGGGGTATGCCGATAGCATAAAAATTAGATGTGATAGAGCAAATCTGAGATCAGATTTGGAATCAGCACCCTGAAATTAGTCTAAAACAGCTGCAAAAGTCCAGGCCAGAAAAAAATGTTTTTTTTGTTGACCAGTGTAATTGTTCATTGTCGGCTTGGCTGGTGTCCCCTCTAGCGGTAAATCCCGGACATTTCAGCGCCTAACGCCTGATGCCGGTTCTAATTCCTGGCGAAAACGTCGTACTCATCAAGATTATAAATGTTGTGGATTTGCTTTCCAACACACCGGTGTGCTGTGCTCGTAACGAATTGGCACGTTCTGTTTACGTGACAAACCTCACTGATTGTCTGTGTAGGGTGGTGGCGGGTTTAACGACACATTGACGCGATCTAACAAAAAAAACCCCGGTATTATGGATCTAACATCGCCTTTTAATTCTCCCAGTTTAAGACGTCTTGTATGGGAGCCTCAGGGAATTCCCTGGGCACGGCGAACATCAGTGGCGAGTGATGTCTGAACTGGTTCCGAGCACCTACCCCCCCCGTCTTTCCCCACAACTCAACCCACACTGAACCAGAAGTGGTGAAGTATGGTCAAACAAGCGTCGTGAACAAAACGAATAAACACAGCAAGGGGGAGTTTTTCCATCACCGTGTTGACAAAGGGCTGTCAATGATGTATGAATCTCTACGAGTGCTTGTGCATTTTTGCGTGTATGTTTTTGTCGTGTCCATTCTATTAATATAGACTTGGATATTCGATTTAAACTTGTTTTAACCAGGTGAGTATCCATAGACATTGCACCTAAATGATCTAACCCACAATAAATTAATTACGAATCGTATTATTGATAGAATCGTATTATTGATCGTAGTATTGTTCATTATTGATCATAAGCTGGGTAAATAATTGACCAAAAATATCGTGCAAACTTGACCGAAACATCAATCGTCAGCAACAGATATAAGACTGCCAAAGCAGGCAAAGCATAATGCAGAAACAGGTCATGATAAAGACAAATATTACATTCTACTGGCACGTTTGTTTATCACGTGACAACATTGTTGTGTCGGGTGGAGGAGGGTGTACGACACACATTTTACTCACGCGATCTGACAAGATCAATTATGAAACAAAAATGGTGCTCACAATTCGATCAATGAGGTGGGCCAACAAAGCTACTTACAATCCCAAAATTACAAAACGATTCACAAGTTCAGGAGCTTGCGTTTTTGAGATAGGAAAACCAATACTCCTATTGGCGCTTCGTTATTCTCAATGCAACGTAGATGCCATGTAGCTCTCCGATGTGTGTTTTTTATATGAGTATATTGTTTCTGCAAAGCATCTCAGGTTGTGGTCATATTTAGACATTACATATGTAACTCTAAATGTGCTTTTGTTGGTGATGAGTGGTGTTAGTATTTGTGCAATGGCAGTGTACGATTCAGCACCACTGTTTCCTCTTCACGCAGCTCTCCCAGGTCCGGAGAACAACTCCTCTTGCGACGGAGCATGCACGGCAGAGAACAATGGAACCTTCAACCAAAACATGGCCATCGGATTTACAGCTGCAGCGATAACAAGCCTCTTCTATGGGAGCAACTTTGTTCCTGTGAAGAAGTTTGACACTGGTGATGGTGAGCGTGACTGCAAAGAACACGGCTCTGCTGTACACAAGTGATACGTACTTGCCGGTAACGCGTATCGTTCGTCACAGTTTCAATTAAGCATTGTATTAAGAGCAGGAGTAGGGAACATTGGTCCATCGGCCGTAACCAACCCACCACATCATTTCAAACGACCAACAGCGACATGACACCTTCCATTTGTAAATGGCCCACAAAAGATATATCTGTCAAGGAAATCATCTTTCTTCTTGTTTCTTTCGGTAAAGTCACGTAGAAGGGAAGTAATAAAATAATAAAAATAAAACATAATAAAACAATTCTCACGACGTTTCGGCTACAACGCAAGCAGCCGTCTTCAGGTGAAGAATGAGACACTACCAAACTAGGAGCTTATATATAAGCTGCATTGGGGGTTGAAGAGCGCCTTAACAAAAAGAATGTGCATGTGAAGAGGGATTTAGCATATTCATGGAAAATGCGTAGGCGTTGGGCGGGGGGGTGTCAAAGTCATATTATGCCCATGCATTATGCAGGATCAGCAGCAACCAAGGGGGGTGCAGGGATTAGCAGTAACAAAGGAAAGGAATGTTAATGATATGTAGCTGCAGTTACTCAACAACCACGTAGAAAACTAAAGTATAAACTACATAAAAAACTAAAGTATAAACTGCATCGCACCATCAGTATACTTACTATACTCTATAATAAGCTGAGTTACTAACAGCAAGTAATACATTACAATTTTACCTCGTAAAAATTCTATAATATGCTTCCATCTAAACCTTATTCTCTTACATCACACGAGCATATACCGTACTATATACTGCCATAGATAAACCCAACATTAAATTATATACTGTATTGCTGTAAACCAACCTATATCTTATACATTTAATATCACACTATGTATTATTCTACACACCCTAATGTGTATCGAAATGGTTTATTACGTCCTTCCAATGATTGCTGAGCCAGAATCCATCTTCTCGGTTAAAGTTGTCTCTGTGTTTGTATATGTGGATCGCCTCATGAACGAATCTCTCATGATAGCCAGATGGCTTGCAGAGAACCTCTGTCTTGGAGAAGTCAATATCATGTGAGCCCACTGAGTTGTAACAGTGATCTGCCACGGCTGAGGTGTTAGTCCTACCGTGTTTCAGGTCAGCTTTATGTTCACGGATGCGGTCCGAGACATGTCGTTTGGTTTCCCCAATGTAACTGCTACCACAGAGGCAACTTAGTTTGTAGACGCCAGGGTACTGTATGTCTGGAACCACATCTTTTACAGACGGTACCAGATCACGGATTTTATGTACTGTGTTGAATCGGACCTGGATCTTGTGTTTAATCAGGATTTTGGAGATCTTTTTTGTGACCCCAGCAATGTAGGGTAAGGTGATGGTCTTGAAAGGCTCCTCAACAGGATCCTTCTTGATGGTTGGAGTGATGGCTTTGCGGATTGTATAGTCGGAGTAACCATTTGCCTTAAGAGCTTGGCGTACGTGTTTGAGTTCACTGGAAATGTGTTCATGGTCGGAGATGCATTGGGCTCTATGATATAGAGTCTTGATGAGGGAATTCTTCTGAGATGGATGGTGGTGGGAATCCGGTTTTAGATAAGCATCCGTGTGGGTGGCTTTCCTGTAGACAGAGTGGCTCATTGAACCATCAAGTCTCCTTTTGATTAGGACATCCAAAAAGGGTAGCTTGCCATCATTTTCGACTTCCATGGTGAATCTGATGGCTGGGTGTATGGAATTGATGTGGTCGAGAAATTGGTCTAGAGCAGGCCGGCCATGTGGCCAGATGACAAAAGTGTCGTCTACGTACCTCTTCCATAAGGTCGGGCGTAGAGTGGCAGTCTGGATGGCGTCCGTCTCAAATTTCTCCATGAAGATGTTGGCTACAACCGGAGATAGGGGGGAGCCCATTGGGGTGCCCTCAATTTGCTTGTAGAAGGTTCCATTCCAGGTGAAGTATGTATTGGTTAAGCAGTGTCTCACCAGGGGGGGTACCCCAGCATTCAGTCCTTGATGAACCAAGTCTTCAATGATTGCGATGGTGTCAGGCACAGGTACCTTGGTGAACAAGGAAACCACATCAAAACTGACAAGCAGGTCGTCTGGGGACAGGGCAATCCCCTTGATTGTCGATACCAGGTCAGTAGAGTTTAGTACTGCAGAGGTGGTTTTTCCAGTGAAAGGCCGTAGGATTTCGGACAAAAAACGAGCCAGTTTGTAAGTGGGGGCTCGTTTTTTGTCCGAAATCCTACGGCCTTTCACTGGAAAAACCACCTCTGCAGTACTAAACTCTACTGACCTGGTATCGACAATCAAGGGGATTGCCCTGTCCCCAGACGACCTGCTTGTCAGTTTTGATGTGGTTTCCTTGTTCACCAAGGTACCTGTGCCTGACACCATCGCAATCATTGAAGACTTGGTTCATCAAGGACTGAATGCTGGGGTACCCCCCCTGGTGAGACACTGCTTAACCAATACATACTTCACCTGGAATGGAACCTTCTACAAGCAAATTGAGGGCACCCCAATGGGCTCCCCCCTATCTCCGGTTGTAGCCAACATCTTCATGGAGAAATTTGAGACGGACGCCATCCAGACTGCCACTCTACGCCCGACCTTATGGAAGAGGTACGTAGACGACACTTTTGTCATCTGGCCACATGGCCGGCCTGCTCTAGACCAATTTCTCGACCACATCAATTCCATACACCCAGCCATCAGATTCACCATGGAAGTCGAAAATGATGGCAAGCTACCCTTTTTGGATGTCCTAATCAAAAGGAGACTTGATGGTTCAATGAGCCACTCTGTCTACAGGAAAGCCACCCACACGGATGCTTATCTAAAACCGGATTCCCACCACCATCCATCTCAGAAGAATTCCCTCATCAAGACTCTATATCATAGAGCCCAATGCATCTCCGACCATGAACACATTTCCAGTGAACTCAAACACGTACGCCAAGCTCTTAAGGCAAATGGTTACTCCGACTATACAATCCGCAAAGCCATCACTCCAACCATCAAGAAGGATCCTGTTGAGGAGCCTTTCAAGACCATCACCTTACCCTACATTGCTGGGGTCACAAAAAAGATCTCCAAAATCCTGATTAAACACAAGATCCAGGTCCGATTCAACACAGTACATAAAATCCGTGATCTGGTACCGTCTGTAAAAGATGTGGTTCCAGACATACAGTACCCTGGCGTCTACAAACTAAGTTGCCTCTGTGGTAGCAGTTACATTGGGGAAACCAAACGACATGTCTCGGACCGCATCCGTGAACATAAAGCTGACCTGAAACACGGTAGGACTAACACCTCAGCCGTGGCAGATCACTGTTACAACTCAGTGGGCTCACATGATATTGACTTCTCCAAGACAGAGGTTCTCTGCAAGCCATCTGGCTATCATGAGAGATTCGTTCATGAGGCGATCCACATATACAAACACAGAGACAACTTTAACCGAGAAGATGGATTCTGGCTCAGCAATCATTGGAAGGACGTAATAAACCATTTCGATACACATTAGGGTGTGTAGAATAATACATAGTGTGATATTAAATGTATAAGATATAGGTTGGTTTACAGCAATACAGTATATAATTTAATGTTGGGTTTATCTATGGCAGTATATAGTACGGTATATGCTCGTGTGATGTAAGAGAATAAGGTTTAGATGGAAGCATATTATAGAATTTTTACGAGGTAAAATTGTAATGTATTACTTGCTGTTAGTAACTCAGCTTATTATAGAGTATAGTAAGTATACTGATGGTGCGATGCAGTTTATACTTTAGTTTTTTATGTAGTTTATACTTTAGTTTTCTACGTGGTTGTTGAGTAACTGCAGCTACATATCATTAACATTCCTTTCCTTTGTTACTGCTAATCCCTGCACCCCCCTTGGTTGCTGCTGATCCTGCATAATGCATGGGCATAATATGACTTTGACACCCCCCCGCCCAACGCCTACGCATTTTCCATGAATATGCTAAATCCCTCTTCACATGCACATTCTTTTTGTTAAGGCGCTCTTCAACCCCCAATGCAGCTTATATATAAGCTCCTAGTTTGGTAGTGTCTCATTCTTCACCTGAAGACGGCTGCTTGCGTTGTAGCCGAAACGTCGTGAGAATTGTTTTATTATGTTTTATTTTTATTATTTTATTACTTCCCTTCTACGTGACTTTACCGAAAGAAACAAGAAGATGAATCCCTGCAGTCACGAAAGCTTTAAATCGAAAAATGAAATCATCTTTGCCGCACTAATCAGAAACGAGAGTGGACGATTTTTGGTCCACTTTATAATTTTAGCGTGCTAGGTGACTTCTCTCACTGTTAGGGTCTTTTGAAGTGGCAGAAGTGACTGAGATGTACGTGTGTGTTAATGTGTGGATGTTCACCAAAAGTATTTGAAAGTCAGCACTCTTGAGGCCCTCTCTAAGGAATTTGTCCCTCTGTATTCAGCACTCTGTAAAGGAAAATGTGCCTGAACCCTGCATTAGAGGGAGGTCTTATTAGATGATGACGACTAAAATTGATTCTTATGCCCATGATACGTGCATTTAATTGTGCGCGTGAGAATCAATTGCTTTTATACATATTCTACGTTGTTACATTTAGGCTAATGGAGATAAGGCAACTGTCAAATTAGACAAAAATCGAGCAGCAATGCAAAACATATAATTCTTGAATTAAATTTCAACCACAATGAATTTCATTCCTGATGGGATGTCTTCTCGCAACTAAACTTTCTGGCACAAACCAAGGTGTAAGAATTTCCACTGAGCATAATGTAAACATTTTGTATAATTGATACACTACTTGCAAATAATAGTAATAACTTCTTTATTTTAAGTTGTGCCCTGCATTTGGCATAGATGTCATTCAAAAGTTAATATCCAATTTGGTTGCATAATTCTGGATTAAACTCAAAAAATATTTCTTCATGTTGTTGCAAAGCTGTCAGTTTTTACACAAAGCTCAAACTTTAGTTTACACAAAGGTCACTCCTGTGTTAGCTGATGTTAGACTTAATCTACATATGCATACTTGCATTTATATTGCACCCATAATCTAATGAAACGTCTCAGCATGTAGTTTTTATTGTTAGCCTAGAGGACCCCCTAATGGGAACGTGTCCTTTGGGGCACAGGGTGAAACACAACACCATACTGCAAGTCGGCATCAGGCTGCCAATTGTAATTACCAATTGTGGGATGTCACGGATCTTTTAACATTCACTGAAGCAGGCGGCATGTATTTCGTGATTAATACCGGCATTTACTGAAAATATTGTGTCATATATTATCCTTTTTGTCACAGGGATGTTCTTTCAGTGGGCGATGTGCACCTCCATCTGGCTGGTGGGACTGGTGTCAAATTTCATTCAGCACTGCCCAGAGTTTTGGCCACTCGCTATGCTGGGTGGATTCCTCTGGGCCACAGGTGAGACACATGCAGTGATGGCTCGTTATTAGGGCAAGGTGAGGCCAGACCTTACTCCTTAAAATAGAAAGCCCTTAACAACAATTGCCTGCGAATTATAAACATTATGACCTGCATACACTCCCCTTCACTCCCCCCTGCAGGCTTACTTACAAGGCTGGCGCTAGGGTGGTACTGGGGTGGGCCCTGCACCACAACATGTCCCTTTGGCACCACCCAACTTCACTCTCACTAGTGGTTTGTCATTGTTATGGTGGCCCACACAACAGCTCGACTGGCCCCCCACCCGAGATGAGCTGCAGCCGGGCTTGCTATTGTACCCCAAACAATAGATTTACTGACCAGCCACCGCTGGACACAAATATATTAATTTGGTATCGTGCTCTCACAATATCTTGCTGTTATTGAGCAACCGCTTACTCGTTTTTTAATTATACTGTTAGCGGTGGCGCACAAGCACAATAAATGTTTACACAGTTATCAATAACACTAACCTAAAACGACAATAAATATAGAATCTCTGTTATGAAGAAAGGTCATTACCTAAAATTGCACCTGTGATATATATTTTTCTATGAAAGTGTTGAAATTTAGCTCATTTGCAGTGTCATTAATATCCTTGGATAATGTCATACAGGCAACATTGCTACAGTTCCAGTAATAAAGACGATCGGCCTTGGACTCGGATTTCTCATCTGGACTTCATCCAACCTCATCGTGGGCTGGGCCAGTTCAAGGTACACGATCATACAACGGTGCACACCAAACTGCCAGCATCGGCATTACGAGTTGTATAAGTACTACTAGGGAGTTGCAGCAACATGAGGTTCTGATATGACAATAAAACAGCATTACGATTTTCTCAATCGAAAGGTACAAAACATCAGAGGGTGTTGCATGAGAGGCAAATAGAGTGTAATAATTTATTATATGAATTTATAGGGTACTTATAAGCCCCCAGCATCTCAAAGAGCCTTACATAACATCTCATGTCAACCATCCCTATGCAATGCTGCAGTCTAGCGAGGTGTACGCAGCACTGGCCTGAATATAGGAATTAGTCTGCCAGCAACGGATGACGTTGCTATGTGGTTATTACCAATTAAGTAGTGAGCGAGTGGTTAAGGGATAATTCACATTAGATATCCCAAGCTTTAATATGTCTGGCTTTTGTCCAATCCCCTAGGTTTTTGGCTGTTGTATTTTTCACGTTGCACTTTACATAAACAAATTCACAACAACTGTCTTTTGTATCGTGGGGAGTTGATCAGTAATGCTTGCATGCTCATGTCGAGATTGGTGAGTATCTGAAATGCTGCCAACGAATGATCATAATGGGTAGTGGCGTGTTACTATGTGGCCCGTGGTTAGAGATTGGTGACTGCAGTTTGAAGTGTCGGCTATTCTTTATTGTTCAATGGTGTAGGAGATATACAATTCACAACAATCAAAATAACACATTCTTTTTAAAAAAATTGGATTACTGCATGTGTCATACCTCGTGGCTTGCATTATACTAATCTCAGAGCAATATTTCAGGAGAGTTTAATTTTCCGCCACCTGTTGTTTGTATGTTTTATCGTGTTTTTCTCTTTTAGGTTTGGTTGGTTTGGCTTGGACCCAGAAGTTGTTCCAAATACAACACTCAACTATGTTGGCACAGCACTGTCAATTATAAGGTCCTGTGCAGTGCATTGACACGTGTCTCCAAATAGAGCAAATCTTGTGCCTTACATAAACAGGAAACATGCCATGTCGCTTCATTTGTGACTGTGTTCGACTGTCAACAGGTCATTTATACTTTTGTTTGTGACAACTGAAGTGAACAACCAAAGTACAGAAGTGAGAGAAAACCATAACAACATTGTGAACTCCACCGAGGTATACGACTTCAGTGACAGCATTGCATGCATTTCAACATAAAGAAGTGAGCTTCATCGATGATCCAGCACTCACGAATTCACTCCATTTGCTCGCTCACCGGCAGTCAGTCTCTTTCTTAATACTCCTATATCGCTACCACCATGGTAACAAGTCCCATGAACTGCACTCATTAATTCCTTCACTCATAGAGGGCTCATTCTACCAGACTGACCGTTTCATCGCATCCATGCTGTGTTCAACCACCACAATGCAGGTCAAAACACGTATCATTCTGCTTAATTTTCTCTTTTCCCACGTTTGTATATAACCTTACTCCGTTCGACAAGCGTATTAACTGTTATCTATTATAGCTTAAATAGTGCTTGCTTGATTTGGAGTTTTCGTGACTGCAGGAATTACTCTTTGGTTCTTTCAGTAAATAGTGCTGTTTGTTGCTGATCGCTTGGGCCTTTGGACCTGTACTTAGCAACTATAATTTAAAACATATTTATAATTAAAATGTATTCCAGTGTTTACATTTTGAAGTGGAGGCTTAGTGCAGTGATATGCACACTGCGCTCTGGACCTGACAACCTGAGTTCAATTCCTAGCCCCAGCTAACAGTGGCGAATAATATTTGAACTGGGCCTGAGCAGCCTCTCTCCCTGCCACAACTTCACCAACCTGTACTAACCAGCGTGGTGAAATATGGTCAAGAATCTCCTATGACCCAACAGGGCACGGGGAGGGCTTCATCCACGAGTTGATTGACAGAGGGCTGGAAATGTATTATTATCATATCTGCAAATACAATTCACAGTACTTGTGTTTTCATGTCCGTACAATGGCCACCTTATATCTTTTAGATTTTTCCGTAACTTAATTTGTAATTGAGCTATGATCAGTCTACGGATAAGCTGGTTAAACAGAATGAAATATAAACTTGAACCCCTCTGCTGTGTTGTGCATAGGAATTAGTAGACATTGGATATGAAGAGTCTCCTTCTGATGAATCGTGGACGGACAAGCTGAGCCCATTGAATAAAAAGATTGTGTGAGTTTAAAGTAGATGTGACAACACTATTAATGAAAGTATTAACTCTTTTGTAAGTGTGTGGTAAAATGTAATTTTAATTTCAAACCACCCGTAGCCACATATTGTTCTGCCCCAATAACCTAACAACGCAATTTAGATAGTTAATATTGGCTACTTTACAGAATTAGGTTGCTGCTAATTTGCATCTGCTTATCAGTATTGGCAACTTCCCTATTGGCAAAGCGTCCAGTGGCGCTATCAAGGCCTTAGTGTGAAACAGTTTCCCAACCTTTGGCAAAATACAGCGGGAGTTAGAAATGCACACAACTGGGCGGTGTGGAAGAAAACCTTGATAAAGAGGGATTTTGTTGAGAGTAAGTAAATTAAATATATTAAGGTGAATTATTAAGATGATAATCAAAAACTATCAAACATAAATTGGCATTTATTTTAGCGAAAACCATCATGGATTTGTAAAAAATACCGTATACCTGTTATCAAGAGCACCCCTGAAATCTTCATGAGTAGTAACACTGAAGGAGATAGATTATAAAGCACAAAAACAGCAATGCTCGCCACTGTTCAACGAGGACTTGTGGACAGATGGAGCACTGCAGAAGAGCAATACATCAGGAAATAATTGTACGGTGAACATGTCGACAAACAGCAAAAATAAAATCATAATCTAAGTTACAATACATCGGACTATCAGACCACTGTGGCAGTATAGGATTTGTAGAAATATAAATGCTGAGCCCTCTCGAACTGGCTGTGACTGCATACTTAATTCTTTCCCTATCCGCAGCGGTTGTTCTCTTGCTCTTGTGGCCGGCGTTTTCTACGGTGCCAACTTTATTCCTGCCATCTACATCAAGAACCACGGCAAGGACAAGAGCTCCATCTACTATGGATCAAGCCAGTTTGGTGGGCACGCAGCCTCCCCATGTACTAACTTTGTAATTATGATTGCTTATGGACGATGCGAATGGAAATCGGTAACCAAATTTGTGCTTTGTCGCTTTCGCAGACCTGGACTACGTCTTTGCCCACTTCTGCGGAATATATCTGACAAGCATATTGTACTTCTACGTATACTGCGCTGCGATGAAAAACCGTCCAAAGGTCTATCCGAAAGCTGTGCTGCCAGGTGACAAGCATTAGCATCAGATAACTTAAATGTGTGTAAAACATGACGAGAGAAATGCTTGGAAGTAACATTTTATGGAAAATTATCCTGAAGAGAACATGGTCAGCTCTCGAATGTCTGGAGTAATTAGGGGTGGGTGACCTGGCCAGGATAAAATAATAGAAATAATGGAAAACATGTCTCAATTTGGCTACGAGACGTGTGTATATGTGTACCTACATAGAATCATCGTAAAATGTGCTGTTTGTGTTTATCGCTTAAAAGTTTTCGTTTTATTTGCCGACATGTGTGTGGTCATGTGGGCACCGAGTCGCGTGAGGAGCAGCGCATGATTGACCAACCCTCGCGTACAAGATGTGTGAATGAAAATGCATTATTAATCTGCAACCTGGATACTTCCCCCGCCCCCATCGTTTTCTCTCTTCGTGGAGCCGTGGCCTCTGGTGCAATGTGGGGTACTGCCACCTGCGGCTGGTTCCTTGCGAACACCCACCTGGGTGCAGCTGTCAGCTTTCCCATCATCACCTCGGTACGTTGTGCACTCGCAACAACCGCAGCCGGCGAAGTTTACATTCACGTTTGTGCTATTTAATAGCATGAAGGTCATGCTTTGTCTTGTAGTTTATTTTCAGTATTAAACGGCAGTGAACTTTTTTAAATACTGTAATTGTTTTAAAAAAAATTATTAATTTCAGCTGGGACTGTCATTTGGCATGCCACATCTATTTTGCCCTAATGTAAATCTGTTCATAGGACAATAGATATACATTATAGTGTACAATAAAATAACATTATTATGGATAAGCATATCTTGTACTCTAGTGGTAGTGTATTATGCCAATAATTGCTACTTTAAGTCAGCAAACAGTGTTTGGGGAGTAAGAATTAACCCACAAATGGAAACCGATCTTTTTTTAATTAAATTGACTTAGGAATTGTTCTTTAAATGTAATTGCAGATCCCCGGTATTATTGCTACACTATGGGGAGTTGTTGTCTTCAAGGAAATAAAGGTCCGTATTAAAACTGCCTCATCTACATTTGCACATGACGCAGACGACATTACGCACGCACGCACGCTGGCGTAGTCGTGGAGTACTCTGGCGGTGCAACTGCATTGGTGCCCACAGGCCGGAGGAGCCCAGTTTCCCGGACTACAAAGGAGGGGGAAATTGGACATGGGGGCCTCATTCCATTGTTTGTATCAGGGTTCATACGAACCGTGCTACGCGATAGCTATTTTTGGACAGAGTAATGCGCATGCATCCGTATTTTAAAACTCGTGGTTTTCTTTCTTCCCCCAGGGCATGAAGAACCTGATTATTGTCGGGGTGGCCTTGATCGTGACGATAGCTGGGGCTATCACAACCGGCCTTTCGCTGCTTTAACCCAAACATTTCCAATAAAGTCGTTATGATGCATTTCATGTGATTACTCAAATCAACGCTCATGTAGAAATTTGAAGGAACCCTTCTTTAACAATGTGGATGCAACCAGCACATGTGTTGCTTTGCCAATTGATATATCAGGTATTTAGAAAATATATTTTATAATTGGAACCCTTTATCAATCCAGTGGTGAATGAAGTCCTCCTAACGCCATGTTAATCGTGGTGGTTTAACCATACTTCGTCACACTAGTCAGTGAAGGTTGATGAAAGGGGTGGAGGGGGGACCTGGGCCGACTCGGATATCAGTCGCCACCAATGGTAACCATAGCCGGGAGTCGAACTCGGGTAGCCAGGCTCACCACCACGCTCCCAGGAGTAACATTTCAATAATTAAGTAATGAGGATGAATTTCGATTTAAAGCTTTCGTGACTGCAGGGATTCATCTTCTTGGTTCTTTCGGTAAAGTCACGTAGAAGGGAAATAATAAAAATAAAACATAATAAAATAATTTATTATGTTTTCTTTTTATTATTTTATTATTTCCCTTCTACGTGACTTTACCGAAAGAACCAAGAAGATAATGAGGATGAAGTTGTAGATTGTCATAAAAAACGTCGTCTTCAATATTGACGCGATTGATAAGCAGTGACAACAAATGATCAGTTATTGATGAGGTATAAATTGTATTTTATATATATATATTGTATCTTACAATAAAATACTTGTCACAGAATCTTTTGACGATTGAAATTTATTTTATAATTACAGGCAAACTACATCTCTTCACACTAAAGCCTCCATTTGTGAATAATTGAACGTTTATTGCATAGCGTCGCAAAAACATTAACAATGCGTGATATTTTCTTGTTTCGTATATAAAAATAGCATGTAATTTTAATATACAATTTCACACATGAGGCACTCATTTGTTTTATATATTTCTACATAAATACACTACTGTACATTGTAAAATTGGGAATAATTTCATTTCAGAATAGTCAAGGTATAAACAGATGAGGTTTTCCTGCCTAATGTTCATAAGTTTGCAATTATACAACCATAAAATTGTATCATAACCAAATAAGCATTGAAGCAGGTATAAACTAGCAAGCATGGGTAAAAATGCTTTGTCAGACCTTGAAAGGCTCAATAATAAAGGTCCACACTGAGGACTGGCTCGGATACACTCCCAGACAAAAGTGCACTTACGATAATACAGAGGCTGCGGCAGCCTTTCGCATGGTTCATATGGATGCTCACGTCAGGTGGAGAGCCCCGTTGGATTTCAGGGTGGGCCGCCGTGAAAATCCCCAGGGCCAGCCACCTGCCTGCGCCGAACCCAACTCCAAAGCCTCCTGGGCAGATGTGGCTGGCCAAGTCACTTTCTCTGGATAGCTGATTGCATACGCTCTCCTCTCCTCCTCTATTTCTAAAAAAAATAACACAAACAACTACAGTTAAGGCTCGATTACCCGGGTTGCCGATTAACCATACTTGCAAAGTATGAATTTCGATTTAAATTTCGATTTAAAGCTTTCGTGACTGCAGGGATTCATATTCTTGGTTCTTTCGGTAAAGTCACGTAGAAGGTAAATAATACAAATAAACCAATTAAATTCTCACTACGTTTCGATTGCAACACAAGCAATCATCAGGAAAAGTTTCTTGCTGTGGTTTTCACACCTGATGATTGCTTATATTGCAATCGAAACGTCGTGAGAATTTTATAGTTAGATTGTATTATTTTATTATTTCCCTTCTACGTGACTTTACCGAAAGAACCAAGAATTGCAAAGTATAGTTTTACTTGTCGCTCGTTTAATAATTAGTTGCTCCTCAATAGTCGAGGGTCTGTGACCACAGAGTACTAGGAAGTAAACATTACTTGAATAAACAATACTGATAAGCTCCTGCTTCACACTGATTTTATGTAAGCAAATAATTCATACGTTTGTATAGCAGTGATATAGATTAGTGACATGAGAAACAAGTGACTCGAGATGAAGATTAGGGAGCGAAACGAGAGATAAAGGACCTGAAGACAGAGGTAAAGAGCATCGGGTCATGCATCCTGACGTTACAAATGCACAACACTTCGTGATGTTCCGTCTGCAATACTGGAAACTTACGTTACGCGAATCGCCAGCACACGCAAATTATGTTTCTCGCCAGAATCGTAGTGAATCATCGCCGCTATCAAGCAGTTCAGCAGGGCTCACCACGTGAAGTGGGCAGTTGGCCCTTCGTCACAGGGTGCACGTGTCGAAGTTGCGTTGGGTCGAAGACCTCCACCTGCGCAATGGCGGGTGGCAGGTTGGGCCGCGGGCGGCAAAGCTGCTCCAGGTGAGCCGTCAGCTGTGCCCGTTCCACAGGGTCCTGTCTGCATGGCCAAGCAAGCACAGTGCAGATGGACATTATACTGGTAGGGACCTCCTGGTTACACAAGCCCACAGGGGATTATTGTGTCCGTCGTGCAGGAAGGGGCTGGGTGGGGAGGGGAGGGTGGGGGGGGGCTGGGTGGGGAGGGGGGGTGGGGAGGGGCTGGGTCAAAAAACGTCAAAAATCGCGTGACGTCATTTATGGACGGCCCCTAAGACATTCCATTTAGCTAATTTGGTAATGATATCCATGTCATCACAATGTGTAATCCTACCGACGATGTGCCGAAAAATGACGTGTACAGTCGTCTAGTTTTAGCTTTGAACATCTCGTGTTCGCCCTTCATTTGAGAGTGCCGAGCCGTAACTTACACGCGGTAGCCGGACAGGTAGGCAGGCAGGTGTGGCCGGGGATGTGCACCTTGCAGGTAGTGGCGCTGCATGCTGAAGCAGACGTGGGCTGGGCCCGGCCCGTGGCGGATCCCTGTAAAACCGACAGATGGCCTCGTTGGACAACGACAAGCGCACGGCGTTTAGACTGCGGTGTTGGGGTAAACGTGCCGTTCCTGCGATTATTTCTCACTGGCTGGAAGGGCCCCTTCTCGAGCGGTGTTCACTATAATTTACGGAGGGGGCGCCACTTTCGCCGATAAGACATCAGCAGCGGGAGGGCCCCCCACACCGCCGACGAGGGGAGTGATGTCACTCTGTGTGTCGTGTCGGGGCCCGCACTAAAGGTCACCAGGAGCTGCCAGTGGCCCCTGGTGGCCTTGCGATGAAGAGCGCTGCTCTAGACTCTAGACCAGGGGTGGGGAACGTCGGGTCGTGTAAGGCCCGCGGAATCATTTGGGTCTGGCCCTGCCAAGACAAACCGCAGGCGGGACTCGAAATTCAAAAAATCTAGGAGCAAACCTGGAAAAGCAGTTGCGAGTAGCAACATCATCGATACCAGCTAACATCACGCGCCTCGCCAAAGAGAAGCAGTTCCAGCCATCGCATTAGGGGCGAGTTACTTAAAAGTTTGACCAAATATAACAGGCAAATTTGTAAGTTGATAATTTTGTATGGCCCGCGAATGATGTTATACATATCCAAATGGCCCTTGGCAGAACAAAGGTTCCCCACCCCTGCCCTAGAGGCTCTAGATCAGCGGTCGGGAACATATGGCTCGCGAGCCATATATGGCTCTTCCAGTGACGGCAAATGGCTCCCAGACAATTTTGAGTTGAAAAAAATAATAATAATAAAAAAATAAAAAATCAGTTTGGAACTGATTTTAAAATACTTGTGATATTGTTTAATACTACGGTGTCATTTTAAAGTAAACAGAAATTAGTTTTGAAGATAAATTTCACGGGTCACGCACGCCTGCATGAAGCTCAACCTCACCACGTATGAACCAGACTACAAGGCCATCAGCAAAACCATATAGCACCAGAAGTCGCATTAAAAGTAAGACATATTTAATTTATTATACGTTTAAAATACTATATGGCTCTCAATGAAATATATTTAGAAATATTTGGCTTTTATGGCTCTCCCAGTCAAAAAGGTTCCCGACCTCTGCTCTAGAGGGTCTGGAGGGCATTCTGTCCGACTCTCCCACGCCGGCGAGACGTCTTGGAAGAGGCGAGAGAGCCAGCGCACTTTGTCACACCGCACGCGACCTGTCGATCGGAACGGGGTCAAGACAATTGCACTTTTTATTCAGCTGCCACACCGGGAGATCGAACCGGTGACCTCTGGATCGCAATTACAGTGTCATAATCGCCGTGCATTAGCGTGAGGGCTGTGTAGAGGCGTAACTCTCATCTCCATCCTGGTTTCTAAACGTTGATGACTTTCCCTCGCCCTGTGGCTTTTCGGATGCCTCGCACTTGATGGCGAACAACCAATTGGAGCGGTGGCGCAGTAGTTAGCGCACTGCGCTACGAACCCCGCTCACGGCCGATATCAGTGGCGTCTGAACCGGTCCAGGGCCTCGTTAGGTCGTCGCAGCCTTAACACGAGTGCATGCTGTGGTGTCTTAACATCACCTCCGATTATCACGGCTGGTTACGTACGGTGCGAAAGAAGTTCTGCATACAGACGTCCCATTGTTGTTATCTGCACGCCACCGTTCCCCCATAACACGAAGATCCCCCGTGTAGCCTTCACAGACTGTTGGGGCAAGTGCTGTTAGCGAGCGTCTATGAAGGCCGGAACGGTACACGAGGATGTGGGTGGCCAACACCACGCCCGGCCGCCTTTGTCTCCCTAGTGGCGATGTTTACACACCGCACCAGGTACTCATTTGAGGCTGAGTCGACCTAGGGGAGGCCCAGGACCGGTTCAAATAATCGTCACTGGTGTTGGCCGTGAGCAGGAATCGAACCCGGGTGGCCAGGTTCGTAGCGCAGCGCGCTAACCGCTGCACCACCGCTCCCCAAAACAACACACACACGAGCAGCACCGGCACTCGCAGTGGCTTCTTACACAAACACGCGACATCCTAAAAGCGACAGCTGCGACAAAGAAGGCCACGCATCTCTTACCGTGACACACGACTGACCGACTGCTGCTTGCCCCCCGTGTTGGAATCTGCGTCTGGAGACTTGGCAAGACGACCGGCGTCGCCAGGCGGAGCCCCGCGACTCTGTTTGTTGCCCGGCACCGTGGCGCGCCGCGGTGGTGGGGGGGGGGCTGTGTGGGGGGCTGTGTGGGGAGGGGCTGTGTGGAGGGGCTGTGTGGAGAGGGCTGTGTGGGGGGGGCTGTGTGGGGGGGGGGGGGGGCTGTGTGGGGGTGGGGGCTGTATGGGGGGGGGCTGTGTGGAGGGGCTGTGTGGAGGGGGCTGTGTGGGGGGGGCTGTGTGGGGGGGGGGCTGTGTGGGGGTGGGGGCTGTATGGGGGGGGGCTGTGTGGGGGGGGCTGTGTGGAGGGGCTGTGTGGAGGGGGCTGTGTGGGGGGGGCTGTGTGGGGGGGGCTGTGTGGGGGTGGGGGCTGTATGGGGGGGGCTGTGTGGGGGGGCTGTGTGGAGGGGCTGTGTGGGGAGGGGGGGGCTGTGTGGAGGGGGCTGTGTGGGGGGGGCTGTGTGGAGGGGGCTGTGTGTGGGGGCTGTGTGGTGGGGGGCTGTGTGGGGGGGGGGGGCTGTGTGGAGGGGGCTGTGTATGGGGGCTGTGTGGAGGGGGCTGTGTGTGGGGGCTGTGTGGTGGGGGGCTGTGTGGAGGGGGCTGTGTGGAGGGGCTGTGTGGAGGGGGCTGTGTGTGGGGGCTGTGTGGTGGGGGGCTGTGTGGAGGGGGCTGTGTGGAGGGGCTGTGTGGAGGGGGCTGTGTGTGGGGGCTGTGTGGTGGGGGGCTGTGTGGAGGGGCTGTGCAGCTCAAGTGCTGTCAGATCCGGCACCATGAACACACCCGAGTTACTGTAAGCAGTCATTGTTGTCCTATCAACAGTGTTTTTAGTAAGACCACCAGGTCTCCGCACCCCCCCCCCATCTACCAACCCAGCCCCCAACAACACAACTAAGGTGACTAAGGCCACAGTACACAGAGATCATAGTCAAATGTCCACGCATGTCGTTAACGCTGTGTTAGGCATATGTCCCATGTTGTGTATCGGTGTGTTTTGTCGCTGCTACGTGGCTATTGTTCTCCGCGCACATTCAACATTTACCCTGCACTGTTGCCATGCCGCACCCCCACCCACTCCATCCAAGCCCGGAGAGGCGTGGGAGAGGGCTGCTAAGCCCGCGTTGAGAACTGCTGAACAAAAATAATCTAAGAGTGTTGGTCTCGGTTCATCACATTGGGGTGCGAGGGGTGATCGCCTCCATCGGAAGACCTAAACTAGTGCTGGAAACTCCACATTTCCCATGGTGAGTATTCATCAGACAACCCCTGTCGACTTCTTCCATAGTGGTAGTGTATTCATTTCATTGATATGGTATGCTAATGATCTGCATCGGCACCCCCTCTCAACCCCACGTGTGAGTCAATGGTTGTAACTGTGGCACGATCTGGACAGATAGCAAGAGGCACTACATAGTACATACATGTAAGAATACGTACCTAATTTTTTTTATTTCTTAAAAGCCCCTCTAGTTTAAAAAATAAGACATTCAAAGACGGATTTTTTTTGATACCTCAGCGATAAATCAATGAGAAATACACTCCTAAAAATATATACCGCGTGGAAATGTAGTTACATTTACTGATCTTGAGTAGGATTTTTAAAAATGGATTTTTAACATTGTATTGATTTTACAAACCCACTACACTCGAATAAACAGCACTTACAGCAAACACATTTTTATTGAAACTTGGGGAATGTTAAGAGCACTAAATCCATGAACAGCGAGTTGATTTTACAGATGTCCACCTCTAAGCAGAGTTAAGCCTGGTTGGTACTTGCATAGGAGCCTGGCTGGGAATACCAGGTGTTGTTGGTGGCTTAAGTTGCAATGTGGAGAGCGGATTGTAGCACAGAAAACAAATTTGAATCTGTGGACAGCTGAGTTGCCTCATTGCACGTGTGGGATTTCTCCAGGTTCTCTGGTTTTCTCCCACATGCCAAAGACTCATTAACACAATTTGCCAAACATCTCAATCTAGGAATCTCCAGAAAAAGATTCTTTACCCAGTAAATAAACATCATTATTAATGCTATTAGAGTATTAGTGCCCTTTCTATTACACTCATGTGTGTGTAGTGCTGGAGGGATAAAAGACCAGGATTGATTTTTTTTCATGAAGTTCAATAAATATAGCACATTTAATTACACTTGAAAATTGTTCAGAATAAATTAGCTGTAACTTACATTGTGAAAGTATAACTGTCATGTATGTATGTATCCAATAACTAAAGTATGAGTGCTGTCATTTATAAAAAAATATATATATAAAAAAGGCCCTATATAAATCAGTGGGTCCGATGTAGGACCAATGTAAGATTTCTGGCTATGTTATTGTGGGTCCTGAGCAGGTGTATTGGTCCAATGAAAATTTGTCAGTCGAGTGTTGGACCTATAGAGTAATGTGTTACTCTATAGGTCCAATGCAAGCTGATGAACTGTAATCAGATCATGATGTAATGGCTATAGCACATGAACCATCATCATTAGCCTAATTGTTGATGGTGGAGACAAATGTACATTTTTCTGCCCAAAAATAATCTTTACCAAGATGCAAACAAGACCCCGTGCATTGTAGCGCCATATGGTTGTGCGTGGTCATTGCATCAACATTCACGTGGCTCCCAGTGCCACGTAGCTGATGTTGTACTTGTACTGCCACGAGCGGTCTCGGTCTCCCTGCACCGCCACCAGCAAGGTGCGTACCGTGCCTGGCGGCACAGGCACTTGGCCGCTCGCTCGGGGCTCCGTGGTGAGAGCCACTCCAGCCGCTGCCGCCACCACCACCAAGTTCTGCACCTCCACGCTGAGCGAGAGGGCGTAAGGGAGCTTGCAAGCGTTAACCACCTCCAGGGCCACACCGGAAACACGCTGCCTCTTAAACAGGCACAAGCACCCACCACGAGCACACCCTGTCCTCTCTGTACGAGCACTCAACATGTCCTCTGCCATCAACTCTAGAGCAGCAGCAGCCAGGGATGGTTTGGGGAAATGGGACGGATCATGACGATAAGAGTCGCACACGCACAGGCGGGGGTCTACCCTCGGGTGCGCGCACTGCGCGTAGCGGCTGAATGGCGTGAGCCGCTCGTAGCGCACGGCTGCACCGCCGCCTGGCGTCAGCAAAACGGACACCGCAAATTTCTCACGAGAAGTCACTGGCAGACCATTCGACAGGCCCGGCCGCACGTAAATGTCCATCCTGACCATTGCGTCGGTGAAGGAATTGCTGTCCCCACTCACGTCTACCTCACTCGCTGACCCTTGCTCGGTTTGGACATTGTCGAACCAGAGAGCAACCAGCCTCTGGCACAAGCCTGGAACAGTTTGACCAGGGCTCCAAGGGTCAACCTGCTGCTGCTGTGCAAACAGAATCTCATTCATGCGCATCAAGGCGACCTCGGCGAACATGGCGAAGTAGGAGTCATTGTTCTGCGGACCGTGGTCGCTGCGGCAGATGCACACGTTTGGTTGGATCCTCGGTACATCTTCACACGTCCTGCCCGCGGGCACGGCACTCAAAAGGCCGTCCCTGTTGATGCCATGGCGCTGCTGGAGTCTCAGGTCGCCTGCGTCAGCTGGCACGGTCGGGTGCTCGGCGAGAGCCCGCAGGGTTTGGTGGACATCCAGCAGGCTGACCAACCTACGCTGATTCACGCCCAGGGCGCGCATCGCATCGGCTCCCAGCTCCTGTGCCACGGCGTCGGGCACCACTGCAAAAAACGCCGGCTGGAAGGTCTCCAGCCATGCCTGGGCAGGCGAGCTCTCCTCCAGGCGGCCGTACGTGTTGCCGTGGTCAGCCAGGATGAGCGAGAAGGTGGTACTGTCGGGGCGCGCGAGGAAGCGCACGTGCTCCGCCAGGTCGGCGTCCAGGCCCTGCAGGCGTAGGCCCGTGTCCTCGTGCGCCGTGTCCAGGATCGTAAAGCTCAGCACCGGGCGGCCGAGTGCCGCGAAGCTCGCCACAAAGTAGGTCACATAGCGCAGAAGGTAGGCGTGATGGTGGAGGCCATTGAAGCAGACGGCGTCGGGGCCGTGGAATACGTCACGCACGCCGTTCTCGGCCAGCACGACGCAGCTGCTGTAGGAGACGTCGACCCTGTCGATGCCAGCCCGGGTCAGCGCCTTCCGGAAGCGCCGCCGCCTGCGCCGCACCGTGTCGGGCCCGGGTGGCCGCACACCGAGCTCCCGGACGAGCCCCCAGTCCCAGAGCCAGCACATGTCCTCGAGGTACAGCGTCTCGTAGCCGTGCCGCTTGTAGTGCCGGAAAACGCGCTCGGAGCGCACGGTGGCGTCGGCCCCCGCTGCCTCGTTAACCTCCCCGGCCAGTAGCGCCTGCAGGGACTCCTGGGTGCGGCTCTTGATGCCCTGCAGCAGCTGGAAGTCGAGCACCCGGCCGCCTCGCTTGAAGCCATGCTCATTCAAGCGTCGGAATTCCGCCACAGTCTTGGGTAGCGAGCGGTAGAAGTGGTGCCGGGACACGGAGTCCAGCAGCAGCACGTTCACACTGATGACAGCGGGCGACCGACCAGGCACATCGCCCGATTCTGTCAGTCTCTCTCCTGCATCGGTGCTATTAACACTCTCTCCAGCAACAGCCTCCTCCTCTGAATCACCCTCCCCTTCTGCGTCTTTCTCCTCCTTCCCCTTGTCCTCCTGGTCCTCGCCGTCCGCTGTCTTCCTTGGGGCTCGCCGAAGGGCCGGCGGGAGGATGAGCAGCTGTGTGATCTGCCGCCTGTCTCTGGCGGTCACGCAGCGCAGGAGGCAGAAGCCCGGGTGGGGAGCCCCGTGGCCTCGGGGCAGGAGGTCAGCGTTGATGAAGGCCGCCGCCTGCGTGGCCACCTCGAAGTCCAACCAGCGGTAGGCGGCTGCGGCCTCGCGATACAGCCCGAGCGACACCGGGGTGGTGCGGCTGCATAAGCCGTCGGCGCACACTACGTGCGGCGAGCTGGAGGAGGCGTTCTGAGATACAAGGAAACCTCACTTAAGATTATAGAAACGACCACCACGGAGGTGAAGAGATGCCATCAATTACGTACGTGTTCATGAATGTGCTGTATCGCTCTCCGACGTGTCTTCCGGTTGTACCGCGTATTGTTCGGTATGATGTCTGAAGATTCACTCCATATGCTGGAAGCTTGTTCATGCAGCTACTGAAGAAATTCCCAGCATATAGAGTGAAAAGTCAAACATAATTTGGTTTGGTGTTGTTTATTTTCTGTTACTTTTATATAATATTTTCCTGGTTAAACTATTTCACCTGGATAATCCCTCGTCAGACTGCCAATTGTCACAAACATAGAAAACACAGTCCTATGCGTTTGTTGATTAAATGAACTGTTTTACAAAAAAAAGAAAATTATACTGGTGTAGGTGGAGGCCTTACGTGCAGCACACAGATGTCGCGCCTGCGCTGGTGGTGACACGACGCAGGAGTCTTGTTACTGAAGAGTTCTCGGAGGACCTCGCACACCTCGGGGGTCGTTTCCCGGGGTCGGCAGCGGGCCTGGGGCCAGGGGGACTCGAGGGGATCTGGACCGCCTATCCCTAGCTCCCCGCAGTGCTGCCATTCCTTAAACATACACGCAACGTCCGCATGGGGTGTGTGTGAGTGGTGCTGGTCCATCCTTTTACTACACGAAGCCTCATGCAAATTCAGTTGTCAGCTCGTGAGAATTCATACGCAGAATATTTACATTTCGGTATAAGGACTTTCTCTGTAATGCGACAATACGCAGCTGGAGCAAGTGATGAAGGGATACACGGAGAGACAAACATCTGAGACACAGAGAGGGTAATGGAGATAAACTGAGAGACAGAGGCATAGAAAGAGACATGGAGGAAGACGGAGAAAGACACGGAGCGAGATGCAGGGAGTGAAACACATTTTCATAACATGGGCACTATTTCAAATATTTAAATTATTAGAAAACCTATCACATCAAAAAAGTGCAGGCTGGAAAATAAGTAATTTTAATACAGTAAATGTAAAAAAAACTGTAAACGAATGTTACAAATACAAATTTTTACCGACTGCATGGGGCATGTTAGAGGACTCATTCAGTTTCTGAAGAAGCTTCCATCGTGCCAAACAACGCGCGTTAAAACCCGAAAACACATTGAACAGGGGTCAAACCATTAACACAGAGGACACGGGCTCAGCGGCAATAACTGCTGTGTAAATTGAACGCACGGCCGTGTGCGCGTGAGATGCGGGAGCCGTGTCCATCTGCCAGGGCGCTCCCATTCGCTGGGTCTCCATTCGGGGTCCCCTTGGGTTGAGTGGAGCTGCAGGGCTCTGGCTGCCTGGCCGCACAGACGGGGTCTGGGCCGGCAAGGCAAGCCACACGTACACGACCTGCACACAGCACCACCACAGTGACGCCCACCGTCGGCATGAGCAGTGGTAGCCTTGGGCATGAGCAAACTAAGCCAAAGATGAAGGTCCCACGTAGCTCAAGGGGCCCTTGGTCTCATGAACAAATTAGGGATGCACAAAATATAGTCTCGAATTAAGATCATAGTAACATTAACAGCCAATTAGCATGAAGAATAATTCAATCTCATCAATAGCTTGTCTGCAGCTATATTCTCAATTCAATTCTGTCCACTGCCTACATCGCATTTGTTTTGTAAGACTGTATCCTCTCATCTCTATCTCATTTCATTCCAACGTTCCTCTCATCTCAGTGCATCTCTGTACACTGTCTGTTGTCAACTGAAAGCACCACTTTATCATCAGCCACAATCAATCCACTGCTGGATGAATGCCTCCGCCAGGCCCGGGCTGCATCTCTCACCGTCCTGCGATGTAAGAGCGCCCCCATCAGGAAAGTTGCATGGAGTTGGCTGCTCGGATATATTCCATCTCCATGGACCGTCCCGCTATTCTGTGCCAATTCCCTCGTCACGTCCACCCTCCTCGTTCCACCTCGTTCTTCCACCTCACCCTTGGCCTGCCTTCTCCTCCTCCTGCCCTGCATTGGTGGCAGGCATCTTCCACAGCCCTTGTGTGTGTTTATTGGGTGGTCCACATGTCTTGTGCCCCCGATTTTATTCTCCACAACTTTATATCTTTAAAGTAATGTTAATTTCAAACAAAAAATCAATGTGCAAAGATTTTAAAAAAATTAGGTGTCAATTGGCGGTCACGAGGCATCAGGACCACTAAATGTACTTTGTCTATTCTTAGCACGTGCTCAAACCATCTCAAGTCCAGCTTCCCTTCTGAAAATGTTTGAACGATTCTTGACGTCACGTTTTAATGTCACGAGACGTGGCCTAACGGAGCGAGGCTAATTACACCAAAAGCTGAGTGCTAATTTTCGAACCTGGGTGACTGAATGCTGCGCAAGTGGCTGGGTTGATGGTGGTTGGATGACGGAATTTCGCTGTTTTGATACTGACCACTGAGTGAGTGTATGCGGTGTGTTGGTACGGACTGCTGGTGTGTTGGTACTGGCTCGATGGTTGACTGGTGTGTTGGCACAAGCTGACTCAGTATTGATCATTTGGTACTGCTTGACTGTGTGTACTGCACTGCTGTTTTGGTACGACAGTGGTTGACTGTGTGTTGGCTGTGTGTACTGGTGTTGTGTACTGGTTGGCTGTGTGTACTGGTTGACTGTGTGTACTGGTGTTGTGTACTGGTTGGCTGTGTGTACTGGTTGGCTGTGTGTACTGGTTGGCTGTGTGTACTGGTTGGCTGTGTGTACTGGTTGGCCGTGTGTACTGGTTGACTGTGTGTACTGGTTGGCTGTGTGTACTGGTTGGCTGTGTGTACGGTAGGCTGTGTGGACTGGTTGACTGTGTGTACTGGGTGGCTGTGTGTACTGGTTGGCTGTGTGAGGCTGTTGACGTGTGTACTGGTAGGCTGTGTGTACTGGTTGACTGTGTGTACTGGTTGGCTGTGTGTATGTGACTGTGTTGTACTGGTTGGCTGTGTGTACTGGTTGGCTGTGTGTATTGGTTGGCTGTGTGTACTGATTGCTGTGTGTACTGGTTGGCTGTGTGTACTGGTTGGCTGTGTGTACTGGTTGACTGTGTGTACTGGTTGACTGTGTGTACTGGTTGGCTGTGTGTACTGGTTGGCTGTGTGTACTGGTTGGCTGTGTGTGCTGGTTGGCTGTGTGTACTGGTTGGCTGTGTGTACTGGTTGGCTGTGTGTACTGGTTGGCTGTGTGTACTGGTTGGCTGTGTGTACTGGTTGGCTGTGTGTATTGGTTGGCTGTGTGTACTGATTGCTGTGTGTACTGGTTGGCTGTGTGTACTGGTTGGCTGTGTGTACTGGTTGACTGTGTGTACTGGTTGGCTGTGTGTACTGGTTGGCTGTGTGTACTGGTTGACTGTGTGTACTGGTTGGCTGTGTGTACTGGTTGGCTGTGTGTACTGGTTGGCTGTGTGTACTGGTTGGCTGTGTGTACTGGTTGGCTGTGTGTACTGGTTGACTGTGTGTTCTGGTTGGCTGTGTGTTCTGGTTGGCTGTGTGTACTGGTTGGCTGTGTGTACTGGTTGGCTGTGTGTACTGGTTGGCTGTGTTACTGGTTGGCTGTGTGTACTGGTTGGCTGTGTGTACTGGTTGGCTGTGTGTACTGGTTGGCTGTGTGTACTGGTTGGCTGTGTGTACTGGTTGGCTGTGTGTACTGGTTGGCTGTGTGTACTGGTTGGCTGTGTGTACTGGTTGGCTGTGTGTACTGGTTGGCTGTGTGTACTGGTTGGCTGTGTGTACTGGTTGGCTGTGTGTACTGGTTGGCTGTGTGTACTGGTTGGCTGTGTGTACTGGTTGGCTGTGTGTACTGGTTGGCTGTGTGTACTGGTTGGCTGTGTGTACTGGTTGGCTGTGTGTACTGGTTGGCTGTGTGTACTGGCTGGCTGTGTGTACTGGTTGGCTGTGTGTACTGGTTGGCTGTGTGTGCTGGTTGACTGTGTGTACTGGTTGGCTGTGTGTGCTGGTTGGCTGTGTGTGCTGGTTAGCTGTGTGTACTGGTTGGCTGTGTGTACTGGTTGGCTGTGTGTACTGGTTGGCTGTGTGTACTGGTTGGCTGTGTGTGCTGGTTGGCTGTGTGTGCTGGTTAGCTGTGTGTACTGGTTGGCTGTGTGTACTGGTTGGCTGTGTGTACTGGTTGGCTGTGTGAGGCTGGTTGACTGTGTGTACTGGTAGGCTGTGTGTACTGGTTGACTGTGTGTACTGGTTGGCTGTGTGTACTGGTTGACTGTGTGTACTGGTTGGCTGTGTGTACTGGTTGGCTGTGTGTACTGGTTGGCTGTGTGTATTGGTTGGCTGTGTGTACTGATTGCTGTGTGTACTGGTTGGCTGTGTGTACTGGTTGGCTGTGTGTACTGGTTGACTGTGTGTACTGGTTGACTGTGTGTACTGGTTGGCTGTGTGTACTGGTTGGCTGTGTGTACTGGTTGGCTGTGTGTGCTGGTTGGCTGTGTGTACTGGTTGGCTGTGTGTACTGGTTGGCTGTGTGTACTGGTTGGCTGTGTGTACTGGTTGGCTGTGTGTACTGGTTGGCTGTGTGTATTGGTTGGCTGTGTGTACTGATTGCTGTGTGTACTGGTTGGCTGTGTGTACTGGTTGGCTGTGTGTACTGGTTGGCTGTGTGTACTGGTTGGCTGTGTGTACTGGTTGGCTGTGTGTACTGGTTGGCTGTGTGTACTGGTTGACTGTGTGTGCTGGTTGGCTGTGTGTGCTGGTTGACTGTGTGTACTGGTTGGCTGTGTGTACTGGTTGGCTGTGTGTACTGGTTGGCTGTGTGTACTGGTTGGCTGTGTGTACTGGTTGGCTGTGTGTACTGGTTGACTGTGTGTTCTGGTTGGCTGTGTGTTCTGGTTGGCTGTGTGTACTGGTTGGCTGTGTGTACTGGTTGGCTGTGTGTACTGGTTGGCTGTGTGTACTGGTTGGCTGTGTGTACTGGTTGGCTGTGTGTACTGGTTGGCTGTGTGTACTGGTTGGCTGTGTGTACTGGTTGGCTGTGTGTACTGGTTGGCTGTGTGTACTGGTTGGCTGTGTGTACTGGTTGGCTGTGTGTACTGGTTGGCTGTGTGTACTGGTTGGCTGTGTGTACTGGTTGGCTGTGTGTACTGGTTGGCTGTGTGTACTGGTTGGCTGTGTGTACTGGTTGGCTGTGTGTACTGGTTGGCTGTGTGTACTGGTTGGCTGTGTGTACTGGCTGGCTGTGTGTACTGGTTGGCTGTGTGTACTGGTTGGCTGTGTGTGCTGGTTGACTGTGTGTACTGGTTGGCTGTGTGTGCTGGTTGGCTGTGTGTGCTGGTTAGCTGTGTGTACTGGTTGGCTGTGTGTACTGGTTGGCTGTGTGTACTGGTTGGCTGTGTGTACTGGTTGGCTGTGTGTGCTGGTTGGCTGTGTGTGCTGGTTAGCTGTGTGTACTGGTTGGCTGTGTGTACTGGTTGGCTGTGTGTACTGGTTGACTGTGTGTACTGGTTGGCTGTGTGTGCTGGTTGACTGTGTGTACTGGTTGGCTGTGTGTACTGGTTGACTGTGTGTACTGGTTGGCTGTGTGTACTGGTTGGCTGTGTGTACTGGTTGGCTGTGTGTACTGGTAGGCTGTGTGTACTGGTGTTGTGTACTGGTTGGCTGTGTGTACTGGTTGGCTGTGTGTACTGGTTGACTGTGTGTACTGGTTGGCTGTGTGTACTGGTAGGCTGTGTGTACTGGTGTTGTGTACTGGTTGGCTGTGTGTACTGGTTGGTTGTGTGTACTGGTTGGCTGTGTGTACTGGTGTTGTGTGTACTGGTTGGCTGTGTGTGCTGGTTGGCTGTGTGTACTGGTGTGTGTACTGCTTGGCTGTGTGTACTGGTGTTGTGTACTGGTTGACTGTGTACTGGTTGACCGTGTGTACTGGTTGGCTGTGTACTGGCGTTGTGGCACTGCCTGACTGCGTGCTGCGTTACCGTGCTGGTGAACTGGCTGTGACCCCCGCCCCCCCGGCTACTCTCTACCACCCTTCGGGCCACGTGGCTCACCTGCAGGGCCGCGCCGAGCACCGACAGCGCCAGGCACAGGCGCCAAGTCCTCGCGGGCCGCGCGCACAGCCACGCGGCCATTATCGCCGCCAGGTGACCCTAATGCCACGGAGTTGACCCCAGTTCCACGCAGCTGACCCCAGTTCCACGCAGGTGACCCCGTGCCACGCAGGTGACCCCCAGTGGCACGAAGGTGACCCCAATGCCACGCAGGTGTGTCGAGCGCGTGAGCCGTGGAATTGACACCCGACTGACACACGCGCACACGCTTGCCCGGTTTGTTACACTCTTAAAATAAGTTTGCTAGTCGGCGAATACTGGCCGCCGTTGGCAGTGCGCCGCACAAAAAGCAACAACACTGCAAGATGAAGTATTAAATAGGCGACGTTTCGGGCCAATGGCCTTTCTTCACAGCACACCGAGAGGCCATCGAGGGAGCCCAGTTTGGTTGTCACAGCGTGACCGCAGTCCGGGTTTATTTTTATTTAAAAAACACCGCCTTTGTATCTTCGGGCACCCTTCCCGTGCGCATTCTTTTCGAGCTGCCCGGTTTCTATGGGGACCCGACCGGTTGGGTGAGTTTGGAGGTTTTCGCAAAGCCCTCGCTGCTTTGCTTGCTTGCCGACTTGGTCGTGACTGGAGGGTTTTTTTTCCGGGGGTGTTGCCCATCCCACCAATTGCATGCAGGCGAAGGAAGAAGACACGCGGCAAATGCTGCCGCTGCTGCCGCATACCCCTTCTTAAATTACCTGTGTGGAATTCGACCGCAGGGAGCGCACAACGCTGCAAAGTCGCAGGCTTTCCAAGATGAATACACCCTACTCGAGTCTCTATGGACCGCATGCACCACGCTCTACGTTTTTTTAAATAATAAAACAGGTTATTCATTTAATTATAGACAGCATCTTGTCAATCCACGGCTCGGTTGAAGGCCCTCAAACCCATGCCGTCCGTCTCAGTGACAGGAGGCATTTGATCATACTTCACCACACTGGTCAGTGAGGGTTTGAAGGTGAGGGAGCACCACATGTTTGGTTCAGATATCGCGTGCCACTGATCTGAGCAGTGGCAGTCTCCAACTCGTATTATCGACTCAAATCGCTCTTGCTTCTCTATGAAAGGCCATTGTCCACAACGTCGCCTATTATATATTTTCAAGGCAGAGTTATTGACAAATGCGTTTTTTTTCATAGATAAAATAGTTTTCGCTGAACAGCCATAAAACACATCGGAGTGCCACTCGCTACTCGAACTCAGGTACAGTATTTGAGTTTCTAGACAAAGTTCCCAACTGCACCCCAATTATTTGGCTTAATGATGAATCAACTGTCTAGTCACCGTATACTTGCCACACTTCCAATCATGCGTTTTCTTATCATGCCCAATGTAGGGCAGCACCACATTTTTGCCCAAAAAAAGTCTTCAAAATATACATTTTCATGAGACTTTTGGCCAAAAAAACTTGCCAATGTAACGCTCACCAATTATTAATGGGTTCCCATTTAGATGGATACATTAGTGAGCTTATTCAAACGAAAATTGCTCCGTTTCGACTCAAAACAGGTTGAGTTTCCAGTTGTCAAAACAAAATTGTCTCCTCAACAACTGTTACCAATGCATTGTCCTATAATTCATGGAGCTTTTAACTTTCATTGGATGAAATGTCAAGTGGAGATTGTTTCAACTTCAAACTTAGTGCATCCTGAATGGATTTCTTCGACTAAATATAAATGCAATATACAGTATAGTATTATGCTGTTAACGAAGATATGATTTTTGGAAGGACGTGTGTAAAATGTTATTCGTGCCATCTATTTTCCAATCAACTATTTCAAGAAAACTACAAATGTTAAAACTAAACGGTTAATTGGCAACCTGATAAATGGGGCAAATCGCCAGTGCGGATTACTTTTGGCCATTTGACCAAGCTGTGAATCTGGCCCCCTTTGTCTGTGGGACTCGACAGGAGCATGTGTGGGGGGTGCACGCACGCAGGGGGTTGTGGTTTGTCGCCAAGAGGTTTTAATATCTCCTGCTGAGCTGCAAATAAAACGGTGGGCAGCAGCTTAACGCATGCTGGGAACACCCCAACTCCTACCATGGTGTCCTCCCCCACTCGCAGTGCTGCCACAATCCTGAATTGACCGAGGGATGCTCATACAACGTGTACACACACACACAACTAAAGTAGCTTGTTAAATGACCACGATCCTGAATGTAAACACGATGATGATGATGCTGCTGCTGCACTCAGGGATACTCTGCACTCTCATCGTAATCATTGCACATCATCGTCTGTATTCCTCAGTGTTCAACCACCTTACCATCGGAGGTAAAAAAGCCATGATAATGTATTCCCTCTTAGCTGAGGGCTAATTTATGTCACAGGCTTCAGGGCCTACGCTCAGTAACTTGTATTTAAACAAAAAAACGTGCGTATCTGTTGATTGCTGTAAGCTAATCAAGTAGGTAAGAATGAATATATTGACAGCGAAAGAGAAAGGTGGCATCGAAGGCTTTGGCCGTGATGACATCTCGATAAGAGACAGATTAAGCTCTTGTGGGGTTAGCAGGTAAAGTGTTGCACTTAAAGCCATCAAGGGGCTCTTGGCTATTTCCTGACAAGTTTGCTCCAGACATTTGACGCCATATACCGTACGTGTACAACACAACAGCGAGACTGAGGAAATACCTGAGCGGCTAAATAATAATAAAAAATGACCAAGGCAATCCAATATAATGCTTTGCAACGTTTATAAATGCCTTTATTAACGACAGTTTGTACAACATAACAAACCATGGCGCAGCTGAGAATGCAGGCTTGTGTGTGATCCTGCAATTGAAATATTTATTACACAATGCTGAATGTCCACAGTGGAGTGAGTGATGGGTGAAGTGAGCTCAACTTGCGTGTGCTGTCTGCGTGCGATGCGCGTGTTGTCTCTGTGCGGTGAGAGTGTTGTGTGTGTGAGTGTGGTGGTGGTGGTCGGTGGTGGTGGGGGGGGGATTGCCGACAAATGATTGCCAGCTCAGAAATGTTGAAACGATCGAGTTCAGAGCAGTTCACAGCATGAAAAAAGACGTGAGCCGCCCTCAACCACTCCCCAACACGCTTAATGCAAAGACATACAGCAAGCCAGCAACACGTCAGCCCCCCCAAACACCCCCCTCTACCCCCCCCCAAATCGCCGTTTTATCCCGAGTGTCAGGGTTTTACAAAGAGGAGTCGTACAGGCAAGGCAGCGCACTACGAATTATCAACACAGGGTCAGTCCACAGCTTAAAGACACCAACAGACTCTAGAACATGTGCATGCTCTCTCCAAAGACATGGTTATTATATTAATGTAATTAGCGTCACCCTTGGTGTCCTGTCTGTCACATCCCGTCCCGATCCAACCCACCCACCCACCACCCCGGCACAAAAAAAAAAACAAATTTACCAGAGCGTTTCTGCTACAGTTGGTACCAATTCTCCCTACAGGTACCTGCTAATCTCTAACAGTACCTTGCACTCCAATAAATAATGTACTCACTATTAAAACTCTGCAACCAGAGCCTCAAATACACGAAAAATAGGGGATTTGGTCTATAAAATATCACATAAATATCGCTCGTGTACCAACCCAATAACGGCAAGCTAAGGCCGGATCCTTCTGTGGGCTTGGTAGATTATGGGCTCGGATTTCCCCCTTGCGCTTCTGTGCACACTCTATTCCGCTTAAATAAAAAACACGATGTCACCTATTGCGGGGGCAGTGCTAGTTTACTGGGAGCTACGCGACTGGTTGCGAACACCAAGGTTTTCAATCGACCCTATACTGTACAATCAAAATTGGCAACAGTTTCATTGCTGCCACTTCTGCGCGGGCAGAATTCCAGTTGAATTGGTTGGGGAATAGAGTGTGTGGGGGGCCTGTTTCGTTGGCCTTAGTATCTTTTAACAATAGTCTACCACGTAACAGCGGTCCTGCCGGCCACCGTGTGGCACAGGATGGGTTAAAGTAGGAGGTCGTGTGTTATCCCACAGTGAGATGTCACTGCAGCGGGTTTACTGCCACTAGATGTGCCTCGCTTGGCGCTACTTTAAAAGACTTTTGGCAATTACGATAGCAATAAATAAAGTAAAATATTCTTTGATTTTATATATATATTTCTTAAATAGCATCTGTAAGTGATGGTCATTCATTCTTTGACTCACATTAAACACAGCTTCTGTTGGACCCTTAATTCTGAACTCAGCTACTTCATGGCAGTCCTCTGGAATTTTTTAACTGGGCTGTAACCAGGAGTAAAGGCTTATTCATAAACAACAACAATAATAACAACAACAACAACATAATTGCTTAGAACATCTTTGTGACAGGTACTGGTAGTGTTTTTGATGATAGGCTTCCCATGATGACAAATTAGGCGTGTAGCGATCCACCGGCCATAATCGTTTCCGATGCTCATCGAAACGTGAGTGTTAAGAATCGACTCTTTACAAAGTGTACAAATTACAAGTAAATGTGACATCTAAGCCAAGGGCGCAAATAAGGGTGAACAAAAGAGATGGAATAAAAAGAGAAAGTACAAATGAGAGGGTATAGACGAAACATTATTTTTGGTAATTATTCTGGAATCAACCTGTGACCACTGACGCATGACAATTCAACGGATCGCAGGGCGGGTGCCGGGATGAATCGTCGCAGGCCTAATCGCAATGCCGCCTTGCGATAAGTTCATCTGATTTAAGACATACACGGTTGCTGTACATTTAAATAAATATCTGAACAAAAAAGTTTCCTAAAGTGTGTTTTTGCAAATAGTACATTTCTCAGAACATTCAATCCAATGCATCCTTGAATTGTATTTCTCTCTACATGTTCATCACTGACATATTTTATCAGTCAGAGACTACTACTGCTTAGTGATTACACGGGATATATTTTTGCAATCAAATATATCATGGCTGTTGTTTTTTACAATACCTCTGCCAGATGGATGTTTTTCATATATTTATTAAGTTCACATATTCTCAGTTGCCACTACTCAATAAGTAAAACACAGACTATGCATAGTGTTGTCAATACCCTTTTCAGATCGGTACCTATAAAATGCATCTTTAAATAAAATGTTTCTTTTCTTTTGATAAACTTCATAATTTAAGGTATAATCTATATTTAAACTTTTAGGAAGGTTTCTCTTAGTGTATCCAAATATAAATGTTAAGACATGATTGTGCCATCGTTCAAAAGTACAGGGAACGTATTTCAGTGTTAGTCTCCTCCTTAATGTTGCTGGTACCCACTGGCACCTAAGTTGTGGAATTCCATTTTTCTGAAATTGTTTCTTTTCATAGTCTAACCGACCTTCCCAACTACCCCACAGACCCCACCCCCACCCCTACCCAACCCCTCAATACCCTCGCCACCATGTACAGGTATTCACAAACAAAAATTATATTGAGAAATGAAAGCCTTAAATTTCGATGTAAAGCTTTCGTGACTGCAGGGATTCATCTTCTTGGTTCTTTCGGTAAAGTCACGTAGAAGGGAAAAAATAAAATAATAAAAATAAAACAATAAAATAATTCTCACGACGTTTTGGAGGCAACACAAGCTTCCATCTTCAGGTGGAACCATCACAGCACGATAGCTGTATTATGTTTTATTTTTATTATTTTATTATTTCCCTTCTACGTGACTTTACCGAAAGAACCAAGAAGATGAAAGCCTTATTTAATGCCATCTATCCAGGAGGCTGGGCTTGTGGCAGACTTGTGTCCCTGTGCAGTAGTGCAGACTCACCCCCAGTGGAGGGCCTCACCAGGGCACGTGTTACTCATCAGAGTCACAGCCTCCAAGCTCATTCACATTGTTACATTGCACTTACTTGAATCTCCCCCACTTTTGTCAACCTGCCCATGTGAGAACTGCACATTGGATTTTTCCGTGGGAGGGGGGGGGGGAATTGAATGTTTTCTCCTATGTAGGTTTTCGCAGTTGTGCTGTACAGCTCTTCGATGTGTGTTTTTTCAGGTTTGTGCTAACTCGGGCCTGACGCCCGACGCCCGACGTTTTGCTCCGTGTGCTGCGAGCCTTACGCAGTACAACCAGAAAATATATATCAGTTCGCCACGTTATTCGACGTTTCATGCAAAATCGCAGGGAGGCAGGAAACAAAGTGGCTTATTATTACTAACTCCTCCCGTGAAGTTTCCTATAAGTACAAAGCCAAATGTGTGTGTTGGGTAAAATCGGCGAAAAAAACCCGCGGTAATGCCGCGCACAAACGATTGATGTCACTGTCTTTGAAGTGCTACATGGACTGCCGCACGCTGGTTTTGTTCGTGGCGCGTTCAAGGTACGCTCGCACGCGAGGACAAACCACAACTCGCGGCAGTGGGCCTCAGTCATCTCCAAACGCTCCACTGGAATAAAATCGAAATGCATCGCTTCCCCCCACCCCCCAGCCATATCCCACCACCAACAACAACAACAAATACAAAAAAAACAAGAAGAAAATGGGCACATTAGCTCTCGTTGCTTAATTTTTTTACGTTTTTTTTCTCACAGGTTGCAATACCCACGTAATGCCAGGAAGGTGCACACTTGACGTTCCAATGGGCTGGAGCTCAAATGCCAAGAAGTGTGGCTTTACATTTCCAAGGTTCAAATGCGGGACCCACGTGAGGTCAGGAGTGAACGGATGAACGGAACGCCTCTGCCTTTCAAAAACACCACAATCTGGCACGCAGCACGGGGGACATGCGGCTTGACGACCATAAACGCCGCTGACATTTCTCACGTAATACGGCACACTACAGCTTATTAATCCGGTGGCTGGTACGAACGTCTTATTTAATGTCTCTTGGTGGCTGAAGCAGTTTAAACGATAACATAATCTCACTCAGGGCAGCGGCCAACGTCGATCTCGTGTCGTTCTTTGTAGGATGTACGTCACTCCTATGCTCACTAAGAGATCGCAATTCACTTTTATAAAAAGGGATGGATATCTCTGGTACATTGAATTCTTTGTTGTTGCTGTACGATAAAACAGAGGAGGACATGATAAATATCCTTACCCATGAATGATTACCCAGTTGAGGTGTGTTTTGGAAGTTAGTCAGAAAAGGCTAAAGATTGGCTCCTGGCTTATGTTCTGTTAGAAATTGATATAAACTGTTCTAGAAAATCCTATGTAATTCCGGAAATAACAATTCCCTAAAGCACTGTTTATATATAAACAAGAGGCAGTTTAAATATTTTCAAGGGAGAGGCCACTGAAAGCACGATCACACTGATACTGTTCTTCAATTTAGCCACCCCTGACATCAAAGCATCGTAACATGTTCTAAGTAATAAATAAGGTGGGACTTGAAAGGAAACCTATCTTTAGGACCTGGGTGACCTTTCTTTAACATTTCAATCTCGAAATATTTTTGGCGGCCTCGTGTGTCTATACATTTATACGCTGGAAGCCACCCACCTCCCCCTCCCTGCAACTTATATACGGTACTTTCGGTATAAACTGACGTAGGGAATGGCGTGATTGTTTATATTAGCACCATGCTGATAGGCAGACGAGGAGAGGGGAGCACTTGCTCACAAAGCGAGATCGTTAAAAAACTGCTCCAGCCAAAAAAAAAGTTTTTTTTTTCTTCCAGGGTTTGCCACAAGAACGCAAGAGCCACTCCGAACGTCACGGACGCACTACTACATCGAGTGATTTTTTTAAATTTTCTTTTTTTTATTTCTCTTTTTGTACGAGTTCTTCTCTTGTTATCTACAAATCTCTAAGGCACGTCACATGGTACCGAGAAAAAAATAAAGAGAAAGATACTTCCCAGCAGGGCACTTTGCACGCAGAGAATAATGACCCCCCCCCCCCCCCCGCCACGTCGCTCAAGCAGGAGGATCACTTCCACCGTATCGTTTCACGGCCTTAAAGTTTTACGCAAGAAGTGTTTTTTTTTACCATTAAATAAAGACCGTGCATATTTTTGGATTTAAAAAAAGAAATTATATATTTTTTAAAATGTGAACTCTTGTTTTTTTTGTTTGTTTTGTGTTTATCAATGAAGCGATCCGCACTCTTACTGCACTATCAAAACTTGCTGAAGGTTTTTGCTTTTTTTCCCCCACTTTAGTCAGACAGCGATGCTTGTGCAGCCCCAAAGGCGAGGGGGAATGTTCTGATCCAGGCTGTGATCTCTGCCTCGTCTCACTTGTCGAGCAACACGAAGTGCGACGGGCATGAGTTCCGACGGATAAAAACTCAACACGCGCTGCTTCTGCCAACGTAGTCGGAGCATCCTTCGCTCGCAATCTGTGTCATCAACTGATGGACTATCCATATTGGCACAAGGCTTATCTGGTGGTGATTTGTTGATTTGCGTTTTTTTGTGATTTTTGAGGCTGTGAGGTGAACAGAGTTTCCAGACAAACCTGGTCTTTAGCTTCTCCTTCAACTGCTGTGCAATGACTAAGTGGCTCCGATTGTCCTCTCCTATGAAGGAAGAAGAGCAATAAAGCAATGTTTGTTTCGCGCCCCCAACGTCATCTTGCGCGTGTTGCAGAAGTGTTTCTTTCCACACCCGCCGATATTCCGTACAACCGTAGGGCACGGGAACGCGCGCAAAGGTTGCTTGGAAATCAGGGGGCTTCCATCTTCCACCACGAAAATAGGGATCGGCACGAGCGAACTTATGTCCCAAGAACCAGTACGGAGGGGGAGGCGCTAGCTCAGCAGGGCAGGCGTTAATCCCGTCAACGGGCGAGGGGGACTGGAACGCAATCCCAGGCAGCGCCACTTCAATCCTCGCCGCCCACACAGCAGCGCAAGTGCGTCTGCGTGGGGTGGGATAGGGACGGGCTACATACGGGCTACGTCCGGGTCTCCAGGCGCAGCCAGTGCAGGCTCTGTCGGCAGTGACGCACGAGGTGGCCCAGGCTGCTGCTCAGGGTCAAGGCCCCCACGGCGGAATCCACAGCCTGGAAAAACTCTGCAGGGGCAGGACGGGAGGAACACACAAAAGCACATTTCAACTGTCAGCGGTGCTGCTACTGCTGCCGCTGTCTGTACAGGGACCACCGCTGTGATGTGTGGGAGATTAAAAAAAAACATCAACATCACAGACAGAGGAAACGGAATATATGAATATCCCAGGGCTGATGTGGTGGTGATGGGCAAGCTAGACGTCACACCGGGCCGTTCATTAAGCTGAGAATACTCTGACTTGGGATTTCCATGTTAATTTAGCTATGGTATGGTGAATGGAAATAAATGACTGGAAACTGCACAGGAAGCCACTCCTTTTTGGCAAAAATCTCATTGGCAATGGCCAGCATAATGAGGTGACAAATACGCGTACATCTTGTACGACCATGAGTAGTAAACAAAAAGCGCAGGTCTTTGTTAAATCTGCTGCTGGATGAAGGCCTCCCCATTGTGTGCGAGTCATAGGAGTTGTTCTGACCATACCTTCAGGTATAGCAGATACGTGGGAGCACAGAAGTACAGTATAACAATGGATTTTGCTGCACTGCTCTATGCTTCCCACAACGCGGCCCTGTATCAGCCTATAACACCTGTTATACATGGCGGTTGCCCATCCACATCGTTGCTGGCGAAAGAGTTTCCACAAGAGGGAGCTCTGGAGAGTTCCTCGGGGGTATTTTGGCCTTCTCTTCCACGATGGTCAGATGTCTCCGACGAGGCGGGAGCACCCGCACTTTACCCCACCACCACCACAACCTGCCGATCCCACTAGCCGCGAGCAGTGTGTGCGAATGATCGCACCGCGGCAGCAAGGGTCGGCCACGACCGTCTACGGCGCGCTCACAAACTCACTGCGGCTCTCCTTGCAGAGCGCGTCGGCCTGCTCCCACGCATCGTAGCCGTACAGCAGCTGATTGGTCATGTGCACGTGGCTGGCGGCCATCTGATGCACCCGCTGCGGGATGCTGACCACGGCCGAGCCGGAGGACGAGGAGGAGGAGGAGGACGAGGAGGAGGAGGACGACGAGGGGGGCTGATTGGAAGCGTTGGGGCCCCCGGCGCAGGGACCACCTCCGTACGCACCCCCACCGCTGCCCTGGGATCCCACCGAGCCGGCGGGCGATGGCGTGGACGGCATCGGGGATGGTGTGCCGGCCCTGTGTGGGGAGGGGGGAGGAGGAGTATGAAGAGGAGTATGGAGAAAGGAGGAGGAAGAGGAAGATGGGATAAAGGGGGACAAATGAGGAGGAAGGAGGATGAGGGAGAGGAGGAGGGGGAGGGGATGAGTAGGGAGTAGAAAAATGCGAGCAGGAAGGAGGGGGAGGAAGAGGGAAGAGGAGGGAGGAGCAGAAGCAGGTGGATGAGGAGGCGGTGCGCGAGCTGTCAACACCTCAGCCAATCACAGCAGGCCCTCGGGCACAGCAGCCGTGTCAGTATTTATTGTCGTTGTGATTGGCAGTGGTGCATTATTTAAAAAGCACCCCCCCCCCCCCCCCCACCAAGATGTGGTTCTTCATTTTAAAACGTTGTTCATGAAAATTCCCTTATGTATTAAAAAAATAAATTGTAAGGCAACTTAATATTTTAAATATTGTAGTGCAATCATGCCTTTACAAATCCTGTTGCATTTTAGAAATAAATTCATACTGGGGCATGACTACGTTTTACTTAATATTCTTAACGCTCTTCAACTCAGGCTGACAGCATCAATACATTAGCTCTGTCTGTGTGTCTGTAACAGGCTTCACGGTAACTCTTACAATGACGATCCCACTTAAAAAAAAATGTTTAAACCACGTTGCTATTCGGGACTTACTCGATATAAAACCGTGTTGCTATTCAGGACTTACCCGATAGGAAATCAGCCAAATTGATCTTAGGAGTCACCAAAAAGTTGCAGCCATAAACCAGCGCTAAAAGGACCAATCATAGATATGTAACCGCATTTTTCCCCTGACAGCTACCATACCGCTAAATTCAATGATTCCCAAGACAAAATTATGTTTGGAAAGCCATTACAGGATCTACGCACGCACGTGCACGATCTTTATTCCCCATTTGGAAATTGGCAGGTGAAGCGAGAGGGTGTGGCAACGCTTACTTTCCATTCCAGGGAGACGTTGTCTGTGCCGTCTTGGGGGAATTCTATAAATGACATAAAAAAGTGAAACAAAAAATTGTTAAAATATTCACATTTCTTTCTCTCGGGAACACGTAATTTTGGGGGAACTAATCACACATACACACAATGCTATTTGTGTCGTGCGTGCACGAACATGCGCGTGAGTATTTTATAAGCCAATCATGAAGATAATGAAATTGAATAACAAGCTGTGAAACCACATATACCGTCGTATGACGTCAATTGGCTTTAGGGAGTCTGCGTTACATATTTATTATTTAATATAACAAATGTGTGTGCACGCTTGTGTGCGTGTGTGGCAGCATTTCCAGAATAAATGTATGAAACGCTGCGTATACGAAGTTTTGGCCTCGGGGAGTGCATACAACATTTATTTGCACAATACATTCATAGATACGCACAGCCACATGCACAGCACAAACAACACAATTATTCTTACACTGGTATACACAAAAGTATTACTGTAAAGCATTACTTAATCACATGCCATGCCGTCAATAGGTGCAGCGGTGGCACAGTAGTTTGCAAACTGCACTATGAGCCCAGTGACTCAAGTTCGATTCCCGCCCATGGCTTGCATGAGTGGGAAGTGAAATCTAAACCAGACCTGGTAATCTCCCCTTAACCAGCCCGTATCGAAATACGGGAAGTATGTTTATTTGGCACCCGATGATGGACACGGCATAGGGAGGCCTTAATCCAGCAGTGGATTGACAATTGGGAGTAAATTATAACTGATTATTAATTGTGATATAGTGCTTGTGTGGGCGAACACCATGCACACCAGGTTGTCACAGCCAGCTGCTGAGATACATGTTGGGCAGCGAAAGGAATAATGCAAAACAATCCATTGTTGTACTGCACTATGCGTCCACGTCCATGCTCCTCACTGCACTCGAGCTACTCATACTGCTGCTGGGTGACGAGGCGTTGGAGATATTTGAGAAACTCGCCCATCGATTTGACCGCTCCGCCAGGAGAACGAAACAGAAACTTTTTAAATGCAAGCGCATTGTCTCAGCATCCCCGCTGAATTGATACGAACGCCACAATTGACGTCACGAGTCAACAAATGCTCCGGGACAAAGCCTGAAGGAGAGCGAATTAGACACATTACTCCGGAGCCCCATCTGCGCTGAGTGGCGGCGCTGACGCAGGAAGCCATCAGAGCCATTAAGGCATGACACATGCAGGTGAACGACACTCGGCGATGGCACTACTGCTGCTGCTGCGGCAGTTGGCCGCGGCCGTGTTGTTGTTATTCTTCAGAAGCACGCAGCACATGGAGCAATGTCACGCAAACACTGTGCCGAACAGCTCCCGGTACAACGGCGATAGCACATTGGACAGCTACATTATTATACGGCCAGTAAACATGGCATTAAGTTAACCATTGCACTACTGATGTTCACAGACTGCACCAGATACTCATTTTAGGCTGAACTGACCCGAGGGAGGCCCAATACCAGGATTACACTTCAAATGCAGCTGACGTTGTGTATATACCAGGACTTGGCCCTGGGTCTTCCAGGCATCAGTGCAGAGCGTGTACTTAATTTCAGACAGATGCCCCCTCCCCGTCACAAACCAGGGCATTGCCCCCCTCTGTGGAGCAACGCTCTTCTCTCGCTGCGTGTGGCTGGTGCAGAAGCGCAAATTCAGGTTTCTGTGACTAGGTGGCAGTAGACCAATGGATTCTCAAATCTATCTGTGCAGAGCGTTGAGCTTTACCCCATCGTACGGACAGTGGGATTTCCCAGGGTTCTTCGCTTGCCTCCCGCGTGAAGCCAAACCACTCACGAATGTAAATTGACCCAACATTCCAACGGCGGACCCCTCCTGGGCAATGTGTCCTGAGACTTGACGAGGCTCTCCTGAGCAAACATTCGTCGTCGTTTTCGGTCTCGCAACTGCGCGCAGGCGTGTGAGGCCTACCCCCATCTCAATCTAGCAATGCATGCACAACGACACTCGTTAGCCCCGCCGCCACTCACGAGCAACGCCGCTCCGCAAGATTGGTCTATGAGCAACTGGCGGCGGCGATGGCGGCGCACGCTCACGTTCGCAACGCCCGCCAACAAACAAGCGCACGGGCTGCACCTTGAAGTGGTCGGTGAGCGCCCGGGCGTACTTCATGGCGCTGTCTTTCTTGAAGCGGAAAAGGCGGATGTACAGCAGCGTCTGACAGCGGAAACTGCGGAGAAAACAAACGGCAGGGTGACACTCTGATCGCTCCCGGGATCCTTCGGTGGCACCGCGGTTCGTGTTGCCCCAGTGCCGTGGTGTCAGCCTTTGCAATAACACTTTGCTTTGCGTCTCTTTCATGAAACGGGAGTATCCATTCAAACCTCTCGCGGGGCAGTGCAATCCTTCATGTTTAGAGAACGCCCCACAGAAGCAATTATCACAGAGCTGCCTCTGAAAGTCCCTTCAGTAGTATCCTCTGGTCCACACAGGAGGTGGTAGCATTTCCCCACGGGCTCTGCTCCTGAGGGGAATGTTTGTCACGTGACAAGTACATTCTCAGAGCTAATATTTGGTGAAGGAGTTGAAATCATTACCTTGCTGCACTCTAGAATCCCTGGTTTAATGACAGGCTGCTACTTGGGTTTGAATCCAGCAAACTCAGCCGTGCCAGCTCAGTGCTCTGACCTCTGAGCCACCTCTTGCACTGACTGGGGCTTTCTGAACGTGCGATTAACCACGCATTGGCGCAGCTCGTGAAACTGAACGGCGGTGGCACCGGCAGGCATTCTTAAAGAGTGTGGCCACATGAAGGAAAACCGCAAATGAACCCCGCTGCTGAGCGTTTTCTCACATCGTCTTCAGCCATTATATATCCACTGCTGGAGGACGACTCCCCAAGCCATTGCCATCTCTCACGGCCCTACGATGCAACAATCTGTCTCTCATGAACACACGATGGGCCGTGGGCTCCCCTTTGGCTGCCACTATCGTGAATCTCGACCATCGGGGGTTTATTCATAAAATATTTCACATTCATGTAATTGAGTTTATCACCAATGCCTTACCAGATGGCAGCAAGTTTCCGATCAGCGGAGGTAGCGTCTGGTGCCAGGTGACTCCTGAGCCTCATAGTGTACCTGCGGGGGCGGCACGGGGAGCAGGGCGGCAGTCAGGGTACAGTCACGGCGATGTCATTCGCTGAAGTAAGCCTCTGTCTGTGTGCTGGTATTGGTGTCCATATTACAACTAATCCTCGGCTTTCAAGGCTGGCTCAATATTTCAGCTTGGCTAAGATGCTCCGAATTGTTTTATGATTGGTGTGATGAAAAAAAAGGATTACGATGACAATGGAGGTGTGATGATGTGATGACGATGATGCAATGGAAACACAATTTATAATGATGACATCTTGACAGTGATGAATATCTGTGTCACTAACTCCCACCCAGAAGACACACAACGGACGAGCGAAACAACCCCGCCATGCGTAGATTTTCGCGGGTTGTGCTGTCCAGCTCGCCGATGTGTGTCTAGGCTGTACCGTGCATTGTTTGGCACGACGCCCGAGATGCGGGGAATTAAATCCCACCGCAAGGGTGGGGGCGGAAACGTCGGGCGTCGTGCCGAAGAAGACACGGTACAACTCGGAAACACACCGGCGAGAGCCATGCCCCACCAGCATCGTGAATTTCCGGCTGACAAGGAGACGCTGCAGACGACTCACTTGATGAGCTCCAGGGTCTCGGAGAACATGGAGTAAGGCGACTTGGCCTCCAGCGGGTCCCGCTCCATCGCGATGCCGCACTCAATGAACGAGAGTGCCGCGTCCGCGTAGTTGATGGCCTTGCCGAACTTCTCCATCTGTCGCAACGGGGAGGGGCGGCGGAGAGGGCGGCGGGGAGGGCAACGGGGGGTGGTGATAACGAAGCGTTGCCACGGATTCCTACGCTCGCTTGACACGCGTCGAATTGCGCGCAAGAACCGATTACTTGGGATTTAAGGCAAAGTTACGTGCTCATGTATGAAAAGGTAAAGGTGCAGCCCTGCAATGTCCTGCTTATTCTGTTGTGGGTGGGAGGTCCTCTACTACAGAGAGCTCCTCTATAGGGTATTTGGCCTACTCTTCTATCCAATGATAATGTATGATGAGGTTAATAGAACGAACAAGAGAGAACAAGAGACGTCATTCAGCCTGTTCGTATGAGAATCGATCGTTAAAACCGTATGCAAATTATACGCAAATAATGCCCTAAGGTTACATTTAGGATCGAGGAACGAAAAAAAATGTATGAATACAAATAAAAACACAAAACTATACCATCAAAACGTGACAAACAGGACTAAAATAGAAATTTAAACAAATTGTGACCCTATACCATGGGAATCAATAAAATCACTACTCTATGGAATGGTTACATGTCTACCCCTAATGCCAGGCAAACACACACAAAGCAAATTTCTGTCCGTGTCATATTTTTCTGGCAACAACCGAATAAATAGAAGAGGCAGATATCACAGACTCAAGAGTCTACGCTGCGTGCAGGAGGTATCGGCGTGCGGAGAACTGCGCGGGTGAATAAGCGCCATGCGTGTCGGACCCGCACTCACCATGTTGTCAGCCCTGTGCTTCAGCCTCTTGGCTTCGAGCATGTGGTAGTCAGGTGACCTTGGCCTGAGGGCGGGGAGGCAAAAAGCAGACAGCTGTAGTGGGGCAGGGTGGCGCAGTGGTAACACTTGTGCCTCACTTGTGCCAACTAATGACTTGCAAATTGCTCAATTGGGATTACAAACAGCAACATTGCCCCCTACTGAAAAAACTTGGCAGGATCTTCCTGAAAAAAGAGTCGGGGTAAACAAGCCACCCAATAATAAGAATAATAAACTTCAATAACCCAGAGCACAACGTTCTTCGCTAACATTTTAAGTAATCACACCAAAGTCACATACCACGTTGCCATGACCACTCGATAGTGGGCCGGCCCGGTGTGTCAATCAGCCAACTGGAATGAGCGCCGCTGACTTCCCACAAAGTGGTACTCATTTTATTGACCCAAGAGAGGTGATGGTCTGAGTGTGCAGGGTAACGTGAACGGGCAGAGACAGACCGACCAAAAGGCTGACTTTCACGCGCAGTTATTAAATGTGAAAGAGGGCAAAACAAGCAAACATATGACAACACGATGGCCTTGAAAAATAGGAATATTGATGTTGAAAAAACCTATTCAGTCATCTGTCAACTCATCAGGGGTTTTCTTTTAAACAAAGACAATCAAAGCAGCAGCAGCAACAGCAGCAAACCCTCTCAATATCAAGGGCTGCAGGAAAACGGCCGGGAGCGTGCACTTGTGACTGAATCCATTTGTGTATGAAACAGACTTGACAAGACATCGCTGGTAAACAGAAGCCTCAGCTCACGAACCTGTGTCAAGTGAAACATCAAAACAACAACAATAACTCAGTTCGCCCACATACGGCAGTGACGCAACGTGCAGGGAGACATTGGCACCCGTCAGGGGATTTTCAAGTTTGGAAACCAGTTCATGACTAATACATGTTATTTGGATTTAGTTGAGGCTATGTGGAGAGAGCCTATTGAACAAATCATCCTGAATACACCAGAGCTCATGAGACCCCATAAGCGAATCAGTGCCGAGTCCGGAAATTGCTTGGCTTGGTGACCACCGCTAGTTACTCACCGCGGAAAATCTTGCTGCGGTGTGTAAACAGTTAGCACGCTGGATCTCCCGGCGCGGCAGTTGAAACAATGGATACGTTTCTCAAACATCCCCACACCTCTGTCTGTGCAGCAGTACAAATGAGCACATCGCAGTCCATCGGCCGGTCGTGTGCGGTGGGATCAAGTGTCTGGCCAGCGTGGAAGAGTAGGCCAAATATCCTCTGGAGGGTGCTTCGTAGCGTTCCTTCTCATGCACGTCCATCCGCCAGCAGCGGTACGAACGTGAAATTGTGGGCATGCACCGTTGCCATAACCAATGATGGATGGAATTGGCCAAACATTCTAAGACAGCAGGACCCTCTTTGAGAAAGAGTCTTGACACTCGGTGAGATTTTTCGATTGAAAGCTTTCGTGACTGCAGGGATTCATATTCTTGGTTCTTTCGGTAAAGTCACATAGCAGGGCAAATGAAGAAGAAATTAAAAACAAGAGATTTATGGGTAGGCACAGGGCACGGAGAACTCTTCCTGGAGTTGTGCGGTCCTGCCCTTACTTTTCGTCGTGGTTGAGAAGCGGCCTCTTCGGGTCGCCGTGGCCGTTGGGCAGCGTTGGCCAGGGCTCGGAGGCCACGCTGCAGAGGTCGCTCCTCTGACACGGTTCGGCGGCAGAGCTCTCGAGTGAGACCTGGGCAGAGACAAGGGGAGAGGTCACGGCGCTCGCGCTCGCGCTCGTCCGAGCAGCACTCGTCGCATCTGCGATGAGAATCGTGCTACAAGGGAATGCTTCGCTGTATTTTCATCGGTATAATAACAAGGAGCAAGGAGCATGAACCATCGCGCAAACTCCGGTCATCCTCGCAGTGGCGTTTGGCTAGCCATCAAACAAAGACGGTCATTGCATTGCCCTATTTCAGATGCACTTTTGTGGCCATCTGGAACGCTCTTTCTTCTGATATTAGGACTGGGAGCTGTGCACACCTAGATTGAATTTATTTACAAAAAAATGTTGTGTTTAGTTTGTTGTCCTTCCCCCGCACCTCCGATTTGCGTGGTTGGCTACGTCCAGTGCAAAATAAGTTCAACATACAAACGTACATGTTGCTAATTTCACCTTGCCATACAAAAGAAGAAGGTGAGTCTCATGAGTTAACGGTCTCACCCTGCGGCCGCCGGGTCTGACGGGCGGTTTGCTGGGGGCCTCCTGCTGCTGCTGCTGCCTGGAGGCCACTCCGGGCCGGTCCACCTGGATGCTCGGTCCCTGCGGCCACGCCCCATTAACCGTCACCGCGGCAACCTGAGTAGCCCCGGCAACGGGCGGCGGCGAGCTCCCAGGCCGCTTGACGCCGACGGCAGCGTTGGCGCGCCAGCTCGCTCCGTTGTGCCGCGGGGCCGCGTCGGGGTGGCCGGATTTAGGCGACCGGAAGGAGGAGTGGCCGGTCGAGAAAGAGGAGGAGGTGGAGGAGGAGGTGGTCATGGCAGAGGTGGTGTGCCGCTTCTTGTCAAGCGACTTGGAGGACCTGGGTGGGAGACGCGCGACAGTCGTCAAGATTCACTCCGTTAACTTGCAGAGAGAGCGGCGATTGCGTGCACTCGCCTGTCAGCCACACACCGCATTCATGGCAGAGTCACACGACGCGCCAATTCGGTTGTTACAATGATTTGCACTCCAAGAAACATGTCATTACGGTCACGATACACGCGTCGAATCGTGCGTGCGAGGATCGGTTACTCTCGCATGCGGCGACAACGACATGCGATCGCTCTCCCTCCCCCCGGCACGGGCAGCGCACCGCGAAGGTGCCGGTCGGGAGACGTACTGCCTGCTGGAGAGCGGGTGCTTGTGGCGATCGGGCGGCGCTCCGTTGACGGCGCCGTGCTGGTTCGACGTGGAGTCTTTGTCCGTGCGGGGTTTCTTGCCGTCGCCGCCGCGGCTCTCCCGGCTCGTCGACCTGTCCGACTGACGGCCACAAGACGCAGGCGCAGGGCTCGTAGGGCGAAAAACACGCAGGCCACCTTCGCGCCAGTACGTTCCCCGCTGCCGGCGTCTACGACGGCGGCAACGTGGGGTCGGGAGCTGAATGGCAATGTCGAGGTCTGCTGGCCACAGCGAGAGGGCATCAGCGGAGAGTTTGCGTAGTTGTTTTGTTTTGTTTATCCCTCTTACTCCGCTGCAGGAGCACAGACTACAGCGGTTGACTCTATGGTCCACAGTTTGGGTTGCAAAGTAGATCACCGTAGCCCGAGCTCCTTGTGGTGGGCCACCTGTCACGCATTTTTGTGTCGCCTTCAACGTGACTCACACTGTCATCTCAGCAAAATGGACGTCGTCAATTCGAAAACAGAGGAACTAAACACCAAAACAAGGCCCTGAGAGGCGCCAGAAATGGATGGGACGAGGTCTTCCGAGTGACCCAACGCTCAAAAGCCCTAAATCTGACCTCCGGGCCAGAAACCTAAAGGAATATAGCATTAACGTTGTAGCCTTACAGGAGGCACGCGATTACCCGCACATACACCACATTAGCTTATGCTGACTAATTCGTCGGAGCAAAAGAGCCGATTCACCACACAAACGTATCGGTTCCAACCGAAATCACAGAAAAAGTGTGATAGCACGATGGACAGATGTTGATAAAAGCGAAAAGAAGGAAGCTACAATGTGTTTGGACAAGTGACGCGCCGAGGGGGGCGTTATCCAACATCCGTCAAACAGGGTGTGGGAGAAGCAAAAGGAATGCGAGGAAGACCCCCGGATCTATTGGATGACAAACGCCACCACGTGGCCCGATGCCTCACCTCGTGCCTCCTCTTCTCCGCCACCACCAACGTCGCCGGCGGCACAGGCAGCGCCGCTTTGTCAGCGGAGGAGGAACCGTCCCTCTGCGAGCGGCGTCCGGCGTCCCCACCCCGCTCGCGCGACCGCCCGCGCCCGGGCACGTGCGTCAGCAGCGAGAGGTCAACTCGCACCAGGAGCGTGCCGGCCGGCTCCGGCAAATCCAACGACGTCGCGGTCCCGCCGTCGCCGGCACCCGCCGGGGTCGGCGACGCGCTGCGCCGGCCTTCGTACGCGGGCCGCGGAGAACGGACCCCGCCGGCGTGCGGCGCCGGCGGGCGCTCCGTTTCGCGGTCGCTGCCTCGGCCGGAGGAGTGCGCGCGCCCCCGCTGCTCGGCGCCGTCGCAGTCGAGCGGCGGGGAGAGCGGCCCGCTGCTCGTCTCGCTCTCTCGCCGGGGCCTCTGTCGCCACGGGGAGCGGGTGTTGGCGTTCCGGCCGGCGCCGGAGTCGGGCGCGAGCCGGCCGTTCCCGTCGCTGTCGCGCAGCGGGGAGAGCAGCAGCTCGCCGTCGCGGAGAGGAGAGAGGAAATCGCTGCTCTCGCTGCCTCTCCGCTCGCTGTCTCTCGTCCGCGCGTGGACGGTCCTGCCCCTTCTGGAATCGCGCAGCGGCGAGAGCGGCGCTGTCTCCATCGTCGGGATCGGGGACATGAAGAGCTCGATCTTCGGCTCGATAGTCACCGTGCCAGCGGGTCTCCGGCCAGGGCCCGCAGGTTTGGTCTCGCTTCCGGGCAGCTCGCAGTAGGGAGGCGACCGCGCTTTTGCTGCGGGGCTGTCACTATCCGAGTCCGAGTCTGAATCCGAGGAACAGGAAGTGGAGTGGACGAACTCGACAGAAATCGGTGCCACTTTGCCGTTGGCCCGTTGCCGCTTCCGGTCCTTGTCGGACACCGCCGGGCGGGACATTGGTTTGGGCTCCTTCCTGGCGGCGCCTTTCCCCCGGCCCACACCCCGGGGCCTCCCCCTCGTCGCTGGCTCGCTGGGCGGCTGTACAAGTTTTGGCTTTTTCCACGCTCCGCGCGGGGGCTCCGTTTTGGAAAAAACCCCGCCGGAGCCGGAACCCGACGGCGTGTCCGAGTGAACCAGCAGACCGTTCCTGGGCATTGTCATCTCCTTGGGCGGCCCGACCTCCACGCCGGCGGTCGCTCCCCCTCTGTCCACGCTGCTCCTCGGCTGCTTCTGCCCCGTCATCCTGTGCGGCGCGGGCGTCGACACCGGCAACGGCACCGCCTCCGCCTCCACCTGGCACTGCCGCTGAGTCCTGATCTCTACGGTCGGCTCGCCGGCGCTGGGACGCTCCGGCTCGGACGCCACCGACACGGTCGCCACCGGCGGCGTGCGGGCTAGCGGCTGCGGCTGCGGCTGCTGCTGCTGCTGCTGCCCCGAGGTCTGCTGGACCTGCCCTTTCAGCTGCCCTTGGCTCAGGTTGGGCAGCAGCACCAGTGCCGGCGTCAGGGAGCCCAGCAGGCCGCACGGCGAGTCCGGGGACCCGCGGCCTCCGCCCAGCGGCGTCACCTTGTTCAGGTACGGCTGCAGCTGCCACTTGTTGCGGAGAGGGGGATCCGGCTGCATGCAACAGGGGAATCCGAAACGTCACACCATCAGCTGTGACGTCACACCGTCATCCGGGATGTCGCTATGACAGCCGAGACATCACACCATCAGCTGTGACATCACACCGTCAGCTGTGACATCACACCGTCAGCTGTGACATCACACCATCAGCTGTGACATCACACCGTCATCCGGGACGTCACACCATCAGCTGTGACATCACACCATCAGCTGTGACATCACACCATCAGCTGAGATGTCACACCGTCATCCGGGATGTCACACCGTCAGCTGAGACGTCACTCACTGACGGCCAGACAATTACAGCAAATGATTATCTGTCAAATTTATTAGAGCTTTTTAATCATCCACCGCTGGATGGATAAAGGCCTCCCAACACCGTGTTGGATCACGGGGGGTTCTTTTCCTGACCGTAGTTAACCACGTTGGTTCCACGCAGCTTGGGGACGGCCAGTTGTGACGTCACTGGCGATCGCCGATGGCCACGGCCAGATCACACGCGGGTCGTCGGATTCGAAGTGCTACGCCCACCGCTTCCACCCGACGTAGCTATAAATGGACGACATTCACTAGTGTCCCTCTCATTGTGAACCTGCGTAAAATACTGTACCATCTAAATTTATGCTCATTGGCCCAAGGGGATGGGCGTGCTTTAGCATTGGGATGGGGTTGGTGGGGGGGGCACAGGCGGATTCAGACGAGGCACTCAATATTACCCGCTCGCAGCAACATCACGAGTGTCTGGAAATAATAAGACTTGGCATTCGCGCGTACCAAAACTAAATAGGATACCAATCAACAATAAGTCAAAGCACCGCCAGCGGATGGAATCTCTCTCATCTTGCCGAATCTTCTCTCGGCCGCTTGATGAATCGCAAGACAGACGCCGCGGCAGGCGATTCGTGCCGCGTGAGAGGCCTCTGCCGTGTCGGCCATTCTGCTGGCCTACCAGGCGGCCAGGACTTGCTTTTCCGACTCACCTCGGGGGAGACGCGGCCCGGGTTGACCTCTGCTCCTCTCTCCTCCTCCTCCTCCTCTTCTTCGTCGTCGTCATCCTCGTCGTCCTCGTCGTCGCTTTCGCTGGAGCTGCTGGCGCTGCCCGACCCCGACTCGGAGGCCGAGCCGCTGTTGTCGGACTCGCTGCTGTTCCCCGTCTCGCTCGAACATCCTCCCGTGTGGCCCCCGCCGGCTCCCGCGGCCGCGTGCCGGCCCGCGCCCCCCCTCCCTCCTTCCTGTCTGAAGCCGCCGCCGCCTCCATTGCCGCCGCCACCGCCGCCACCGCCGCCGCCTCCGCCGCCGCCATCCCCCCTGCCCTCCCCCCTCCCTTCACTCCGCCCCTCCCCTCTGCTCTGCTCCCCGTCCCAGCGCAGGCCCCCCGGGGCCGGATTCGGGCCGGAGCCCGCCGGGTCGACCACGGGCCCTCGGGAGCTGCGGCACGGCAGGGCGAGCTCGCAAACAGCACTGGGGGGGGGGGGGGGGGGGGAACGGGGGACGAAAAGCGAGACAGTGAATGTGTCTCGTAAAAAAAAAAACAACTAAAATCAATACCATAAAACATTTAGCCCACGAGGTCCTTTGGCTCACGCCCGCGCGCATCTCTGTGTGTGGTTGCACCTTAAGCGCGGCGCAGACAAACTGTCTGAGAGAGGGATCGCGAGATGAACTGCCAGAGCTGCAACACGTGGGAACGCGCGGCGACTGGAAACGTTCACCCGAGCGTTCGATTTCGGTGCGGAGCGGCACGGGGCGGGACCGGCCCCGCGTGAAGCGGCCGCTCTCTCGCCGGGAAATGCAGATTTGGGATTTAGCGCGAAGGAAGCCACGGACGATAGGGGCAGCTGCGTCCATCACGGGCCTCCCAAGGAGTCTCCTGACCTCATAAGGCTGCGTCAAAGCAGCGCGCCCGCCCTATCCGATCGGCGCATTAACAAACGCCAGATAGCACCCGCCCTCAGCAAACCCAATGCACTCGGTCGCCACGCACCAGACGATTTGCATGGTGGGGGTGGTTGGGGAGGCATTGGAACAGGGCAAGCGCGCGGTCGCCCAAATATAGAATGCGCATGCCACGGCGTAAATCTCCTAGAATAGCGCGATCCGTGCTGCTCAGCAGGTCACGACGGAGAGAGGCCCCGGGCAGATGGATGAACACGGCTTGTACCTCGCCACACGAGTGCATGCACCCACGCACCCACGCACCCACCCACGCACGCACCCACGCACCCACCCACGCACGCACGCACCCGCGCACCCACCCACGCACGCACGCACCCACGCACGCACGTATCCAAACTCTCATGCATCCACGCTCTCACGCTCCCACGTTCCCACGCACGCGGGCATGCACCAAAGCACCCACGTACGTGGGCAAGCAGGCGCGGGTGCGGGCAGCACGTGAGACCACAGGCCGGTGTAGTTGCTCGCGACCGCGTCGATAAAGCGATTCCAACATTTTCATTTTTAACAACAAAAAAACCTCCCTTATTTTTTTAAGAAGCAAACATTTTTTGACAACAAATAACTGCCCTGACTCCGACGCTGACATTAATCGTACACACGCTGAATTTTTCATGAAAGTGAGCAGAGTGGCTTTAAAGCGAACCTACTTCGCTGCCTGTGACCTGGGGTCGGGGCCACCTGCCCCGACTGCCACCTGTTGTCGGCAGAGAACGTCACTCGGCTGGTGTCAAAATTCAGGCCCTTCGTTTTGCCGCCTCGGGCTGTGCGTGTGTGTGTGTGCTCTGTGTAATATGCGTACGCACTGTGTATGAGCATAAGCTGCGTGCGTGTTGTGCTCGAGTGTGTGCACGAGCGCTGTTTGTGGGTATGCCGAACTGTGTAAGCTGCATTTTGTGGGGAGCGGCGGTGCAGTGGTTAGCGCACCATCCTCTGAACTCAGCAACCCGAATTCGATTCCCACTTATAGCAATAACAGTGGCGAATATTAGAACTGGACCTGGTTGATTTAAATGAATAACTGGTGTGGTGTGTCAACATCGGCACTGGGGAAACTGAGGGTGTGGTGCTGGCCACACCACTCCCTCGTGTCCCGGCTGCTCTCGCGAACAAAACTTGCACCAACAGTCTCTAAAGGCTACAGCGGGAATCTTTGTGTCTGCATGTGTGTGCTGTCAATAGCGACCACATTTTGGACCACCACCATCATCGTCAACTCAACACGTTGGCTCTCTTAACACATCACGGCAGCCTCCACGGCCACTTTCCATTGTAAAAAAATAAAAACATGAATTACATTCAAACAGAATGCATTTGGTGGTGGAGAAAATGTTTTTCCGGTGTGACCATTCATGGAAATGAATGCCACCTCCAGCCAAATGAAGTGTTTATTATTCAGCCATACGGCCACGCTACAGGCGATGATGGGTCAAGCAGACCGGTCTGTCACTGCATTGCCATGTGCAGCACGCGAACGAATGAGTATCTCATGGCCGGACAGACTGAGTGAATTACTCTCCTCTGCTTCGTGTGCCCTCCGCTTATCAGTCAACCTTCGCTCAATGGGAGGACGCTCCTTTTCAGCTGCTGCCCCGGCTTGTTTGACATTCTCTTCCCCTAGCTGTCCGCACTGCTGAGAATCTACCCCTGTTCAAGTTCAGGCTCAGGCCCTTCCCTCTTCTTCACTGCCCGTGACTGCCGCCCTCTCTCCCACACTCGACGTGAATTGTCTGGATACACACGCCTACTGTAAGCCCATCTCAATTCCCTCTCCGGCCTCCACACTTCTTAACGGTCACTTCCTCCACCGAAATAGAATCCTCAATTACCCATCCCTCCTCTTAAAACTCCGTAGCGTCCTGAGGACACGGTTGCAATTCGATGCTTTGCAAATCCAAGCTGCATTGGTGTCTTGCGTTATGTTACTAAGAGCAATGGCTATAATATGAAACACATTCTCAACTGGTAAACACAGTTTATAGGAGTTAGTTCAGGCTCTGCGCCCAGATGCATTGTGTGTGCGAGTTGCACAGGAATTTATGACTCATGTAATATGATAGTTAAATCAACCAATGCATTGGCACTGTTTGTCTAACTAAATTACATTTCTGGTAGTTTCACAAACAAATGGTATTAAGCGCACACGTGTGTGTCGAATATCAAACGCAGATGACAGAGCAACATTAAAAGCACGTATTATTTATAATTATCAAACAGTGGGAGGGAGCGGTGGTGCATCAGTTTGCACACCGGTCTATGAACCTCGTGACCTTAGCTCTCCATTCCCGACCATTGCTCAAGTCGGTGACGCTGTGATATGTGACCTGGCTCTGAGCCTCTCCCTTCATCAAACCTCAGACTCACCAGCGTGGTGAAGTATGGGCAAGAAGCACCATGACTCTAACGTGGCATGAGGAGGCTTTCATCCAGCAGTGGCTTGACAAAGCGCTGTAAATTATTGTTACCAACAGTCTCATTCTACTGCAATGTTTGAAGAATCATTCCAGTCTTTTGTTATCCCATAACAGACGTGTTATTATTCATTCAACACCATTGTTTTGCACTTAATACTTTTTTCAAAACCCTGCAGTTTTTCTCAATCGGTAGATTAATTTGCTCTTGTATGTCAAATCGTTGGTGTTGTTGTTGATATAATACTGCTGTTGTTGTTGATGTATAATATTGGTGTCGATATATCGTTTTACTGTTGTCGATGTTGCTGATGAAAAGTAAGCCAGCGAGTGTCATACAAAGAGCACTCCGTCAATCCACTGCTGGATGAGGGCCGCCCCCACACCCACGCTGGTCGTGGTGGTCATTTGACCATACCTCACTCCGCTCGTCGGTGCAGCCACGGTGAAGGCGGGGAGCATATACGCTAGCGGGTGGACGTGGGAGCGTAGAAGTCGGGCACAACAAATGATTTCGCTGCACTGCTCCCTGCTACCAAACCAGGAAGCTTCACGGCCGCTGCAACAACCTGGAATGCAACGGTCGTCGCCTGTCCAACCTCTGCACCCAATGTCACGCGACACTAAGTGCATTCATAGGGGATATCATCGCAGGAGGACACCTTCCCTGTGGAATCATCAACTCTTGTTACATTTAAGACGCCGTGTCAATGTCTCGCGTAAACATCGGCGGTGTTAACCCTAATATCCCGACTGAAATCCGACCACGGGTTATCAAAATATCCGGCCAGGTCAAATTGTTCCAGTCGCGTTAATTACCCACACAAAGCAGTGCTTCTCGTGAGCGCGCTAGATAGCCTTGCACAAGGAGCATGTGCGCACCAGTGGATGTACCCGAGTAAAGTTACAAATAAAACAAAACATACAACTTGGCCGTGCGGCTCAGGGATGGCAGTGTCAGAGCAGCGAGGACTCGGACTCGGTTCGCAGCCACGACTCAGCTGCTCGTGATTAAACCAAGCGTTCTCAGCGCATACACAGCTGATGGTGTTGCTTCGGTCGTCCAATGATTGCCAACAAATTTACGGCCAAAACGTGTTATATCATACGAGTTACTTTTTTGCACTGAAGTTGGAGTATTCCATCAGTCAGCAGGTGGCGTGAGGTGGGGCAAAGTGTGGCGATGCCTCGCTGCTGCCGAACACGTCAGGTCAGCGTGGAGGAGTAGGCCAAAGTACCCTCTTAGAGGGGCTCTCTAGAGCTCCCTCTAGTGCAGGCCACACCGCCAGCAGTGACAGGAGCAAGCAATTACAGGGCTGAGCCTTTACGTTTTAAGCATGAGCATATAATTTGCGGAAATCCCAAATGATCGATTCATGCGTGCACAACTCGGCGCGTCGTGAGCATAGAAATCGACGGCGCCGCGTGGCTTTTCTACGCCCCAGTCACCGCCCACTGGAGGAGGTTATTCTGAACCTTGCCAATTCCATGCCCGAGGACTAAAACACGTTTGTTTGATTGTCACGTGATAAACACTTTCCGCAGGGCATGTCAAACAAAAGGTGTGCAACCCCAAGTGGATAAGATGCCTATTAGCGAGACTTCAGAAGAGGTTCCGTGATGTTACATTCCGTCCTCCGACGCAAGGTCAGGCAAGTTGGGCAGTACAGCAAGTGGGTCCTGGCGTGGTGGCGTACACCTGCAACCCAAGGCCTTCGGAGGCGAGGGTTGGTGGCTTACGCAGATTTGTGAAATTTCCAAGCCCACTTGGGATTTCAAGGTGATTAGTCGAGTGAGGTGTTCGTGAGCCCGTCTGTAAGGGACTTTGAGCAGTATCCCCTCGCACAGGAAGCAAAGTACCATTTAAAAAGCAAGTTTGCCAAACACCCCAAATTAAGACCCTCCTAAAATCTCAGTGAGGCTTTCCTGGACAAATAAATGACATCGCTACAACTGTAAGAGTTACAAGTGTGGAAAGGTGGCGCAGTGGTCAGCACACTGCGATAAGAATCCGAACACCTGAGGTCAATTCCCAGCAACAGCTAACACCGGGGACGTAATATCTGAGCTGGTTCTGGGCTCACTCCTTCAAGCAAGCAACATTGGCCAGCGTGGTGAAGTATGTTCAACGACCCAGGAAGCCCAACACTGACATGGCATGGGGAGGCCTTCATCCAGCAGTGGACTGACTAAGGAACTGTTAATTATTATTATTACTACGACTATGAAGAGTTATAAAAGTAAATGTCTTGACCTCAGCAGAATTTGAAGTATAATTTGGGCATCACACAAGACAGACAAGACAAAAGTCCGCAACGTACGCTTCCCTCGGGCGTTCACGGAGACCAGCCACTCGGAAGAATTCCTTCGGGAAACGAGTGACCCATCACCCCGCAGCCACCACGTAGAGTTGACGCTCCACCGACGTAGAAACCATCGCTGCACTGCGCCATCCTCACTACCCGTGCCGTGATGACCCCACGGTGACCCCGCGGTGCCCCCACGGTGCCACCGCAGAGTGAAACTGCCCTTGGGAGGCGCGCCGTTGAGAATAACGACGGAGCTGTTGCCCGCTCCTCTTTCCCCATTTTCACACTCATAAAATCGCCCCCCCTATGCGTAAATCACCGGGAATGCGTTCAGGAACTTGGCACCCACTGAGGACAAGTCTGCCCGCTTTCTATTACCATAATTGAAATCATTTCGGAGAGTGTTTTAGAGGAAACTGTTTTACAAATGTCTCGCCGTAATTTTCCTTAATGTGACGTGTCAAAAAAAAATTGCACCAAATTGACCCTTGATGCCATTAATTCAGCGAGTGAAAGTATACCCCGGGAACTTGGCACTTTAACCAAAACTACAAATATTCGGGGCTGTGAGTAACAACAAAAAAAATCACCCTGCATTATCGCAACACAAATTGTCATAAAAAATATTTTTTTCTTATTAAGTATTTGGAATGCTGCCTGGAGTGGCGGCAGAGCGGTTGGCGACCTGCGCTGCAAACCCACGCGACCTGCATCGACTGCCGGCCACAGACAACTTCCGTGGCGAGCGACAGCGGAATCGGTCCTATTGGCACCCACCCCCACCCCCCTTCCCTTCACCAAGCCTCGCTGACGCAACGTGACAGAATACGGACAAACAACCCCCAAGACTGACAGGGCATGTGGCTATTTTCATCATCAATTATGCCACAATAATTTTGTGTTCAGTTTGTTTTCCTTCCCCGCACCTCCGATTAGCACGTTTGGCTACGTACGGTTTGGAAAGAAGTTCAACGTACACACACATATATACCATGCTGCATAAGCAAGTTTCAACACTAGAATTACAAACCCTGAACGATGCTGACGCTAACATTTGTGCGTATCAGTTCCTACGTTCTGCGCTGCGATCCCGTTACCGTGAAATCGACCGTCCAGTTTCTGAGCACCAACGCTCCATGCCGTCAGTTCAGCGAAGCAATTATGCAAACAAACAGCAACATCGCGCAAAGATAATGTGACCCCTGAGTGGAGGTGTGTGACCCGACACACCGGGCCCGGACCTCCCCCCCCCAACAGCACCCCTACCCCTCCATCAATGCCGCTGAAGGACAGCCCAGAGATCAGCCCTGGAGGGTTGCGTAACAGACAACACAAAAACCCGGCGGCTCAGACAGAAGTGCAAAGCCGGGGGGAATTGTTGGCGGAGAGAAAGCTTTTACCTTTTCTGACACCCGACACCAATCACTTACTCCTAACAGAGATGTGAATCAGGATACTGACAAACCTGACAAGCTGGGTGCACCGTAAAAAAAAAGAAACAACTGCTTTTTTCTTCTTTGTTGACAGTGCAATAAACATTTTAAAAAGACGAATGATACGATAGCTGTGAAATAAAACGCGTGAAATTCGAAGATTCTACGGCAAAATGTTTTCCGCAGGGCACGAACCGTCGTCGCGCGCCGTTGCGTTACGCGCGGTGGCGAGGGCGACAGCGGACTTCGCCAAAATCGGGGGGAGCACCCCAGCGACGGGGGCGCGCGTGTCCGTGACCTCGAGCACGCGTGTGCATGTGCGAGCGCTCATTCGCACGTACTCAACGCAAGTATGTGCGTAATGCGCGTGCGTTCAAATCAAACGAATATTTATCTCTCCGATGGACTCGCAGGCTGTACCGCGTGTTGTTTGGCACGATGTCTCAAGTTTCGCTCCAGACGCTGGGAGCTTATTCAGGAACCATCGAGCCGAACAACAAGTGGGACAACTCGAAGACGCATCAGAGAGCTACCCCATGCAAGCGCAATACGTGGTGCAGCAGTCTTCATATAAATTACTCAGCTGAGTCAGCACTGATGAGATCACGGGCTCAGATCGGGGTTTCTCAAGTGCAGTGCCTTGATGGTCTTGGCCCAGTCACCAATGGCTGCACCACAAACTATCACGTTAAATTTGGTTATGCACTTAATCTTCCAAATTTCTGGCTTCGAGAATTAATCATTTGGATTTACCGGCGTAGAATCAAGACTTCTGTACAGGGAAAACAAAAGTTGAACCCCTAGTGTGCCTAAAGGGACCTAGTGCAGTGACTTCAAAAGTAATATGTAAACATAATCTTCTACGACTGTTCTCTAAACACAGGGTGATGCACTGCTAGCTGCTGACGTTCCTAATGGAAAGGCATTCGAGTCGTGCCATGAGAATGACGGCCAAATTGCAATATAATTGAAGAAATCGAAAGGAGAATCAAAAATGTTAAAGATAAATGTCACCATTTTGCATATTCAGTGAAAACATCAGAGGCTCAAATCTTGACTTAAAGCTTTCGTGACTTTGCCGAAAGACCCAAAGAAATCAGAGGCTCGGTGAGAATGAGATGGAGGCGCCGGTAGATCATGGGATTTTAAATATCACCACAGAAGCCAAATGCAGCAAGGCGTTTGTCTATGGAGGAGCAGTGTGCGGAGATGTGGAGGACCCCATCTGACCTGCACAAGGTCAATAGGTCGACACATTTCATCGATACCGTAGGAGCCAAGTTAGCGACCGAAACAAATGACCGCATTAGCGGGCAGCCTTACCGCTCTAATTAATTGCGCCCTAAAACGTTGGCTCCGCGGCTTCTGTACATAAACACTAAACAAAAGCCTAACTGCGGGGCTAATCGATTTTTTCCCTTTTGCACTCTTCACGCCAGGCAAATAAAGCCTCCACTCCGTAGCTCCACACATTGTTTTGTTCTACGTTACACTGGTGCGGCTCCAAGCAGAGGTCGTAGTCCACACACAAGGGCGGCATTACCGCAGCGGGGCAGAAATTCAGCCCAAACTTTAATAATCGGCCACAGCAGGAGATGCGAGAGCCGCAGCCAAGCGAGGGGCTCTCTGCGCGAAGCCTTTGACAGGCAATGAATGGATCTCATTAAAATGCAGCACGGGCGAGGGCAATCAAACATCAAACACATGGCATTATGCAATTATGCTTAGGAATTTAATTTACCGGTATGATAAAAAAAAAACGTAACTGTTTTAAAATTACTCGTGACTCAGACGCCGGTTTATTTTGAAATAATAAATACTATTAACACGTAATTAAAGCAAATGGACGGGAGCGCGGGGACCGAATAAAGGAAGACATGAAGACGGTCAACGCATCCCCTGAAGATGCCCTGGACCGAGCCAAATGGAGAAGACAATGCCGAAAAGCGGACCCTGCGCCACAGCGGGAACAACGCTAGGAAGAAGAAGGACGGGAGCGCGGGGGCGACCGTTTGGATCGCCGCGCGTCGTGCTCACAATTGCCATTTTTATTCGTAAAGGACCTGCCGCGTGAAGAACGACGATCATCCCGACATCCGTAAACACGGCGAGGAAGCATACCCATGGATGATAAGCAAAAGCGATTTGCCTCCGAGGCTGGTTCTACGTCTCCATTAGGCGCCTTTTGGCCGAGCGGTCAGCCGCTGCCTTCCGTGGGCTGGGTCAAACTGCACCCTCCACTAGCAACGCCCTCTCTAATGATGGCAATGCGGTGGTGGTCCCTTCCTTCGGAGGGAACCCCGGAGAGGACGTCCATCGTGGACATACGGTGATGAAATTGGCTCCAGTGCGGGGGCTAGATAGATGGATGTAGCCTCGTAGTGACGTGTCCTGCTCAAGATCACTTACATTACTTCGCAGTCAAAATGACGCCTTGAACTTGCGCATATTACACGGCGGAATGGACGGCAGCCGGACGCGCCTGACAGTAGGCTCACCGTGGAGATGGAACGATTGAATCAGCACGTGTGGATTGTAACATCCGTCGCGAGTCTATAAGAGACGTCGATGGCCTTGGGGAAGCATTCATCCAGCAGTGGACCGATCCCGGCTGATGATAATAACAATGACGACGAGTATGAGCAACATGGAGATGAAGCTCATTTGGCAAGGTAATGTTGCCGTGCCATCGTATTCCCATGAGCTCCGTGTCGGACATGGCATGGAGGTGTCTAGAGGTGTTAAGGGGATCCCAGTGCAGGGCAGGAGGCGCTCCCAACCTTGACGATGTCTTACCTGGCGATGAGATGTGGATGAGACACGGCTTTCTCTGGCACCTGGGCGACAGAAACAAAAGAAGGGCGGGGGGAGTGGGGCACGGTTATCAGCAAACCACGCGAGTGCACGCGCCACAAGCCTCGTACTCACACACAGCAGTGGCCCTTCGTCACTGCATGCGAGTCGAGCAGGTGAGGGGAGAACCGCCGGTTCATCACCCAGCCTGCACCAGCTTGGCAGCAACCCCAGTGATTCACTGCGAATGGTGCTGCGTTGTTGGTTGAAGAATCACGATCGGGGATAGTGGCGCAAGCAACGCCTGGGTTGGCCATGCCCCGAATTAGCCTTGATTTAATTAACCCTGATTGCGATAAAAACATAACCAGGAAAAAACGGGAGCCGCGCACACAGATAAATAAGTAATCTTTACAAACGCAGGGGCGTACATAATAAATGTATGCCCATTAATTATTAACCGAACCTACAAGTGACCCTCAGATAAATGAGCGCCGCGATCAATCGCGACGCACAAACCGACGGCCTCGCCGGACTCGCGTGGAGCGGCCAGGTGTGGTTCATCAAGCCAGACGGGGCGAGCGTAGGGGGCGAGCGTAGGGGGCGAACTGCGGGGGTGAGCGTAGTGGGCGAGCGTAGGGGGCGAGCGTAGTGGGTGAGCGTAGTGGGCGAGCGTAGTGGGCGAGCTTAGTGGGCGAGCGTAGGGGGCGAGCGTAGGGGGTGAGCATAGGGGGCGAGCGTAGGGAAGAGCGTAGGGAGCGAGCATAGGGGGCGAGCGTAGGGGACGAGCGTAGGGGACGAGCGTAGGGGGCGAGCGTAGTGGGCGAGCGTAGTGGGCGAGCGTAGGGGGCGAGCGTAGGGGGTGAGCATAGGGGGCGAGCGTAGGGAAGAGCGTAGGGAGCGAGCGTAGGGGGCGAGCGTAGGGGACGAGCGTAGGGGACGAGCGTAGGGGACGAGCGTAGAGGGCGAGCGTAGTGGGCGAGTGTAGTGGGTGAGCGTAGTGGGCGAGCGTAGGGGGCGAGGGGGCGAGGTGAAGCGAGGGGGCGAGGTGAAGCGCGAGCTTGACGGATCGAGCGTCGGAGCGGCGACGGCGGCGGGCGGTGTGGCCAGCGTCCCGCGGCCCGTGACCGCATCTGGGAGAGTGACCGATCTCTCACGGTGACAGTTCCTCACGGAGCAATCGTAGGGCAAGGCCTCTGCTGCTGTGGCGGAGGCGGCAGGCGGGAGTGCACGGTGCCGCGGAACAGCTGTTGGCTCCAGCGTTGACCTCTGCAGCATTCCTCCCCAGTGTTTTTGTGAAATGGCTCTATTTGTGAAGGCGCCCCAAACAAAAATGCTGACGGGGTGTCACGAAAACGACGCAGAGTGCTTCACGGTGCCGTATAGTACAGCACGTACCGTGGACGTTGCACCTCCCATAATGGAATTTTTCAGTAATGTCAAGGGATTCATGGATATCAGTTGACTGATTTAGATATTTGCTTGATATTCAATGTAAACTCATGAAGATAAAACGGTTTGTGTCAATTCAAAAACTGTTCATTTGAAAGTGTTCTCCGCAGCGAAACAAGCCAGACAATATCTCCGCCCTCTATATCTCTGAGCTCTGAAGAAGTGCAATTGCACACAAAAAAACCTTGGCCTCCTATACATTTTGTTGCTGTGCTATTGACAAATGCTTTGAGATTTGTTTTATTTGCCCGCGTATTGAGTTGCACTAACGATTTTAGTTGTTGCGGTAACATCTGCCCATGCTATGCCTCTCCCTCTTGACATTTAACCCTCAAAGTGACCGCATGCTGCCATTCAGTAAGAATCCCTCTTCATTTTGCTGCCACACAAATCACGAAAACAGAGCAGCCGAGAGGAGCGGCCAAAGTCCAGCAACAATGAGTGAGTCAACGCAGAAGTGAGCAGTGATCACTGCTGACCTGGGGGGGGGGGGCGGGGAGGGGTGGAGGGGAGGTCCCTGGGCCGCTGAAAAGACGCGCACGACAAATACAGCGGCGTCTCCACGTGCGGCACAATCACACCGCGGATGATTTAATTGGAGGCCATCGCTCCTGCGGCCCATCGCACGCCGGCTCCAGCGGCCAGTCGCTCGCGGTTCCGCCAACCGCCCCCGGGCAGAAGGGGGGGGGGCTCGCTCCCAACTCCACAACCCTAAATTGGGAGCCGTTTTTTTTTTACTTCATTTTTTTTTGCTCCCTCTGGAAAGTCCCATAAAATAAAAAAAACAGAGCGAGGCCATAAAAGTACGAGCAATTTATATTTTTTAGTGGGCACGCAGCGGCGGACGCTCGCAAGCCGAAGTCAATAGCATGCGCTTAGCGGGGGGGGGGGGCGGGTGGGGGGGCGGCTGGGGGGTGGGTGGTTATTATTCATTGTTACAGCGCCGTAATAGGCGCTGAGCGGAGGCCAGCAGCCCCGGGGCAGCCAGGTAGTTTCTGTTTTCATGGACCAAAAAAAAAAAACCTCCTGTAAAACGGTTAAACGGCGATGTAATGCAGCGCGCAGCGTCCCGACTAACCCGCGCACCAACGCGCAGAGCTCCGGGCAAGCTCGCAGAACGGCGCACAACGCGAGGGTCGCGGGCGCTCGGCGGCGAGCCTGTGGCACGCGCAAGAGAGTGCCACTCCACGACCGTCCTCGCGGCTGCTGGCTCCGCCGCCGCGACCCACGTGCTCTGCCGCGTCTGGTCGACTGCCAGGAGATAATGGCATTTGCGGAGCATTTTATGAATCGCAGCTGTTGCGATGGCCGGATGGGTCAGAGGGTTTTTTAACGACCGCGCTGGAGTATTGAGAGCAGGTACCGCCGGGGAGCCTGGGTTCGTGATTCAACTGGGTTTCTCAGGCGCAGTGAGCCGATCGTCTTAGCTGGGTCATTGTAATAACCGCACGCAAAATATTACATTCAATTTGGTCATTCACTTAATTTGGTATATTCTAGCTCTGGTATTTAAAACTAAATCGGTGCGAGTGGCATGTGACAAACAGCCTTTGTGGGGCACATAAACGTGGTGTGCCACCACTGTGGATAAAATAGTGGCCACTTGAAGGCTACTAGAGGCGTAGGCTGCGAAATAAATCCAGCCACGAAATGAAATCCGTCTGAGAGGACGAGGAGATGGAGCAATAAAATCAGCTTGTTCGCAAATGCCGGGTGGATTGTCATATCGCAGAACCATAACTGACGGTCACGACTTGGGGAGGCCTTCATCCAGCATTGGATTTCTCACAGTTAATGAGGACAATAGCGCCAAATTGTATTGGAATGTACACAAACTGAGTAGATAGAGACACACACACACTGTAACACGAACATAACGAGCCGCAGCTGCGTGCTACTACACTGGCGAGGTGAAGGGAGTTCAGTTGGACGTGGAAGCCCGCACAGCGTCCCGCGATCCACGTGCCATTGCTTAACGTGCAGCCGCGGGTAAACGGGCAAGGCAACAGCCGCACATGCGGGGGTTATTAAAACCCCGTGCGGCCGCGAGAGGCGGCGTCGAAGCGTAGGAGCAGGTTCACGCCGAGGGCAGCGTGAAATATCGGTCGGGCGGCACCGCCGTGGCCGCGTGGGACGCTGCCGCGGTGCGACGGGGCAGCGCGCGCTGGACTCCTGGTTGATCGGCGGGTAGCGTGTGCGGTGGGGTAAAGTGTGGGTACTCCAACCTCTTACAAGACGTCTTGGCCAGCGTGTACGTGTACACCCTCCAGAGAGGCTCTCCAAGAGCTCCCTCTACATGGAGGCCCTTCTAGGAGCGGTGACGTCAGCAAGCAATTGCAGGGCTGCACCTTTACCCATTACTACCATGGCGGCCTTGCTGTGTGGACGATTCTGAGGAGGCACGGTTACCTTGGTGGGGATATGAGGCCCATGCGGCTCTCTTTATTATGCTGTAAAAAATACCACATTTGCAATTCCTGGCTGCGAAGCTTTTTTTCTGGTCTGTCCAATGCCTTGAGCGCTCGCGGGGTTTAACGGGCGAGGGGAGAAAACGGGAAAGGCTGCAAAAAGGAGCCAGGCGAAGAGACGGGAGGTGGGATCCGCGCGAGGTTCTGTTTAAATTTGCGAGGTGCGAGGCAGGAGTAAACGTTCAGACCGCACGGAAGAACAGACGCAAGGTGTGCGCTCACGTTAAGATGCCGCTGGACTATTCACCAACTAGATTAGGGTGGGGGCAATTGGTCATTTAAGACAATTAGATCACGAAAACATATTATCCGTTTCTTTTTTTGTCGTCAATTACTCCCTTGCAAACGGCAGCTGCCCCCAAATCCTACAAGCCGTTAATGTCATCAAACATCGCCCATCGCCTCCCGTCCAGCGGCACACGTGGAAACAGAGGCGAGGGTTTTTTCCGTGTTACCGAGTGTTCGAAGCGATGATCAATTACTTAGAGGAAGACCACGAACCTGACTGACCGTCAACCGTGAAGCACGCAAAGCGAGAGGCCGATGCAAAGAGATATCGGCGAAGCGCTCGGCCGTGCACCGACCGCACAAAAAGGGCCGAGGGATTAAGGAGAAGAACTGATGATTTAAATGATCGTATATCCCGGCTCTTAACTGAAAGGTGCCATGCTGATACTCGATGCTGTGCCCTTGGCAGCCCCTGGCTGCGGGGAGGGGTGGGGGAGAGGCAGCGCTAACCACAGAAGCACGGTTCACATTAAGGGCAACGTAAATTATGGGCCAATTACTGTAGCAGCTTCACCGTGTGGCGGGGGGTTCCCAATCCCCCAATGGGGGGGGGCAGGGATCCCCAAGCGGCATAGGGATGGGCCCAGGGGGTGGCCACCAAGGAGGGGGGGGGGCACAGATAGAGAGAGAGACGCGCCGAGTCGAAGGGCAGTGCTGCTCTGATGAGGGCATTGGGGGGGGAGGGGGGGAAGCCCTCAATCAAGGTGAACGTGATTGCTTTTGAGCTATAGCCTTTTGCACGCGTAGAGCCGTTTGACAATCCACTGCTGGTTGAGGTCTTCCCCAATGCCGCGCGGGTCTAGGAGGTTAATTGACCATACCTCACCACTGCCGGTCTCCAGAGGGATATGTTTCAGGCCCAAAGCCTCTGTTTGACGCGTGACGCTAATTCTAGCGTTGCACCAATTCAGGACAATTTATTATTTTTGCTTGGCAAAAAACGACAATCCATGCTGTGCGGGTCTTTGAGGCTAATCGTCGACGCTTCACCATAACTATGAATGTTTACCCAGCAAAGCCTCATCAATGCACGCCAGCCACGCTAGTCAATGTGGGTTGGCAAGGGCCTGTGACCTCCCGATAGAATAGCCACGGTGAGCCCCATTTATTCTGCTTGCTGGACGGCTGCATTTTAAATATTTAAAACAAATGACCGAGTCTAACCCTCGGGCGAGAACAGGTAGGATAAAGGTGCTGCCGAGGAGAGACGTGATTATCGGTCTCCAAACACACAGGCGGCGGTTCTGGCTAAGACCGATTCCCCCGTCTCCGCCGCTCCTTTCCCTCGAGGTGATCGCGGAGCGCCGGTGCTCATTTCGGGCTGACCTGACCCGCTGGGTAAGGCCCTCGCCGGGGTAAAAAAAAGCCGGGGCGTAATTGAACCCTCGGTCACCGCCGCGCGATTGAGTGCGCCAGACAGCCGATGCGGCTTGCCGCAGCGGCCGCCTCTTTAACTATTTACAAAGGGAGCTGGTTTATTTGGCATTCTCTGTCTCGCGCAAACAATCACAGCTCCGAGGAGCAGCGGTTTTTAGTTCGACGGCGGGAAGAGTGCTTCCAGGCGAGCATTCCGTTAGTTTGCTTTTAGGCTGGGCACACATGCACGTGTTGCCGCGATGGTGTAGCTGGCCAGCGGGGTGGACTTGTAATCCGTAGGTCGTGGATTCTATTCTATTCGATCTCCCCGGGGCGCGGCAGTCGAATCAACGGGCGAGTTTTTCAAATCCACCCGGCAGTATAAATGGGTACAGCACACTTAGTGAATCGGCAGGTCGCGATAGCAATGGGGTCTAAAGTGTGGCTACTCCCACCACTACAAAGATGTCTGGCCAGTGTGGAAGAGTAGGCCAAATACATACTCCCTCCCTCCTGTCAAGCAGTGGAACGGGCAAGAATGTTCGAGACTTGCACATCCACGATCGACGTGGCGAACGCATGCCGTCAACGCGTTCATATTTGTATTTTTGTCTTCCCCTGACAGCTTGCTACGGCGCTTCAAGGGACGTATTCGCGACCTGCGTTGTACGAGCGGCAGCAGCGGGGCAGAGCGTTGCACTTTTTAATCACGCCCATCTGTAACTGTAAAACACACTGTATCTATCCCAGCGCCTTGGGGTCTGAACATGCTTCAAACTTCCCACTTAAAAAAAAAACTTCGAATGATAATTGACAAATGACCACCAGCTGCGGCCTAGGCAATGAGAAAAAAAAAAACAACCCGTATCGCGGTAAACGTCAACACTCGTGATCCAATTTCTGACTCGTTCCAAGAAGAAAAGAGCCCAGCTGATCCCATCCTCGGCAAGGCGGATTTGCTGCGCATCTGGCGATGCAGGCAGCCACAGATTTTGCGGATGAATTTGCACCGAACGCTGCACAATTCCCAACGAGGTGTTTGCGGAGGTATTTTTGGTACGATGATTTGTGTATTTTCTTAAATATGCTGTAAATATATTGGCTTTGAAGGCGTTGCCTCGAGAACGGAAGTGCTGCTGTATAATACGCAAGTTAAAATTACATTTGATATATATTGTGGAATGCGTGCGCGGTGTTTTGAAGGTAACAAATGTAAAAAAAAAATGTTGTGAAGAAAGGCCATTCGCCAGAATGTTGGGAGGGGGCGAGGAATGTTTAATATATAGACAAGCGCCCAGGCCTATGACCAAATCACCCAGCCATGTGGCTGATCTCGCCAGGTCCCAGAAGCTAAGCAGGGTTTTATCGTGGACGTAGTGCTTTGTTAGGCAGCCGACATGCACAGACAGGTTGTTAGCGGTTGCCGTGGGGATTCGTGGGGGGCAGTAGGGGGCGAAGCAGTGGAGCAAAATATCAGAATCTTTATGCATACTGGAGGAATCTTTTTTTTACACATGTCCGGTAGGGGCGGGGTCAGAAAGTTACAATAACAAACAATACAAACACACGATAGGAGTGTGAAGAATGGGAAAGGTAAGCAAATCGCTAACAATTTTTTTACTAAAATTAAACTTTTTTGAGTTTGCCAGATAAGACCATCTGAGCTATTCGCTTCTTTTTCAGAAGCGACCTGGCCACAAATGATCGCTCAACCAAGTGGAAATGTATAGCAGCCAAATCATCTTTATAAAAGTCTTAACAAATAATATTGATCTCAGATTTATTCTCCACATCTTCACCAACCTGCACTGACCAGAGTGGTAAAGTTTGGTCAAATAAACCCTTCATCCAGCAGTGGATTGACAAAAGGGCTGTGGGTGTACACGTACATTCCCAAAGAGCCACAGTGCCTGCCACAAGTGGTGACACCTGTATCCAACCATAGCTGCCCCAGTCGATTGCTTGGCGGAGTTTCAATTTGACTTGCTTTGCCATCGAAGGATGGGGGGGGGGGGCAGGGGGGGGAGTTCGTCAAACGAACCAAAACATCTCCCTGCTCAAACATTACTGTTGTGACACGCAGCCCGCAGCCAGATGTGAATTAATTTCCACATTCCTATGACAGAGGTGGCAATGAACGTTCAAATATATGTTTGCATCCCAGGTGAGTATAGTTTTTACGAACAACTCTCCAAAGGCAGTGCCATGGAGCGGTGTTTCTCAGTTGGAGTCCTCGCGCTACTGCACTCCACCTTTTCACGATTGCCGGTTATTTTTCACTCGTATACAAATTAAGCCACGACACGTGGTTCGCACACTGGGCTTGCGATGCAACAGAGTTTGCAGGTTCGACTCCAACTCCTGGGGGCAGCAGCTGAAACAGCGGCGCTGGCTTCTCAAATCCCCCCCCCCCCACTTCGTCCCACGTCTGTCCACCCCGCAGCAGAAATGGGTACACCGGTTAGTCGATCGAGTGTGGTGGGGTAAAGTGTGGGTACTGCCACAGGTTGGTAATCATGGAAAGCTGCACGGTGGAAGGTCGCGAGGACTGGATCTGTAGAACGCTGCGATAGCGTCGTGTGTGTGGGGGGGTGTGTGAAGCCATCAGGGAGCAGGGGTTGTGGGTGATGGGGTCAGCGCTTACCTGTTCACCATCGCTCTCATCGCTGCTCAGCCTCAGGTCATCCTCAAGCATGCTGCACAGACACAAGCACAAAGGACGCGCGCTTAGCAAGCTCTCCTTCCGAACGTAAAGCAGACGCGAGACAGGCAGAGAGGTGTACACGGCAGGAAGAAAATATGAACAATAAACATTACTTCTTCCCCCTTGCGAGAAGGCCGTAGTATTTACAACGTGGTCGACCGTCCATGCGCTGCGCCTGCAGAGTCTTCAATGCGATCTTACCTAAGGCAGCCTGACCTTCCCGGCAGCCCCGAGGCTACGTAGCACGCGCGAGCCCGGCGTATCTATCACACGCGTGGGCGCACGTTTGCCGGTGTTTGTGACAGATGGTTGCTTTCCCGGGTGGGAGCAGAGTCTCAAACTGGCGCAAAACACAGACAGATCTTCCCTCGCAGTCCTTTGAATGTCCACGGGGGTGTTTTTACGGGCTATCGTCATGAATATGAAAAATGTGTAGATTTTCCAGTAAGTGTACGCAATTAAAACATAATAAATTTTTATAAACAAAGCAACGCATGGCGGCACATGCGCCGAGCCAAATTAAGACTGGGCTCGCAGACAATGGAAATGGTTTACGAGTGTTTAAAAATAAATAGACAACAAAACAGTGCCATCACGCCAACGCGCGCCTCGCGTGGCACACGAGGGCAGCGCGGCCGGCAGTCGGGGAAGGGCATTTCGAGCGGCGGTGGCCGACCGCGAAAGGGGATACTTGCGAGCGCGGGACAGGTTGCCAGGGTTGCTATTCAGAACGCGCCACCCTGCCTAATTTACCGCGCGCTCCAATTAGGCGCTTCGCGAGCCTCGGAACAAATGCCGCAGGTGAGGGCCGGAGGGAGCGGAGCTGCGATCTCGGGTGGCCAGCATCTGCCCGTCACCCGTCCGACGCCGAGGGCCGCGCCCTCGGCACTCCGCTGCCACCGGGAGCCCAAAAAAATCACCGAAAATCGGCAGCGCGGCCGGCCTCCACCCCAGCCGTACGGCGGCTTTTCCGATTAGCGCCGCCGCGGACAGAGAGCGCGCACCGCATCAACGTAGATCCGGACAGAAAATGCCACCAAGGTCACGTCGCGGAAACCGCACACCGCGCGCGCGCGACACGGCAGAGCGCCGCAGACGCTCACAGAGGGCGGGGTGCCTGAGGTGAGGCGGCGGATGCCAGATTTACAAAAGGTTATTGTCGCACAGCTTTTGTCTAATTTAAGCTCAGCCCGAGGGCACTTGATTAATTCTGGAACAACCATTATTGTTTTATTAAACAAGGGGGCAATAAACGGCAGAGATCTACCCGCGACGGGCGCGCGTGGCCGTCCAGAGCGCAGGCAGCACGGGGTGGCAGCCGTTGAGCAGTGTCCCATAAGCCAGACCGATGTCACACACCAGCTCTACAAGCTACGCTAGCCCCAAGCCATGCCAACCCCAGGTCCACACTCACTCGTGCCTTCCCAGACTAGCTCCAATCCATGCTCGGCTCATTCCGCACGAGACGGAGGCCATGTTCGTGCCTTCTCAGGCAAGCCCAATGCCAAGCTAGCCCATGCATTGCCTAATCATTCCATCCCCACACCACTCTGGAATCATACCACAACTATCTCCATTCCAGCCAAATGCACCACCAGGGCAACACATGCCACACGAGACGATGCCACCATGCTAATCCCACTATCCCTACGCCAGCCCAGTTCCACTGTGGTGGCTGGTGCTCGTTTCTACCGTCGCAGAGGGGTCGTGACCCCCGCTGACCTCTATTGGAATCATCGACCGCGAAAGCGAACGCTTACGCGCACCTGGGAGCGACTGGAAAACACCACCTGCCAAGGGGCAGCGCGCCGGCTGCTCAGACAGAAGCTCAAAAGAGTTCGATTCCCATATCGAGTGGTTGGTGCACTCCGCTACGAACAGAAGCCACCTGGCTCGATTGTCAAACACGTATAATATCGGCGGTTGAGTGAAAACCTGAACTCGTTCAGCAACCCACACTGACCAGTGTGGGTTGGTCAATGATCATATAACTCTCACGGGTTGTGAATTGTTCTAAAATTGTGTTATCCCCTGCGGTTATTTGGCAGGTCAACAATAATAATAAAAATACGTGACTTTACGTTGTGCCCATAATGTAAGGAAATTTCTCAAGAGCGCAGAAATACTACCAAAGTCCACCATTAACCATTCTGTGAACTGTTCCATGAAGCCCTTGCGACATGGTTCACAACGTAGTGCGCCAGTATTAACTCGGAGCCAGAATTCAAAACCAGAGAATTTCCCCTGCGACTCAGAGCGACCCACCCTTCCAAAACAGGTATTGTTTTTCAAAGGGTCCTCCTCGCATGCTTCAAACCAGAATACATTTTGGCTGGAGGCTATGTTTCCATTAGAAGCACGATATATAATTCAGCTTATTAGAATAAAAATGAATCCACCATTTCTAATATTGCATTGTTTCTCTATAATGACCATGACTAACATTGTGCTGCGATTTAACTTAACACTCATCCACTCCGTCCTCTGCACTTATTGAACAAAACATAACTTGGGTTTGGACACAAAGCAAACCCTGAACTATCTCGATAGAACAGCCACCATTCGCCACTGAGTGGCGGTGACGTCACCACGCTAGGTGCATCACAAAGATAAAGATCCCCCATATAGCCTTAGCAGACTGTAGGGGCAAGTGCTGTTAGCGAGCACCTATAAAGGCCGGCACGGCACACGAGGGGGTGGGTGGCCGCGTTTGTCTCCCTAGTGGCGATGTTTACACATCGCACCAGGTACTGATTTGAGGCTGAGTCGACCTAGGGGAGGCCCAGGACCGGTTCAGATAATCGTCACTGGTGTTGGCCGTGAGCAGGAATCGAACCCGGTTTGCCAGGTTCGTAGCGCAGCGCGCTAACCGCTGCGCCACCGCTCCCCACTAGGTGCACCACACACACACATATACGCGCACAAATGCCTCCACACGCACACCCTTCTCCATTCTGGGTTCGTCCACAATCCATCTCCCGGGTTTTACTGACAGAGGTGAGATTCGTGTTTGAAACCTTCTGGATATCCCAGGCTCCCATGCCGTGCATGCGTGATGGTGGTCACGTAGTACGCAATTCTTTTTTTTATATTTTTAAAATATATATTGTTGTTCACAATGTCCAATGTCGTCAACTTGTTTTTTGACGTACTGTATGGTAGAAATCTGGGATTATTGCGGTGGCCCCGCCAACAATCGTAATGTACACGTATGTATGTTGTATTTATGTATGTTGTATGTATGTATGTTGTATGTATGTTGTATGTATGTTGTATGTATGTTGTATGTATGTTGTATGTATGTATGTTGTATGTATGTATGTTGTATGTATGTATGTTGTATGTATGTTGTATGTATGTATGTTGTATTTATGTATGTTGTATGTATGTATGTTGTATGTATGTATGTCTGCTGTATGTATGTTGTATGTATGTATGTTGTATGTATGTATGTTGTATGTATGTATGTTGTATGTATGTATGTCTGCTGTATGTATGTTGTATGTATGTATGTTGTATGTATGTATGTTGTATGTATGTATGTCTGCTGTATGTATGTTGTATGTATGTATGTTGTATGTATGTATGTTGTATGTATGTATGTTGTATGTATGTTGTATGTATGTTGTATGTATGTTGTATGTTGTATGTATGTATGTTGTATGTATGTTGTATGTTGTATGTATGTTGTATGTTGTATGTATGTTGTATGTATGTTGTATGTTGTATGTATGTTGTATGTATGTTGTATGTTGTATGTATGTATGTTGTATGTATGTTGTATGTATGTATGTTGAACTTTGTTCTCACCCAAGGTAGCCAACCATGCTAATCAAATGTGTGGGGGAAGGACAACAAACTGAACGCAAAAAGTAGTTAGAAAGAAATACGTTCTCAATCTAGACGACGATGATTTAAAAGTACAAAGTTCCAGTGGCTTCCTAATATCGAAAGAGCGTTCCAGACGGCCGGAGCAGCGCAGCGCCGCTCGATGCGGTGACCGTTCTTTTTAAATCCTTTATATGAAGTTCACTTGCTTGCTTGCTTGCGCGCTTACGACCGTGCAAATCTTTCGGTCGTTTTTTTAACCCAATTCCCGTCATCCAATCGAGCTGACGTTTTGCACACAGACTCGTTGTGCGTGACAATTTATTTTCGTGAAAAAATGTTTCCAAAATTATCCACTTTTTAGGAAAAACAATTATTCATATTTAATTTAAAATGCCAATGTGATAAAAATGAATCTCTTACTCAAGAAAAACAGAAATGAATAATAAAATAAAACCGATGCCACGCATATAAAGGATTTATAGTGAAAAACTTTGTTTTTACGGGTTAATTTTTTATTAATTGACAAAAGCCGCTGCTGCGAGGATGACCACCGGAGTGCCGCGTGATGGTTGATGCTCCTTGCCGAGATCAGCAAGGTGTTGTGGTTCATTTGTGGCAAGCACTTTGTGGTGTCGAATGAGTGCAATATGTGTGTCATCATAACTCGAACAGAATCAAAGGATTTGCGATCGCCATCACAGCTCGGTGTGCGTGGCACTCGCGGTCAGTGGGATGGCTTCAAGGAGCCGAATTTGAAGAAGCTTCCGGCACGTGGCACGTAGCGCGGCGCCGTCGTCACGAAACGACACGCCGGGTACAAACACACGCAAAATAAAAACCGCGTCGGAGAACTACACATTGCGAAACGATTAAGACCTGTCAATTGCACTCTTTAACTTCATCCCCAGGGTGCGCGCGGGTTATGCAAAAAGCGTGGTTCGAAAGAGACGAATGGTGCTCCGAGATGCCGTTACGTTTCCTTTAATCCAAGGACTCGGAAAACCGCTGTGGACAGAGTCGGGTGCCGTTAGAACCCCGCACGCACAGGCACAGCTGGCCTGGCACTTGACCGATGTTATGTTTTATATTGTACCGACACACTGCACTTCCAATTGCTCGATGTAGTATGACATTATTAGTCCGTGTGGGGTTTTTTTTACG